CCTGGCGTCTTATCTGGGCGTGTGTATCTGCAACATTACTGGATCTAGCGGGATGCCTTCCAGCCCAGTATGACAACAGAGAACTTCGCTGCACCCAGAAAGCCACGAGCCCTGTGTATGCTGCCAAGCTAGACTGACTCAGGAAAGCTGTCATGTGTGTGCGCTGACAAGAGCTGGGTTATTCGCGATGATGAACAACTGTAAGAGCGCCACCAGATGACAGCAGCGTCCTTGTCAAACCCAAAGCTGTCTGACGGATTCGCTTCCTATTGCAAGTCTCACCCACAAGTTCAACACACTTCAGAACTTATGCTCACGCTATAATTGTCATCTGCGTGTTTTTGAATATTTCGCCTCACCACATCCATACGCAGCGAGAAATGGGTTCATGCAAAAGAAAATTCAACAAGAAGAGCTGCGTTAGCCCCTGGGCCAGCGTATGAGCAAACTCGACGAAGATAACCCCGTCGGAGAGAAAATAAAGAAAGCGAAGGATAGAGTTAATTATAGTATAAGAGCTATTCAACCGGGCACGTCCAGGAACAAAGATATACCTCTGACGGAACGGATGCCTGGCATACCACAGTCTGTCAGTATTTGAGTCGCATCTTGACTGAACCACCGCTTGTTCTCAGCATACCTATTCTGACTCCCTATGGGCCATGACGCCGGACCCCTAGGAGTCTGCTAAAGGATATTCATCTGTTGTATCAAAATATCGCTGGATCCTTGGTCACTTTTCGCCTTCTAAAGCCTGCCGAGAGAATTTGGCATTCTTCGATTCATCAATTAGTACCGCAGTGAGCGGAGAGTTCGAGTCACGGATGAGCATTCTTCAGGCGAGGTCGTAGTCCAAGCTGAGTGGCTCTGGGGAAAGAGTCCTCGGTGGGATACGAAAAATACATGAACACCGACTCCATCTCCGCAAGCAGGAGTCATTGAGAAATAGAATCTGATATACAAGAGATTTGAAGAAATAGCAAAATGGCGGCGGGGATTGCGAAAGATTAACCACGACTTGTGGGCGAGGAATAGTTTTATCGTCGTCGACGTGCAAAAGTGGAAGACGAAGTGTCTCATAGATCCACCATAAAACAACATATCGAATAACCCCAGGCGCTGAGCAAAGTACTAATACGGACTGATCTCCACCGACAGACAGCCCAAGTAGCGTGTCTTGGTGCTAGACCATTATAAAAGTACAACCCTCACGCATTTATAGACGATGAGTCCGGGAATGCTCAGCCTTAAGGGCATGCATGCTTGATGCTTTGTTGACTGCCTCATCCACTTCATGCTGGATGTTCTTCTTTAATCTGGCAGTTCCTTGCTCGTCGGTTTTGCTCCGCATATACTGGCTGCGGTTCTGATATGTCCATTGTCGGCTTCCTGTTGCCCGGCACGGAGGGAAGCAGACGAGGCAGTAGGCTTGGCTTGTGGCAACTCCGGTTGTCCGAGGAGAGTTTCTCATCATTGCCAACTGTTGTTTGGTCTAATGCAAATACTAAGCTCTTCATATGTCCCATGCGCTCACTAGCAGTTTAAGACATAGAGAGCAACAGCCTAGATCCAGGTAAGAATAAGATTATCTGGTCTGTGAGTGGTATAAATATCGAGACAGCACTCCATGATTCAAAGCGACAATATACATGCTTCAGCTATGACATCCTCCAAGGGTTTTGCGACTGAAACTTGGCAAACTGCACTCGAATAAGCCGACTCGAGTTCAAAACAACTTGAATCGAGAAGCCATGTTGACAAGAGAGCGTGTGCTTGCGAATGCTTCGAGGTAGAATGATTCCAGATGAATGAGTCCTAGAGCGGTATTCGCTGCAGAACGACACGAACGGGTTGATTGTCTGAGATCTGCGAGGCCGGGTATAAATGCTCATTGAGTAGTAGTTCCTCAGCTGCGAGGGCAGCCGCCGCACCATCATCCGACTTTTCCTGCCAGAGAATAGGGAGCCTACGTTTTGGAGTCTCGCTGGCCGAGAAATAGCCATGAGGCCCAGTCAAGCGTTTTATCACCACAAAGGATATAGCCACCAGTGACACTTAGGTAAAAACTACTTAAACGTGCGCCGTCAGCAGGAAAGTTTCTCCAAACAGCACTCGGTGGGACCTAATAAACCCCTTTTGTGTAAACACCGCTCCCCACTTGACGACCTCGCTTCGCGGCAGGCACCTGATGACCAGATACACCCACGCATCGGGCAGCTGGGTCTTGTAGGGGGGCCACCGGGAAAACGGAAGTCGATTCCGGGTAGCAGGGTGTCCATGTCGTTGTAGGTGGTGTCCATGCATCAAGCAGCTTGTGGCATTGCCCTTGCAAAGCCGCCAGCAGCTTTTCAAAATATTGTTTTGGTCGCCTGTATCAACAAAATCCCCACCATTCACAGGGAGGGACGGGTTGATAGTGGACAAATGAAATGTCGTGCATGCTCTTTGGACATGAGCAACCGCACCAGAGGACAATCCAATAAGACCACGTTCTACTGGACCTTCGATGCGAAGGTTTTCAAGCGTGCCGCGTTATCGCACCAGACTCGCCTGAAGCGCCTGGCCAGATGACCCTTTTATCTCTCGATGATAAGATTCTTGCCCCGCTGGAGAATGCCCAGTAGTTCGGCGTTGGCTGATTTATCGGCGTTCTCCAGCTCCTGGGTGAGATCGGGTCCTGTACATTGCCCCGCGTGTCTATTCTAAATGAAGCCAAGCCCGGTGGGCCATTTGCGATCGAAATCTCGCATGCTTTGGGTGCAAGCAGAAGGCAAAACGCCGGTCTCCAACATTCTACGTGATGAGAGAATCTCGATATCACCTGCATGTTAGCATCTCCTTTTCAAGTCATTTCCATGGAAGATCATATCATAAAGCCGATAGTCTTCATGCGGTATGATCGTATACAATCTCGATATTTCTTTCCTTATTATGTCGGCCGCTTCGATTGGGCGCATGAGCTTCTCACGAAGCGCTCGGTAGAATGCCTGAGAGAAAATGGTGTGTGAGTCAAGAGTTACAAGCGAGCGAAGAAAGAACAAGCCAGGAATGTGCTTACCCCAGCAGATCTGTATATTGCCAATGATGTACGCGAGCCGAACGAGGATCTGACGCTGCATGACAAGATTGAACCCCCTCGCTTATATCCTCTTCCTGATGATATCAATAAACCTTTTCTTATCTCTCAGCCACTCGTAAAGGGCTGCGTTTCTGGCGGAGCTCAGATGCTTGAAGTTGCTGCTCCAGCCCCTGTTGACATTAATCAGGACACCGTTCCGAGAAACAATGTGTTTGTGGAAGGTGAGCAATATAGCCTGGAAGTTTCTCACAAACTATGATTACTTCTATTGAGCCAGACTTGATCGCCGGACGGAGGGCACGATCTTCAAATTGACGCAGCTTTGCTGCGTTTCCTCCGTTCTCTTAGATCGACGCAGCTCTGCTCAATAATAATGTTGCTTCTGAGGCCGAGAGAGCTCACAGTTCCTTCAGCTTGTCACAGTGCATTGACTTCAGCAGGAATGGCTCATGAATCGGTTATTTTCAAGTTGGTCTGAGCAGTGGATAATGAAAATGGGATCTGATGAACACCTGATGCAGCCATCACCGACAATCTGGCAGTAAATATCAGGTGGCAGCCGAAATTCTCTGGCGTTGGGGTCAGAGTCTGAGCGGAGAAAAAAAAGGGGGGGTGCCTTACGGTCGCAGACATCGTCGACGCGTCATCATACTTCGAGTAGGGGCGGGTGTTACCCCGAAACTAGGAGACTATCGCCATGATAGACGACTGATATGGAGACTTGATCCAGGTGTAGCGGCTCTTTGATAGGGTAGTCCTATCAAGGTCAGAGCAGATTAGAAAGAGGCGAGGACGTAGACTTACATGTGGTTATATCGAAGAATTTTAGCTTTCGAAGGACTTATCCCGGTCGCACTAGAGGAGAGGATGGTGAAAACAAAGGTGGGTGGGTGGGTGACTTCAAGGAAATAGGCATGGGCACAAATACTTCGAACGACTTGATCAAGTCATGGGAGATAGAGGAAGGAATAATGAGAATGTAAGTTGACACTTGAGATAGCTCTCAACCTCGCCCAGCCATGGAGAGCCGATGCTGGAAGAGTGGAAGGAGGTTGGAGGAGGAAAGAAAGGAAGGAAGGAAGAAAGGGAGGGAAGATCTGGAGGGGGATGGAGGGGGTATTTATGCCTGAGGGAGTGAGTGAGCGGCAATTGAATGGGGAAGCGCAATTCACCTGCATCACTCGGTTTATTGTTCACTGCGCCTTGAACTACCTATTGTCGGTGCCCACAGTGTAATTCACCGCTACCTGCCGACCTTCAATATACATTTTTTGAACATCTATTAGAGAATGAATGCGCAGCTATGCGGCTTGGCACAGAGATTGTGCGGCTGGTGAGACAAGGGAGTCCCGTTTGTACAGTTCATCCAGCCACAAGTGACGGCAGAGGGTGAGGTTGTATCACTGACACCCATCCAAGAATTATTTCACCACGTAGCCAATTGCCAGTGTAAAGAGTGTAAGACTGATTACTTACAGCTCTATGCCAGCTACCTATACACATTTCAAGTCTCGCCTTACAGACTATAATGCTGATGCGAATGGCCATGAGAAAAGCCAATGTTATGTACAGTACAGTACATATTGTACCCACTCGCCCCCGGGCCCGCCCCGCCCGGGGTATTACTGTACTATGGTGTTAGTGTTCCCGGACTTGTCTTCCAGCAGTCCTGCCGTTGCGCTCCGCTGTCTCAGCTACGGTAATCACAGACGGTCAGGTAACATGTTGTCGGAGAACATTCTATGGTAAGGACTTGAGAATAAGAGAAAGGGAGGACAGAAACACCTCTTCGAATCGAAACGTCATGTCCGATTCAAGCCTCGATAAGCCAGCACTTAAGTCACGTGTCAAGGGTCACTTGGGATATCCAGCTGTTTCCTCAGCGCTTCCTCCTGATCCTAACCACCCTTCGACTTCGAACATGACGACCCAGTCCGCTTTACCATCATCAACTGAGACCCTACCATCATACGAGATTGTCAACTTTTCGTATGGTGCTGGCACTGAAGCTGAATTGACCATACTGTGTTATGGGAAGAGATTCCACATTACCGTGTCTGCCAATAATCTTAAGGGCGATTCGAATGCCACCAAAGAATACCTGTCTCTACTAGAGAAGCTAAATTCAGGCGAGCCACATGATCGAATCGATGATGAAGGCGACCCTATGGAGGAACTCTGCTTCTGGATAGCCTTCCGCTGTAACCCCCACATGCGAGCCTTGACCTCCAAGCGACCACAGCGAATGCAAACTCTCCACGATTGGTTTCATCCCGACACCCTTGTTCTCACTCCCAAAGACGCCCCTGATGGGATCCTGCATGTATACTCCTCAACACCGAGCCCGCAGCTCCTGCAAGAATTGACGCCGAGCGTAGAGTTATCTGGTTCCATCGTCAAACACGGAATCCCAGTTGTTCCACCTTCGAAAATCCTTTTGCCACAAAATACCGCTAAAGACTTCTGGCCTCAGCGACCAGCCAAGGTCTTCACTGAATCCGGCATGGCACGGTTTTTCAAACCCGCTCATTTAGATGAACATGCAGATCGAGAGATACAAACATTGCTTCGCCTTCAAGAACTTGGTTTAACGGAGACGATTCGCGCGCCTAGGCTTCTTGAAATCGTGGAAGCTCAAGAGGGCTCTTCGCGTATATCAGGAATTTTGTTAGAGTATATTGAGCATCGCGACAGCTTGGGCTATGTGGATGTTCTAAATACCCCTTTATCAACTCGCATGAAATGGGCCAATCAGGTCCAAGAGATGATTACGGTATTGCATGCAGCAGGAATTGTCTGGGGCGATGCCAAGCCGGACAACATCCTGGTTGATGCTGATGAGAACCTGTGGATTATCGATTTTGGAGGGGGTTATACACATGGCTGGGTTGAGAAAGAAAACGAGGAAAGCGTCGAAGGGGACATGCAAGCGCTCTCGAGGATAGCCGATTTCCTCTTGGTCACAAAGTCAGAATGACTGCTTCGTTCGGTTGGGTCAAGAGAAAGGAGCTGCTGGTGTTGATAATAGAGGGAAGACCGAGGGATAAGCAAGAATTGAGCTTTCTGATATTATGCGTTGAGTAATTGATTATCCTGTACTTCTGCTACCTCAACCTAACATTACGACGCTTTTTTCCAGAAGTACTGCAAATGAACTGTACCTTTCTGCCTCCCAACGACAAACAGAAGCGGCCATATCACATCCCAGACTCCAATCCCTTCCCACGCATCTTCTCTCATCCCAACGTCATCCCCCTCCCTTCACGCCACAATAGTATAATTACTCGCTATCGACCCAACAGTAGTCGCCCAACCAGCCTACAGAAAGAAGGACTCTCATTAGCATGCACGAACTTTTCACACCAAACTTCTACCTTCCATAGAGAGGCCCCACTTACCCCAACCAAGAACGCACGAGTGATCCCAATCTGCGCGGGCCCCGTCACATCGGGCACCGTGAGGGTAAAATTCTGATACTGATCATAAAACCCTGTATGATACTCAGGAGCAAAGGGTCCAGAGTAGAGAACATTCTGCAGGTACTCGTTTGGTGCCGGGCAGGGACGGGTTGCGGGGCAGGATTGGATGCCGATTGCGATGCCGATCTCTGCCATCGCTTGGATGAATCCCTAGGGAAAAAATTGTCAACACCTACCTGCGGGGAAATAGGCAGAGAGCTAAGAGAGGGATCATACAGCACGCGCGACCTAAACAGTAATCGTCTCTCCGACTTTGAGTTTGGAGCCCGCCGCGGGGGAGTTGATGAAGATGCCTTGGCCCAGGGCCGTGCTAGCGAAGACCGCAAATGCGAAAATGGATTCCATGACTGCTGACTCTTAGGAGACAAATTGGAAGAAGCTGTGCTATGCTGATGGTTGTACGTTTTATTCTCTGGAATCTCCAGGATTCATATACCCTTCACGGATCGTCCGGGACCGAACGAGACATGACCAGAGAGCGACTTGAATCGCCTTGGATAAGAGGGGAATGACCGTATCCCGTTTCTTTACGCGCTTCAAAGTCTCGCATGGGTAGCTTTGCTGCTATATTTATCAAGGTCGTGGTTACACTATTCCGTTGGTAAAGCTAAGGTGTAGTTGTGAGACATCAGGCGTCCCTCTTGTATTCAAGCCAATGGGAATGGGCCTCGACGGCAAGCGCGCTTTTTTTTTCTCGAAAGGTGCGTCTGACATGCCAGGTGTCCCTCGCCATGACATATTTTTATGTAATCACTACTTCTTGTTCGATGTGTTTCATTGTTAAGTCAGGTTATAGTCAAATCAACTACTTATCGGGACTGAGCAGTATTGCGAAAGCAGCATTATTGGTCTGAGCGGCGTTGGCCACACCATGGTGTCTGTAATGAAGAACTAGCTTCGGTAAAATTATTCGAGATGAATTAACCAGGTTCTGGGTCAATGCTTGTCTTCGCTAAGCTAGATTGTCCCAAGGCTTAGTTTACCTGGTCATCAAGCACATCTCGGATAACTGTGTGTTCGCCAAAAATACATCAGAAATATTGACAACAAGAAATAGAAAGTAAAGAAGAGAAGGAAAACATAAACAGGAAGAAAGAAGCCCATCCTCATCCTTCTTATTCTCAATTGGCGCCTGTTTGGACAAGTTGGTCGACATCCGTCTATCCCGGAAGGATTCTGGGTGGCCTTGTACCCAGCTCTCAGCTGTGGCTTCGGGACACGCGAGATGGTTCAAGTATTTGCGGGTCAGGGCAGCTCGGGAAGCTGAATCTATTTCCAGCAGATTCTGGTGCTGTCAGCTGTGATGTGTTGTAAATAGTGGCCGATTCTGTCTCAAGTCTGGTGATAAGACCTCCCCTCAGTCTGCGAGTTCACGCTCCTGGCTTATTTATGATTCGATATACTCGGCCTCAGAGGCAGTGTGAATGTGATATGACATATATTGTCTTAATGACACATTTTGGCACCTTTTATCACCCAGAGCCTACATTGCATCGTGGGATATTGCCTCCAGGGGGAACAGCGTCCATGCTTCGTTGACCAGGTTTCGTCGTAAGAAAACTGTCCATCTCTAGTTGGTCATAAAGACGAACTTCAGCTCGGCTGGCCACATGACTCCACTTCATATACTTCATTCGTCTCACTAACCGTCGAACCGCCCACGCTGGTCTTCATGATCCTTATCACCCTGTCAGGTGTGTTCATTTACAAGTCTGGACGGGCATCCCATGAATGCTTAGGCTCTTCCAGCGCTCGTGTTTCTTTTGATGCCATGCAGAAGTGCGCGTGGTCGAAATGAAGTGCTGGTCCTTCTGTTCTTTCCCGCTGGGGTGTAGGATGTGATTGCACCACGACAGGTCACTGGGTACTAAGTCGCGCCTTCAAATCCTCTAACAGTTTATCCTTTTGACAGGAGAATGTACTGTCAAATTGCTCCCCAATTAGACCCCAATGCTCCAATTGTTTCAATGCGTCAAGGCATACATCATCCTTGGTTCGATTTTTATGTTGCTCAACATCTTCAAGGTTCACAATGAAACTGCAGCAAGACAGCAGGAACTAGAGATAATTCAGAAAAGCTGCGTACCATTGTCCACTTGTTTGATTCGAAACCATATTCTCCCTTCGTGGGTCCCTGTGGGTGAAATAGCGAGATTGCAGCTCCCTACATGGCGTTAGTAGAGCTCGAAAAGATTTACTATCTCAATGAGCCCATACCATAAAGTATCTATATATGCAATTCGAATACGATTCTGCTCTCCTTTCGTAAGTGAGTCGATGCCACGTAAGCTTTCTCTAGAAATTTCTGCACCACGATATGTGCAATGTACCCTCCTGGTAGTTCGTCACTGAAGCCCTGCATTCCAATGGCGTACTTAACAAGCTTAGGCGTGCTTCTGCAGTCTTATAACTGGGACAGGTTGTGGTTCTCACCGTGGACGGTATACACCATCACTAGGCTCAGAATAACTTAAGTTACTCCAATAAGCAATACTATCTATGTGAGCCCGTTTAATTTCCTTCCTCATAGCTTTGTGCGGGTTCCCTCAAACAGAAGCAGAGACCTACAGCTTTTTGACCTTTATGATATCAGGTGTTTTTTGAAGATTGATCAGACCTTGTACCTTCATAAACTTCGTCCCGTTCGTATGTAAAGCCATCTTGCGGGTCTTCCTGTAGTCGGAATTTGCTTGAGAGATTCCTGTCGATTTTCCATGCTCCAAATTCGATCTTTGGTCAGGGGCCGGAGAGTAATTTATGTCTGTAGCTACCGGAAGCCATAGTCACAGTTATCAAATGGAGATAGCAAGATTCCCGAGAACTAGGAGAGACCGCTCGTGAACCACGGCAACCGATAACATCACTTGTTGTGGTCTTATCCCTCCAGACTTCCCTCAAAATAGGCAGCTCTTGGCATGTACAGTCGTACAATTACTGAATATGTCATTTCAGGCAATGCGTATTTTCTAGTACACCAAAAGCGTGAAACAAACAAAGCTTAAAGCTTAGGCAGCAAGCAGCGTCAGCCCTCCAACTCCTGCAAATGCACCATCTCCCAGTATTTCCCTCGCATCTCCATCAGACTCATATGAGTTCCCCGCTCGATGATGCGTCCCCCATCAAACACCATAATCTCGTCTGCGTGCATGATCGTCTTTAATCGGTGAGCCACGGCGATCGTTGTCCGACCGTCCATCGCCTTGCGTAGCGCCTGTTGTACGTTATGCTCAGAAAACGTGTCCAACGCCGAGGTCGCTTCGTCGAGGAGGCTGTTTCCTGTCAGTTTTCTCGGATTGAGGACTCGTCAATGAGAGAGAAATGCGTACAGAATCTTGGGTTTCCAGAGAAGTGCTTTGGCAATAGCTATCCGTTGACGTTGACCACCCGACAGGTTGGCTCCGTTTGCTACTATTGCTGTGCTAAGGCCATGAGGAAGGGATAACTAGTGTTTGTCAGGCAGGATTCCAGTGATCGGGTGGTAGTACACACTCACAATCAAATCCCCAAGTCCTACACTTTCCAGAACAGCCATGATCTCTCCATCAGATATCACTCTGTCATCGCCTTGAAGCGCCTCCCTTAGATCATCCCCGACTAGACACGGGTTCTGGTCAACAAGGGCAAAGTATCTGTAGTAAGTCTCGAGATCGTAGTTCGTAATCGGCATTCCAGCAAGCGTTATAACTCCAAGATCAGAAGAATAGAAGCGTTCGAGCAGGTTGACCACGGAGCTTTTGCCACTTCCCGTTGCCCCGACCAAACCGATGAAGTGTCCGGCACGCGCATTGAGATTAATATTATCCAGAGTCCACGGTGCAGATGGGCGGGATGGATACCTGAAATGGACGTGCTCTAGAGCGACGTCTTCGACAGTGCTCGGGGCTATTACGGCACCTTCTGGCGGACGAAACGTTGGCTCAAGCATAAGATCTCGCAGTCGTTCAGCCGCTATCTGCGCTCCTGCAATATCTGGAGCATGCGCAAAAAGAGTCGACGCCGACTGAGACCCCCAAACAATGGCCGCGAAGCAGATATAGAACTGCTGAATTGAGTATTCTCCAGTTGCAACGAGATGCGCTCCACCGTACCAGAAAATGAAAGCAATGCTCAGCACGCGGAAGGACGTCCCACAAGCATAGACCAGGCCGGATAAGATCCAGTATCGCTCTCGAATCTCCTCCTGACTTTGTGTTGCGAATGCCTCGCTGATGGTGCTCTGCAGTCCAAAAACAATCACAGTTCGAATTGTGGCAAAAGCTTCGTATGCAATCGCAATGGCATGGGAATTTCGCCTGATGTACTTCTGTACCTGCATAACAATAAAATACTGCAGGAAACCAGATGCAGCCATGAATGGCACCGTCGCTGTGGAAGCCAGTCCCAGCTTCCAACCGAACACACATCCCACAATGATCCCCGTAACAAGCATAAACAAGCTTTCGGTCGTTAACCCAAGAGATGTTCCTGAAACACCAATGATCTTCTGCGCGTCAGAGGAAATAAATTCCATGAGAGATGCGGTTGAATGCGCTTTTTCATCGAAGAAAGGGAGACCCTTCAAGAGCAGAGACTTGAAAACCGAAGCGCGGGCTCGCAGATGGAGCATGGATGCGGACACTGCGAAGCAGTATCCCCTGGTGCAGTATACACCAAAGATCAGTGCGCCATAGACAAGGTACATGAGAGCCCAGAACCGGGCAGGGTGGCCACCAGTACTTAGCTCTGGGTCAGCAATGGAGACAATTCCGTTTCCAAAGAAAATCGCATGAAGGGGGTAGCTCACACCCGCAAAAACACTAAGAACAACCCCAGCTACTGTATAATGCAGCTCTGGCTTATTGAGGCTCCAGACAAATTCGATACTGTGTGGAGAAGCGGGGATGGTGGCAGCTGCTGTACTTGATTTATGGTTGAGCGTGAGAGGGCTTGCAGCATATTTCAAGTCTTCAATAGGCGTATCTGATGGAAGTGGATATACTCCAGTATGTGATTCTTCTTGAACCACATTGTGTGACTTCAACTCCTGTTGTCTCACCAATGCCTGATAAAGCTCGGATTGAAGCATGAGCTCTGCATGCGAGCCTTGATTTACAATCTGCCCGTTGTGCATGACCATAATCTTATCGGCACGCTGAATTGTAGACAGTCGATGCGCTATAACGATTGTAGTTCTCCCTTTCATTGCTGCATCTAATGCCTTCTGGACCTCTTTCTCACTCTTGCTATCCAGAGCAGCGGTAGCCTCATCCAGAAGCAGGATTGGGGGCTGTGACACAACTGCTCGAGCGATAGCAATCCTTTGTCTTTGACCACCAGATAGCCCAGACCCGCCCGCGCCTAAGACTGTGTCGTAGCCATCAGGCAAGGCTGAGATGAAGGCATCGACTCGAGCAATCTCTGCAGCTTGAATGACCCGCTGTCTAATTGCTTCTCGTGTCATGTGCTGTCGTTACGGGTAAGTATGATTTTTACCGACTACGGAAGTGGTTAACGGACCTGTTTGAAAGAGGCGTGGAGACCGTACGCAATGTTGTCATGAATGGAGGCTTGGAAAAGAGCCACGTCCTGATCGACGTATCCTATCTTGACCCGTAACCAGGAAACATCGAGCTTCTCGATTGGTTCATGATCCAGCGTGATACCTCCGCTAGATGGCAGATACAAGCGCTCGAGAAGAGAGAATATCGTTGACTTTCCAGATCCAGAAGAACCAACAAAAGCTACAGTCTGGCTTGCAGACACGGTAAAAGTCAAGCCATTGAGTACCAGCTGATCCGGTCTGGAAGGATATGCGAATCTCACATCCCGAAACTCAATGCGACCCTGGAAGGGGTCGATAATGCGGCTTGCAATCGACGATGGATTCATAAGAAGCGTACGGTTTATGACTGGACAGACTCGAGTGGCTGCGCCATGAGCTTGAAACATGGCTGGTAGGAAAGGAAGAGCTTGACTGAGCATCCCCCCTGCTACCGTGGTAGCATACTGGATAGTCAACGCTTCCGCGATGGTACATTTCCCTTGATGGACAAGGTGATCTGCCTGCCAAAACTGCACGGCAGCAATTGATAGATTGTCAGTGAATATGAGAGTACAACAGGATTGAATAACCTACATACACCTAGCCCATTAGCCCAATGCAGGACAGTGAAGGACCCCGCGACCATGATGCCAAAGATCATCCGTTCGCGAAGCTCGAGCTGAATGGGCTGCCGAATAGCGTTCTGATACTTATCTGCAAATCGCTCCTGGCTTCGGTACGAAAGAACATTTCTAATAGCACCAAGCACGTCTTGTGCGAGATTGTCTGCCTTCACCCAGTGGACTTGTCCCTCCCGTTGAATCTGACTCAACCATGATCCCAGTCCGCCTACTACAAGCATCAAAGCCAGAGGTTGAGAGAGCATAATGCCAGCAAAGCGAGGATTCTTCCTGAACGAAATGATGATCGCTGCGATGAAGCCAGATATGCCAGAGATGAGCATGCTCATCTTTTGCGATATACCCTCCTGGATTAATTTCATATCCTTGTCAATCCCTGATGTCAACTCTCCCACTCCAACGATCTGAAAGTAGCCCAGATCCTGTTGTAAAACAGCGGCGAGATACTCTTGCTGTAGTCGTGTGGTGATCCTTTCTCCTAGACGATTGAAGCCCCAGGTACTGACCATAGTCGATACGAGAGATCCGATAGCTTTCTAGATCGATTAGCTGCCCATACCTAGTATTCAGCCCTAACCAGATTAGGAGCTCACGGACCGATATACACCAAACATAGTGAGAGGTGCCTGACAGAATTTTGGATCCCATGAGTTTCTACCTCCTCGTCCGAGTTGGCATTCATGAAGTGATCCATCAAAGATCCGAATACAAGCTGCACACGTTAGCTCAGGTTCGGTCCGTGAGTTGGATGAAAGCATAAAATACCGTCACCAAAGGCAATGCTGTACCAGCTACCAACGCACAGCTCATGCATATAATTAATTGCCATCTCTCACGGTTGGTTGTGTACCTGTACACTGCAAAAAGTCCAACTTTACTCGCTCCGACACGAGTTTGCCCTTCAGTTGTGGCTTCGCTGTACACTTGGTCTTGAAAGGATCCACGAGCAACTGGTTGGATGTCATTGAGCAGAATCGCATCAGACATTTGCTAGATTGTTATTCACTGGTTTCACATCTACAATCTGGCAATTGACCGCGGGTGTACACAACTTCGCAACACTGAAGCCATCGTTAGCCATAATCACGTGATATATTGAGCTTCGAGTCAAGAGGATGATACGTCACATGGAATGAAGACACTAGTGCTGTATGCAATGCACCGGCGCGCAGTAATTCCCGGAAGTTGCTGTAAAGCATTCCTCAGCTAGCACACTTCATGGCTCGCGGAGATTGGGGATCGCTCGAGTGTGTTTGATCATCATTCTCAAGGAATGACCAACTTTTCATGAACATATGCTTCCCTTGCATCGGTGGGTAGCGCACTGTACTATTAGTCAATAGTGTCTCCACTAAGCTATATATGGAAGGACCATGCGTTGAAAGGTAAGCTAGCTCTCGTGTGATCAAGCCCAATCGGGACACGCGATTTGCGATCATCGATAACATGGACTGTTCCGTTAGCCCTAGAACTCCCCTCGACCAATAACAACTCTTTAATCAAGAAACCTCTGGCCTTACGATCGAGGTAGCACTCGGGCCTAATCAAGATTCCAAGGCATTGTTGGACTCCACCAAAGCCTTCAGCTCCCCGCTGATCTTAGCCCAGACTCCTTCTCGCAGAGTGCATGACAGCCACCAGTTCCCTGCGGCATCCTTCCCTATAACCCGCAGCACATTTGTTGTTGGGTACCCACTACAGTGCTCAATATTGTTCACATACGACGGCCGCCCTAACTGGTTGGCCCGCTCTGTCAAGGGAATCCCCGGTCGGACCACAGCACACGAAAAGTCCAGCTCGAAAAAGCGAGCCTTGTGATGATTTGTGCAGGCCATGAACAGTAGATTCGACTCGCCGACCAGAGGTGTCGTCTGCAACAGCGAGCGTCGCTGTATAGACGCTAATGCATGCACCTGGTCCTTGGTACGGTGTTGACTCAGCGCAAGGCGGTTCTCAAACGCTAGTGCACTGAGACTCCCCCCTATAGCATCTGGCACAGAGTGCAAGGTGTAGGAAGGAAATATTGCATTGCCAATGTAAGCACTGCCGGCGGGGAACCAGTCGTCGAACAAACCCCGAACCTCAAACATGTTCATCGACATGATAGTTCGATCCGGTGACAATTCCAGAGCTCGGGTCACGCTCTTCACCCACCAGGAAAGTAACACGTCACTTTCGCTAAGATAGACAGGTGACGAGGTGTCGGAATCAAGAAGTTCCTTCAGCGCCCGCTGTTTCATTCGATCCACGAATTGACCGGGTAGGATAAGGACGCGATCTTCCGCGCGGTGGAACCAAAGGTCAAACATGTGACGCAGTCCAAATCTGACAAGTCCTAGTCCATGAAGAACCCGATCGGCATGAATATAGCTTAATCCTGAATTCTCGACCCCGAGAGAGGCTAGCGGATCCTCGGACAGGTCCTGGAGGGTTGGGACATCTTCTGGGTGTCCTTGTAGAACTGCTGTCCATGCTCGCAAGAATGATGCGCGCCCGACCGCATCCATGAGCGTATGCGGATAAGTGATCGTCAGTAAGGTCGCATCATCAAATAACACTACATGGATCTTGAGTTGCGGAAGGTCGGAGTCAAGCCAGTCTTCCAGGAATCGTGGAGACTCGCGGTCACGAACCAAGGGTCCGAACTCTGCCGCGCATGGCGCCAGGAAGGGTTCCTGGGATGATGATGTCCGTGGGAGCTGGAAGCCCAGTCGGTGATTGTTGATACTTGTGCCATGCTCCATTGCCGTAAAGATGAATGCTGGTCGGGCGTCATCGTATTGGGCTGGGATGTGGTACTCGAGCTTTCCTGTAGGCTAAGAACTGATCAGTGTCTGCATGCCAATTAGTTGGTATTGAGAAGAGAAGACCTACGTTTAACCTCAACCGAGCCCCTAGCTGTCCCCAATTTCCAATCTGATACAATGCATGTAACGACTCTTCTAGCTTTAACAGACTCAGTACATCATCGAAACGAAGGGTAATGTCATGAGCAAATGCGCGTATATGTGGAATGCCATCCCAGTAGCGTAAGGGAACGATACGATCGGTAGGAACAGCCGGCACATGAGGAGGCCCAAAAATCATCGATCGAAGACCCATGGCAGAATTGTAAGCGAGCTTCGAGTTGGAAAGTGGACAGTGTGCCTTTAATTTGATGGATGAAAGTCAAGAAGTGGTTGGAAGGTGGATGATGTAGAGTTGAGGAAGAGAACCCGCTGGGGGAAGTTGCACAAGGCGGTGCTGAGCCATTGCTTAGTAGCACTACACTGGACGGCTGCAGGACTGGGTGCTCGTAGATTTGTTTCCGTATACATAAGACTTCTACAATTTATGACTAAGTCCCTACTACCTATTAATGGCTGGTAAGAGCTAATAAGATCCAAAAAGAAAACAACAAAGATAAGAATAAAGCAGCTACATGGTTTCAAGAGCAGCTGACGCGACACGCAAAGTCGAGTAGAGAGTGTAGTCCACCAGTCAACTGCAAAAAATAATTTCAGCTCAGCCCAACTAGGACGCCATTATCGTTCTCCAGTGTCATCGATATTCTCTCGACCCAAGGTCCCGGATTGTAATCTGTTACGGTGGAGAAAGTCTGCATAAGACGAGCCACAATGTAAGAAACCACAACCATGGCATAATTTTCTAGCAATAAAAGACGTTAGATTCAAAGACCACGGGGCTCAATTGTAGTGGGCTAATACTGACGACCCGGACAGATTCGGGGACCTTTATTAAACGGTATAAACCCAGGGACGTCGCCTTTCAACTTTTCCCATCGCTCTGGACGAAACTCCTCAGGCTTTGCACCAAAGTTCTCCTCGGACCGGTGGCTAGACCAGGACGAGAAAACGAGAACGTCGCCCTGACGGATCAATATTGGCTGCTTGCCATCAGGCCCGCCACCAAATGGCAGGACGGTGTGCTTGTTTGCAGTCCGCGCGTTCAGTGGAGCTGCTGGGAATAGTCGCATACCTATATCGCGGAATTATCAGCAACAGAGTGCATAAAAAGACCTTTAGGAAACTCACTCTCCTGAATGACATATCTGAGGTAGACAAGCTTGGTGAGTTGGTCGTACGTAGGTAAATCTGAGCCTATCTCGTCTAGGATACTTTGTCGTAGTCTGGAAACCACCCACTTGTGCTGCGACAGAAGAAAAAAGATACCCGATAAGGTAGTGGCGATACTGTCGTTCGCAAGTAAGATGCTAAGAGTCTGGTTTGCAAGTTGAGCGGCATCTGCTCCTCTGTCACAGAGCCCGCGCATAAAATAGTATCCCTGGTCGCTTGTTTGCATCTTCACAGCGCTGTGTTTTGCCATCTCTCGTTCCGCATAGCCCATGACAAAGCGACGCGCACGCACACATGATTGCCGAAATTCTAGCTTGCTTGAAAGATGACGCAGAGGGCCCCGGAATCCATCACGTACGATGGTCTCCTTGATGACATGCAAATCTTCCGCAAAGTGCTTCTTCGCTGGTGCTGGACTTGGATGCAAGTTGCTGATCGAGTCTCCCAAGGCAAATTCGCTCTGAATATCAATTGCGAGGCTAATGAAAGATGCCTGGATATCAAACTTTTGTCCATTCGATGGTACATGCTGAAGAAGGATCTGGAATTGGCGCTCAAACATCGCGAAATCACAGATTCCGCGATTATTCGAGAGCTGAGTCCGGAGTTGGTCGCGCATTGCTCGCCAGTCGGGCCCATCGACTGTGAAGATTCCATGAGGTGTAATGGGATTGAACAACGGACCTCTCAGCTTGGAGCTATCATAGTCTGCAAAGCCCGTGGATAATATGTGCTTGATATTCTTTGGATCGCAAGTGAAGTGAATACGGTATCCCAAGATCTTTGACATGTACGTGCTGCCATATCTGGTGAACAGCTGGTCAGTATACTCGAGAGCAGTCTTGTGCTGGAAATGGCGCGCAAACTCGACTAGTTTCGTGATACCGAGGAAATCGATCCAAGAAACATCCTCGCTGGTGACTTCACCACAGCCAAGTTGTCGCTCGTGCTGATAGAATTTGCGCGAGGTTCGCAGCAACAAGAGCAAGGTCACCGCGACTATACTTAGCAGGGCCACTGTCGATGGTTCAGTCAGTATACCCATCGTGGTGATAGCCTATTACCGACTCGCACACTGGAAATCAGCTGGTCAGTTAGACAGACAGCCACTTCGCATCGGCTTCGTTGCCATCAAATGTTGAGATGGTCTTCTCGAAAGCCGGCGCTAAAACTGATTAGACACGAATCCCCCTCGCAGTAGTTGCCTGCGGAAGTGACGGGATAACATATCTATTGGCCGATGCATTCTCCTGCATCTCATGTCACCTTGGCTTGGCTCGAGCTGTGAACAAGATCAAATCCGTTGGAGCAGCCAATAGTATGCAGTGCAAAACGACAGCGGATGCCAATTCCACAGCCCCACACAATAGCGCAAACTCCTGATGCAAGCCAAGGGTCAGACATGATGTTCCCTGATCCAGCGCCGATCCTTTGCTATTGTATGCACGATGATTGCACATGCCGCTTTTGACTCATCGGTATGCTGCTTTTTCCGCCACGGCCCACAAGTAATTTCGCAGTAAATTGCAGCGCCCTAATGCACGATTTTCTCTGCTTTTTTGTGGTTCCTTGGCCCAGTAACATAAGGCACACCTCACTGGGATCAGCTAGCATGGGTCATTGGGTGTAGACTGCTGGAAATCGAGATAGTATGTCTGCCAAGGAGTTTCCTCTATAAAAGCATTGAGTTGCCTGAGCATTGCGTGCACCTCATCTGATCTATTCTTTCCTTTGACCAGATGGGGACAGAAACGCAAGTACACACTCACACAATGTCCAATTCGGAAATGCTCGCTTCACTTGTCGAGGACACAGTCCGTAAAGCAGTGCAATATTCTGTTGAAACAGTGCGTGCCGACGGCCACTGGTGCGGTGAGCTCAAATCTAACGCAACCATCACATCCGAGTACGTTTTTCTACGGTATGCTCTAGGTCTGGACCTGAAAGCCGATGGCCCTGCATATACCCGTTGGCTTCTATCCGACCAAAATCCCGACGGCTCCTGGGGACTGGCACCAGACATTCCTGGAGATGTCTCAGCCACAACAGAGGCATACTTGGCCTTGAAGATACTGGGTACCAATACCGATTCTCCGCCCATGCAACGAGCGAGGGCGTTTGTGCTTCAGGCTGGGGGAGTGGCTGCTGTCCGGGTGTTCACTCGCATATTCCTGGCTACTTTCGGGCTATTCCCATGGAACGCAGTTCCACAAATTCCCGTGGAGCTTGTTCTTTTGCCTTCTTCATCACCCATCAATATTTTCAAACTGGCTTCGTGGGCCCGAGGAACAATCGCTCCGTTGTTGCTCATATGCCACCATCAGCCGGTGTATGCACTACCAAACGGTCATTCGGCGACAAACGACTATCTCAACGAACTGTGGCAGGACAGCACCAATAAGAGCGTGTCCTATGGCAAGTCACTTTGGAGCCTGGCATGCGACCGTGACATGGCCGGGTTAGCATTTACCGTCGTTGACAAAATCTTATATCAACTCGGTGGACTGCGCTCGGTACCGTTCGTACGAACTTATGCGCGCCGCAAATGCGTAAAATGGATCCTCGACCGACAGGAAACCTCCGGTGACTGGGGTGGAATCTTTCCTCCGATGCACGCAAGCATGTACGCTCTGATGCTGGAAGGTTACCGTCTAGACGACGAGCCAGTGCGTCTTGGCTTCGAAGCTCTAGAGCGTTTCGCCTGGCAAGACAATCAAGGCAAGCGGATCCAAGCTTGCGTCTCCCCTGTTTGGGACACGGCTCTGATGACCGTCGGACTATGTGATATTGCATTCACTGATAAAGAACTTCTCGACCGAGCGATAAGCTGGATAAAACGTCGTCAGATTCTTGACCTGCGCGGTGACTGGCGCGTATACCGTCCGAATCTCGCTCCAGGCGGCTTTAGCTTTGAGTACGATAACACCTGGTACCCCGACGTAGACGACACCGCCGCCATAATTCTCGCACAAATCAAACAAGACCCGAAATCCGTGTCTTCATTCTCAGTGATGCAAGCCACAAAATGGATATTGGGAATGCAAAACCCCGATGGAGGGTGGGCTGCTTTCGATGTGGAGAACGACAAGTTGTTCCTTAACAAAATCCCATTCAGTGACATGGACAGTCTCTGCGATACTTCCTGCCCTGACATTACAGGTCGCATTCTCGAAGCGTTCGGATTGCTGATGCAAACTCCGGACAAGACCAATACAGTTATGCATATTTACCCTCAGCTCCGTCTAGCTTGTCATCGCGCGATTGGCTATCTTGCCTCCACCCAAGAGTCAAATGGAAGCTGGTTCGGCCGGTGGGGATGCAATTATATCTATGGCACGTCACACGCATTGTGTGGTTTGGCGTATCATAGTAATCAGGACAAGCGCGTTCACGAGATGGTTGAACCTGCGCTTGAGTGGTTGCAATCCATACAGAACGAGGATGGCGGATGGGGCGAGTCGCTGCTCACGTACAAGACTCCAGAAATGCCAATCAAGGGACACAGGTCCACTGCAGCACAGACTGCATGGGCTCTGATGGCCCTGTTGGCATATCAGCCACACACGGATGAGATGGTAGAGCTAGGAGTCAGGCATCTTGTTGAGTCACTCAACGTGGTCGATGAGAATATGGGAACGTGGACGGATAAGACATATACTGGCACAGGGTTTCCAAATCATTTCTATTTGGGTTACGTGTACTATGCACACTACTTTCCAATGATGGCGCTAGGAAGATATATGAGGATATCGAAGGTATATGGCTGAGGATGAAGGGGACGCAGCTGAGTAACCTGTGGTCGACACATGGAGTTAGTACGTATTTCAAATAGTTCAGATAGCAAGAGTCAAGCTACTTATTGATCTGCTTGCCAAAAACTGGCCAAAGGCTGAATCAACCTGTGAGGCATAAGTGAGAGATTCGATCATAAGCGGTTTCATTGAGGTCTGGACATGATGCCATCACATTGTCGTTCAAGTAAGCCGGTTCGACCACAATAATTTCACGTGCAACTGTGTCATAACCTTACGACGAGTTGAGATTAATGAGTGATTTGTGCACCCATATTGTGGGACTGCTGGTCTTTTTTCCTGGTTATTTTGAGTTTTGGAGATGGTCGTGACCGCAAAGGGTAGCCACGATGGGAACTGCGGAAGACAGAGCATGAAAGGCACTGGGATTACAGCAGCAGCGAATTCATGTTCGAGGTGCCTCGCGGAAATCTGATGTGGTCCGATTATAATGCCTCCAAATTGATGGACAAAGCATGCACAAAGCTGAAAAAATACCTAAAAAAGAGAGGCGGTTTTCTGTACTGGCAGACAAAGTTCCAGTTGAGGGTTGTATATGCACTCCGGAAGAATTGATGGTGAGGAAGTATGGACGTCTAAGATATGAGTCGATTGTCTGGTGCTGATCTATGTTGATGAATAATGATGTTACAGTTGAAGCAAGAGTCCAGCAATATGAGCATCATGGTTTGTACTATTAGTCAAGGTGGTTTACAAGCAACAGCATGCAATTTACTCAGATTTTCTTTTAGGATCGACAGTATCTGCGAGTCTTCGTCTTACCATACAGATAATCAACAACCCCCAGTAGCACTTGAACCAACACACACATCGCCCGTACAGTTGAATCCCACCGTACCCTCAACGTTACCACATAGATACTGATCCGCCTTCGTCGAGCTTCCGGTGATTCGCAGACTAGTATCCTCAACTGTGATGTTCTCGCATGGAGCAACCGCGCTGCACTGAAAGCTAATGACATTAGCCGACGGTAGCGTGCCCGAAATATCACCGAAGAACAGATCTTTGACCTGGAACTTGGAGTTCGTGCAGTTCCCGGAAGCGCCTGAGAATGTTGTGCATTGTGAGACGGTGAAAGGGGTACCCTTGAGGTTGTCGAACGTCAGATCCGTAGCTTTGAGGTCGGAAATGTCTATCACTCGTTAGAATCCTGTACATATGCCCAAAATAAGGTGGGACATACATCCAAGACCACCACCACCACCATTTGGTGGGTATCCAACCTGGTCGTCAGTCCATGTCTTGACATATACAGCATGAGTGGTCTTCTTGTACGTGCAATTCGTGACCCGGACATTTTCCACCGTCTCAAACTCGTCTTTGTATTGTCCGATGCTGCCGATCGAGATGCCTAGCCCCGTGGAAAAAGCCGAATCGGCGATGGTAATGTCAGACGAGTTACCCTTTAAACTGATGCTGTCATCGCCATTAACGACGAGCCAGTTGGTGAAGGTGATTCCGCGGCTGCGGATGGTGTTTGCGCCATCGGTGTTCCCTATCATCGTTAGCTGAGTCAAAAGTCCCAAGAACTAAGAGACAGTCATACTAGAGGACCCCCCATTAGTGTTGAGATTATTGACATAAACAGAATCGAAGAGCAGGTTCTCGGAGTAAATGATAGACATGGTCCTATATGGTCAGTAAGTAGTCACAACAAAGCGGGACCAGCTTTTCAGGAGACTTACCACATCTGACTCTGCACAAATCTCAACCCCTTGAATGTTGAGTCTTTCGCCGTGATAGTCAACTGATGCGGTCGACGCGGATAGTTCGACACTCCGGAGGCATAGCTATACCACACTGGCCCACTGCCATTAAAAGTCCCGTATCCGTGTCCGTCAAACACAATGTCCTTGCCACCCAGGATCCAAGCGGTGGATTGGTTCTGGTAGCCGACATCCAGGGAATTGGCAAGCCAATAAGAAATGTTCGTGCTCCACTGTTCGCTATGGTCAGTAAGGCCTGGCGGTTGATACAGTAATACTCACCAGAAGTGTCCCTTGCAGGTCAATTTCAACATCGTTCAGCCATGTTGTATTCATAACTGAGTTGATGTGGTACGTTGTATTGCTGAAACTCACACGCCCGCCATTGCCACATGTTTTCAAGGCTTCAAGAATGGCGGGAACATCATCAACACTGGTTGAATCTCCAGCCGGAACGACACAGTTTAAGCGAGCACGCCCACGCATGGTCGTGTCCGAGAGGGAATACGCAGGGACAAGGAGGGAAAGGATCCCTGCGATGAAGATAACAATACGGGACAACATTCTTGGCTCCAGAGGATTGATTTGGTGTCATATGCTGAGGCTCCTTTGCTCGAGAAGTAGGAAGCTCAACGACGATTTATAGCCAGTATTTTTCACTGGGTTTTTCGAGTCTCTATTGATCATTTCGATGGAAACCCCTCCTGCTCCGGGGTAATTCAACCCGAACCTGTCAGAAGCTAGATTCGTGATAGGTGCATTTTCAGACTATGTTTCTCAACGATCTACAGTGCCAAGCAGCCATTAGAGGTCAGCGAGAATTTCATTAATGGTCCCTGAAGCCTTTTGACGTTGAACTTCAACGTAAATCTAACCGTTATTCGTGGGTTGATGGGGCCGTGCCTGGATCCTGCATAAGCGACTGCGTGACATGAACGGTGCAGATCTTGGCAAGCGGGGCATGAACTGACGATCCTATATCAAACCAACTGAATGACATATGCTGGCCATGTCACAGCACTCAATCTCAATGCTCTTGAGCTTTCTGTGGAGTTATCTTATATATCTGGGCGAAGAATTGCCCCAGGGCTCGCAATGTCCCAAATTTACAAAATGGTCAGGGTCGCGCGCAGTGCTTTCCTGCAGAGATGTTCATAAAAGGGTAATCACTCGATGCGACCAGAGCTAAGGTGTTCACAGAGAGGATTGACAGCGACTCCACAACCTGTCTTGGAGCTTTTCTCTATGAAACATCTTCCTCTGGTGGTGCATCAAGAGTTTTCATTCACCCCTAGAGCGTAAGCTACTATATTTACTCTTGCTCTGTAGCTACCATGGGTATATCACTTGAGTGCTTTTGACATGATATCTCCGCCTGTAATTAATCTTTCAGCATCGTTTATCAGCTTCGACAAATATAGCCGCCAGACAGAAACCCAGTGCAAACCAGGCATCAAACCAAAAGTCACAAAACATAGCCTTCTGGACTAACAAATAATCTCAATGTTTTATCACTGTCAATCTCTTAGAGCTTCAATGACTTAAGCTGCCATTTCAGACTCTCCGACACAAATGATATAGTCTGGTGCCACTGGCAAGACCGAACATCTTCAGGAGGACTGATGCAGTTATGGTTTGCCACATAAATGAGGATCTATGATACTTAATGTGCATAGACTATCTATCGACTACTATCTGTCACGGGCTAACAGTTAAAACTTAGTGACAATCATACGACATGCCTGATTGAAGCCCGCGCAACCGCGGAGAAACGAAGCCTCTGCTGCAATGAGAGCGGATCCCACCCGAGCCTGGACCAGATATCGACAAATCATAGGGTCAGAAATTATCATTTAGCGGGAAAGAACCCGGTATCGGCTCCGAAGCATTATCTGATCGGCGTCCACGGTCCATCGAGTCTGATTAGGGCTGGCCGCTACGGCGCAGGGCCCCGCCGTGAAGATACGGAGAAAAAAAATCTTTAAATGTGCATACCCCATGCATAGAAGGGACGAGTACTAGACAACATTTTCGTCCTACCCCAGTGACCATGTTCGGTAAGCGAACGGTACCGGAGAGTCGTCCCTCGGACAGAGCGCCTGATGAAGTCCCCACTGTCAAAGAGGGCGAAACGGTGATTGCAGACCGTGAACTGGAAACCGGCCCACACAAGCCGTACCGGCCCGCCCGATGGCAGAGCAACCTGACCATCGTCAGCTGTGTAAGTGCTGTTCCCTGCCAATTGTGGCCTCAATACTGACCTTGTACCTAGTATATCGCCAACTTCAGCGATGGATTTCAGAATCAACTCGCCAACCCAACCAATGTCATTTTCACTCACCTCCTTGGTAAATCCGGCTATCCAGCCGAGATGAAGACCCGAATCAGCAACTCACTGCTTATCGGCGCCATCCTGGGAGTCCTCGCACTGGGCTACATCTCGGACATGATCTCCCGTCGAGCTGGTCTCCTCTTCACCTCCGGTCTAGTGACCGTCAGCACCCTGATGGCAGCCGTGGCGCTGGACGTACACCCATCCCAAAACATGTTGTGGTACTTTGTGATCGTGCGCGGGATCTGTGGCTTCGGCGTGGGCGGAGAATACCCTCCCAGTGCAGCAGCAGGACTCGAGGAATCCGACGATGTGCGTTCTGCCCCCTTCCCCAACACACAAACCCAGGATTTAACAATGCATCTGTAGTTCAAACGCCGCTACCGCGGGCCCGTCTTCGTGTCCTTCACGACTCTAATGGCAACGCTCGCCTCCCCGATTTTAATGATAATCTATCTCATCTGCCTTAAGGCCAGCAACAATAACCTCCCCGTCACCTTCCACGCAATCTACTCGATCGCAACCATCCTCCCAGCAGTAATCATGGTTCTCCGCTTCTTCATGACAGACTCGACCCTATACCACAACAGCAACTTCAAACACCAACGCAAGCCCCTGCGTTTCTACTACCTCCTCGCGCGCCGCTACTGGCGCCGCCTCGCCCTCACCTCGCTCGCCTTTTTCCTGTATGATTTCATCAACTTCCCCAACAGCATCATGTCCAGCAGCATCATCTCCTCGATGGTAAAAGACGGCAACCTGCAGACCACAGCCACATGGCAGGTGATCCTGGCGGTGCTGCCCGTGCCCGGCGTGCTGGTGGGCGCGTTTCTGACCAACGCCATCGGGCGCCGGTGGACGGGCATCGCGGGCTTTGCGGGCTACGTCGTGCTGGGGTTCATCATCGGGGGCTGTTACAAGCTTCTGTCGCGGCATATCGCCGCCTTTGTGGTCCTGTACGGCCTGCTGCAGGCGTTCGGACACATGGGCCCCGGTGCTACGATCGGCCTGATCAGCAGCGAGTCGTTCCCCACGGCGATGCGCGGCATGGGGTACAGTATCGCCACGGCGTTCGGGCGGACTGGCGCGGCGGTCGGGACGGAGTGCTTCACGCCTTTGCAGGACGCTGCGGGGGATAGCGCGACGTTCTATCTGTTGGCTGGGGTGGCGGTGCTGGGAATGGTCGTGTATTGGTTTTTGCCGGAGAGTGGCGAGTTGAACCTCGAGGAGGAGGATCGGGAGCTGGAGAAGTATTTGGGTATGCACGGATTTGTTATGGAGAAGGGTTGTTGAGTTGAGTGTAGTTATGAGATATGAAAGATGACGTTTAATGGCAGAGAAGAAGTTTATCGCATGACCAGTGTCTGCTGGCATATATTAAGAGATTGCGGTCCATCGACTCCATAAAGCATAGTACATGACAATAGATTGAAAGTGTCCATCCATTCATCCCAGCAATAAAAACAAACAAAGTTTAAAAGGTATCACAGCTCATAAATCCCGCCCCACCATCATTAACCATATCAACATAGAGTATCACCTAACCCCATTGATTCTCATCAGTACATCAACCAATTACTCTCGTAACTAACACCAGACAAGCACTCACCCAATATCGAACCTCAATTCAGCCCTTACCACCTACCACCACCGGGGCCCCCTCGGAATCCGCCGCCCCTACGGCCTCCATAGCCTCCATGGCCTCCATGCCCTCCAAACCCACCACCACCATGATGACCACCAAGACCACCACCGCCTCCATGGTGGTGGCCACCGAATGCGCCCGGTCCTCCGGGTCCTCCAAAGCCACCCCCTCCGCCATGATGATGATGACGGCCTCCGCCACCCATTTGCATCCCACCACCCCCAAATCCTCCTCCAGCCGGTGGCGGAGGACCGCCCATGCCCATGCCACCACCACCCATCATTCCGCCGCCCCGCCGACGTCGGTTACCCATTAACGACATGCAGGTTCCCATTTTGTTTTGTTCAGTTCAAGGCTGCTGGATAGTAATGAAATTGACTGAGTAGTGTTTCAGAAATTATAAATCGGTTCGTGATTCGTGATTCGTAGTACATAGATCTGTGGGAAGATTTGGCTCGTATAGCTTCGGAGGGAAAAGACAGAAAAAGTACAGATGAAACTTGGATTGTGATCCCAAGCCCCTGACCAAAGCGCAGAAAAAAAGTCAATCTTAAATACCCAACAGGTTCACAAGAGTAAAAAAGGATTACGAGGCCTTGTTCCTGGGCATTCGAAGTCGTTGCGTCATCAGCCGGGGCGAATTAGTGGGTGTGACATCAGCGGGAAAGTTCCCACGGTACACGCCTTGTAGGGCTGGCGCTCGGTGGCTTTAATCCGGTTAACCTTAACTCCTTTACCCACATCAGGCCGACGTACACATCAGGACTGGAATCAGGTAAAGCTAGCTTGAGATATGACGGAAGACGGGCTGAATGTCTTACGCATAGATGATGGCACTTAGTGGCAAGTTATTCTACTACTTAGTATATGTACTTGAACTCCAACTCCGCATCGCCAGTCTGCACTCGCCGCCGATCCTCCACCTTGCCCTCCACGATCTCCTCTTTGACCTGATTCTCTTTCCGCAGGTACAGCGCATGCAGCGTCACCAACCCCTGAGCCACTACCAACGCTCCCATCGAGAATGAGTTGCCTAGCACATACGGCGAGGAACGATACACCTGCCCCGCGACGATGCCCGCGCAGTTGCCGACTGTTTGTTGGAGGCCGATCGCCAGCGCACGCCGGTACTGTGGGGCGACGTTGACGTTCAGCCAAGCCACGTTCAGCCCGACGCCGGTGTACACGGCCACGCCACAGAGGTAAGTGGCGAAGTATTTGACCGGGTTGGAGGAGACGGCCAACAGGAGGATGTAGCCCAGAATGCCGAAGATGTTGGTTCCGAAAATGAACTGTTTTAGATAGGTGTTAATCAAACCCATAAAGAAAGAACGAAAGGTGAAGAAGAGGCTTGACATACGGCCGCAAACTTTGAATACCGGTCCGCGAAGAACGCGACCGCAACAGACACCGCAGCGGCCCACATGTACACCGGCACGGTGAGCACATTGCTCATCAGCGAGTTGTAGCCCAGACTCTCGAGGATGGTTGGCAGGAACGTACTGAATCCATACAGTAAAATGTCCTGGCAGAATTGTGTGATGGCGCTGAAGATCAGCTTGGGGTCGCGCAGGGCCAGCCGCATTTCCTCCCAGCTGAAGTGGTCGCTACCCATGTACTTCTGACGCTGGGCGTTGCGGACGCACATCATGTACCTTTCCTCTTCGGTGAGGAAGTAGGCGGTCGTCGGGTCGTTGGGAAGGCCGAACCAGATGAGGAGCGCGCAGAGGAGGCTGAAGATGCCTTCAATGATGTAGACCCATCTGAGTGGGGTGACTGGGTCAGTTTTGTGATTCAGTGTGAACGGGGTGACAAGCGGGAAAGGATTACCTCCATCCGGCCTTTCCTGCGACGCCGTCCATGTGCAACAAGGCGTAGGCAAGTAGTCCTCCAACCGCACCAGAGATGGCAGCACAGCTCATGAGATAAGAAACCCGCTTAGCTTGCTCTTCACGCCGGTAGACCATCGTCAAATACAGATTCAGGCATGGGAAGAGACCAGCTTCGCAACCACCGAGGATGAGACGGGTGGCGTACAGGGAGGCTACATTATGAATGAAGCCGGTGAAGACGGTGGTGATGGACCAGATAATGCACAGGCCCGTGAGAATGTTGCGAGGGGTCAGCTTTTTCATGGCGACCGCCCACGGCGACTCAAGCAAGACATAGGTAGCGTAAAAGATGGAGACGGCAATGGAGAACTCGTTGGCCGAGGCTCCGATGTCTTCAGGCATACCGGCCACTTTGACATTTCCTGGGGACAATCAGATGGACGACCAAAGTGATCTGGAACTGCACATACCGATATTGCTCCGGTCGAGGAAACAAGACAGATAAGTCAACATGATAATGGGCACAAAAGCGAAGTCCAGCTTGAGCAGCAGCTTCTTCTCTTTGGCCGGGTCGAGAACCACATCATCGATATCACCTAGACTGGTTTCCTCGGTGGCATTCTGGGGCGACGGTTTCTGGGCCGTTTGTTTACGGTCCAAGGGGATATTATCGGGTCGTTCAAGAGACATCGGGACGACCAATTGGTGTAGTGTGATGCTTTTAGAGGACTTACACATGTATCCAGGTGAATCTGGGACAGGGGTGCCGTTAAGAACCGTGGAAGCATTATACTTTGCTATTGTCAGAGTGACATCGACAACGATAAAGAGGGGAATGTCTCCAAGCCTGCTATCTCCAAGTCCCACGCCAATCACCGACAATTGACTGATGATTTTCTCCACGGTTACAACTGCATCGGTCCGATAGCCTGATAAGCGGTGGAGATATCAACAATGTCATTGGTGCACTGCCTCGAGACGATGGGATTGTTGCGGGGATCGACCGATGCTTATCATCGCCATCCCGCATATCGGAGCCCACATGCCGATACCACTGATACGGGGTAATTCACTCGAATTATCGCTTGTCGAGTCAGTCGAAGCAATTGCACAGCACGTTATAAACATGTCCACCCACAAACATCTACCAGACAAGCAATATCTTCAGCACAACCAACATAACCATGACTAAAAACAACCTCCCTAGTAACACTTCTCGCCAGCCCAACAATCCCATCACCGAGATCTCTATAACCATCCTCCCCAGCCACCAAGTCCGCCTTTCCAGTCGCCAAAACCTCATAACCAACACCGCCGGCCTGGCCCCAGGCTACCTACAAGCCAACCTCTTGATTCTCCCCGCCAAACACAGCCAAGACTTCCACGACCTCTGCCTCCGCAACCCCGTCGCCTGCCCATTACTTGGCATCGCCCCGATCCCAGGCAATCCTCACCTCATCCAGCCAGAAGGATGCATCACCACGAGCGAAGACTTTGACATCCGCACCGACTGCCCTTTATACCGTGTCTACAAGCACGGCCAAGTAATCGCCACGCACCAACCATTCTCCTCCCCTTTTGGCCTGAACCTTGACCCGCCAACCCCAAACCCAAACACACCCACCCCCACCGCAAACCCCACAATCCCCCCTACAAGCCCTGTCCCCCAGCTGCCCCCTTTCGATCACCTTCCTCAAAACCAGAATCAAAAGAATACACGACCTTCCTATTAGGTAATTGGCTGCTCCTACTCCTTCGAACCCGCCCTAAGCACCGCCTCCCTCCCGCGACGGCACCAAACAACAAAAACCCTGGTGCCCATGTACCGCACACGCATCCCCCTCCATCCGGCGGTGATCTTCACGGGCGGCTACACCGTCTTCTCCATGCGACCCTACCCCGCCGACCAGGTGGAGCGGGTCGCGCCCTGACGCGGCCCTTCCTGGCCACCCACGGCGAGCCCATCGACAGGGGATGGGAGGCTCTCGGTTGACTGGGGATTGAGAATCTGGATACCCCGGACTTTGGGGACCGGTGTGTTGTGGAGAAGGAGGAGGTTTCTGTTTTCTGGGTATTTCTTCCCTCTCCCGGGTCTTTGTTGTTTGCTTCTCCTTGGATTTGATAATACGTATGTATTATGGTTTGGGATTGGGATGAGGGGGGAGCCCTCGGGGGAGAAGCCTGGGTTTCAGGCTTTGTGGGGTGGGGCTGGTTTAGTAGGTTCTCGTTTGTCTGTGTCAATTTGGATTGCTAATATGAATTAATGATGGAAATGTGTAGGCTTGTGGGGTTACGCCGCAACTGGCTGTTGAGGCTGCGGGGGATAAGATTGAGGGCTTGGTGTTTGCGCCTGAACCTGGCCATATGCTTGTTACCGATTGGAGGGAGGAGGGTTTGCTGAGGTTGAGGGGCAGGATTGGAAGTTTGAGCCTGTAGGTTAAGATTACCTAGTAGTGGAGGTAGGTCTTGAGGGGCTAGGTGTTCAATTGAGAGGAAAGAAGTTCTCTTGAATAGTGGAGATATTTTTTTCATTGTTCAAACCATAATGACACATTACATGACTTCATCACTCAGCTATAACGACAACCTCATTACCTACCCATGATATCTTCCCTTTTGATCCCAATCATTACACCCATCTCCACGTGCCACCGCCTACATGTTATATACTTGCATACTACTGAGCCAACCCCCATAATCATTTCTCTCTCTCCAATCCAGTCGTCCCCAACTCCTCCTCCACCTCCAAACTGAATCGGGCAAACCGACTGCGCGCCCGGATCCGCTCCCCGTAGAACATGAACAACACCGGTACCGCGCAGAATCCCGTCGCCAGCGCCGCCAGCAACGAGACTGCCACATTCGCCCCCAGCCCATCGAACATCTGACGCGTGAACAATGGAAATATACCTGACGTCATTGCCCGCAGAAACTGTATGGCCGCTGTGCCGCTGGCCGCGTAGCTCAAGTAGCTATCCGACACATACCCGTACAGCACTGTGTCGAACTCGTTGAGCGCAAATCCGATCATCACGAGGGCAATGGTCGGCACGATCCACGGGAGATCCGTGATGCGCGGCGGGATCGTCCAGGCGAACCACCATAGAGCCACAGCGAAGATGGGAGCTCCGATCACCAGCCCGTACAGCTTGTCTTCGGGCTTCACGGGTTGGTTGGCGGCCTTCCGTGCATCGAAGATCCGGTGGTCCAGAAACCGCGTGAAGGTACTGAAGAGCACGCCAACACCGATGGCGACGAATGCCAGACATGCCTGGGCGGTGGTGTATCCCATGGACTCGTAGATTGGTTGTAGGGCCTCGGTAAAGATGTAGACCAAGGAGAATGCGAAGGCTATCATGATGGCGATAATAAAAATAAGTAATTCACCGAAGAACAACTGCAATGGCCGAAACAACGAAATACGGATAAATGTTCTTAAGTCCGGAGTGTGGTCGTGGTTGAGCGGCTGCAGGGTCTCGTTGCCTGTCTCGTGGCGGATTCGCGCGACTTCGCGGGAGAGGAGAAGGGACGGACGTGATTCTCTGATGATAAAAAATAGACCAGTGAGGACGGCGAATATGATGGCGTAAATGTAAAATACCCAGCGCCTAAAGGAAACATCAGTGTCAGCGTAGAGTGACATTCATCAAACACCAGAACATACCAATCCAGGTGGGCGGATATGTAGGTACTCATGATAGGCCCAAGCAGTAATCCATAATTCGAAGCAATGGTCCACAGAAATATGACCCATATTCTCGCCCTCGAATCAAACATCTCTTCAATGCTACCTCCACCAACAGTATATGGAACCGCCGAAAGGAACCCTGCAACTATACGCGCGGGTATCACCGCGCCCAGCGAATGCGTCACCCCGATAACCACGCAACAAATTGTACTCCCCGCAGAACTGATAATATAAAGGTTTTTGCGGCCAAACGACTCCGACCAGGGCGGAAGGACAATGGCCCCGAAAATCTGGCCCACGAGAAATCTGTGTCGTTAGTATCATTCGAACACTTCTTGCAGTAAAGGGAAGCCATACAATGTTACAAAGATAAAAGTTGCCAGCGTGCTTGCGATGTGGTATTCGATTTGGGCTTTCTGAGCCGCTAATGCCTAGGCTCATTAGCAACATTCAAACGTACGGAGAGGTAGAAATTACTCCGGCTGTGCTTGTAGCAGTACTAGTGGCAGTTAGCAATCATCTCGTCGTTAGGAAGCGACAAGTTGCCATACGCAAAAGTATCCAGAAGAAATATGACACTACTGTCAAAGGTCTTTCGGCTGGACGACCAGTTCCGCGGCTGCTTTTTGTTGAATTTTCCCCAGCGGACGTACTGACCGTCCGCTGTTAGCGCAAGCTGATTCTTGAGCAGGTATGCGTCCATAGCCATAGAATCAGAAACCACCGCCGTTACTTTTGCTGTCATGGTGTCGGATTCGGACGTTAGCAAAGAGCATTGCATGGGGCACAGGGAACATATAGAGCTCTGCGGGAAAGATACCCCAGGTCATGCCTGATGGAGGCTATACTGCTACTACATTTCTCACCAGCCATGCTGAGACGATCGGCACAGCAGCCAAGTCTATCACCCCTTGTTGGTGATGTCGAACGTCATAACCGCGTGTCCTCCGAGGTTAAAAAGATTTGCTAGGTCACGCTCGAAGTGACTGCTGTAGGCTTCGTCCTCCTGAGACTGACGCGGCAGGTGATCATCGAGAAGCTTCAAAGAAGTGGCTCTTGAAGCTTGACAAATATTTTTCCGTGACTTGGAGGGTTCAACAAGGGATGAGTGACCAACGTCTGATATGCAGGGCAATAGTGGAGGTGATTGTCTTATAAGATGAACCATATGATTTGTACTTCAGATGTAACTCCGGGGAATTCCCCTTCAGCTCGACCTCGAGATCATTCTCAAATAGGCCGAACCTATTGAGCTAGATCTTTTGGAGAAGACAGTCTAACAGCTTCTCCTCCATGGTTGGGTGGTCAAGCAGCTGCTTGAGAACACGGCGGGGATGTTGAGAGCATTCCACGCCGGACGATGCCTGGGGCTTTCTTTCCTCTTTAGTTCCGACTCATGCAAGGGGCTCGCGAAGATGACGAATAAGGCGCGTACAGTACGTCTTCTCGGAGATATTTTTATTACCAGACTTAGGTAGTCTTCCCTTAGTCTCACTTTGCAACAGTCTTCAATGCATGACTTACCTATCCCTTGCCCAAGAATACTTCCCGCAGGTGATTTGACTTGACAATGAATCCTCCAACGCACCAAGCCAGCACGATCACCTGCAGTTTTGGGTTTATGCTCATAATACTGCATAATATTACGAAATGGCCGACCTGAGTCAGAGTATGCCAAAGACCATTTCTCGTCCATTTCAACTACTTATCTTTTCTCCCCAAGAAGTTCTTAGTCACGAAACATACTATCTATCGCTTCGACGATCATACGGGACGGACTATTACTACTTGACAGCATATAATCAGCCACTCTACTTTGGGAATTGCACTCTCACACAACACTACCTCGTTCCAAACCAGCCCAGGCCCTGGAACTGAGCCTTAAAGCCCCAGGGCTCGTCCAATTCCCCGAACACGGAGATAACAAGCCCCCAAGTCCGCCCCGAGAACTCTTTTCCGTGTCCACGATTGACTCCTGGCGCCTGCACCCGCCAACCTATCAGCGCTCACCTCGTATAGCACAGCCAATAACCAGCCCGCGACATCCCCCGTCCGGCCCAACAGTGGAACTCGCGATCACCGGAACGGATCAGATAAGATGTCCGGTTGTTCCACCAGGCAGGCCGCAGCACCGGAGTCCATCTAGATCAGCTCATTCGGAGCTAGGGATTCCTTTCATCCCCTAATTATGAACATGGGATATATAGCCCGGAGTCCCAGCTTTCCTACCCTGAGATTAAAGAGATTTGAGCCGAAATCAGCCCATGTCAACCCCTCATCCAGTGGAACGAATCCCCACAACAATCTACTCTGCAACCACAAAACACAAGGAATAACAAAATGCTCTCCACCCTCCTCCTAATTTTCAAAGCCCTGGGCCTAACCTTCAAACAACTAACCATCCACCTCTCCCTCGTGCTCACCCCGCGCCTCCACCGCCTGACCTACCGCTCCGTGCCTCACCCCAAAAACATCGTCATCATCGGCGCTTCCTTCGCCGGCTACCACGCCGCCCGCCGCCTTGCCTCCACCGTCCCAACGGGCTATCGCGTTGTCATCATCGAACGGAACTCCCACTTCCAGCTGACATGGGTCCTGCCCCGCTTCAGTGTCGTGGGCGGCCACGAGCATAAAGCCTTCATCCCGTACAAGGGGTATCTTGCGCCTGTGGCGGAGGGGGCGTATACTTGGGTCAACGGGTCAGTGGGTAGTGTCATTGTGTCGGATGGAGATGCACCGAAGGGACAAGGGAAGGTCGTGCTTGGGGAATCGGGCGAGGAGATTGAGTTTGAGTATTTGGTTGTCGCGACGGGGGCGGTTGCCTCGGGGTTACCGTCGCGAGTTGGGGTGATGACGAAGGTTGAGGGAATGAAGGTGTTGGTGGGTGAGCAGGAAAGGATTCGTGCGGCGAGAGATGTGGTTGTGCTTGGGGGTGGGGCGGCTGGGGTGGAGATGGCCGGTGATGTGAAGGAACGGTATCCGGAGAAGAATGTGACACTGGTGCATTCGAGGGAGAGACTGTTGAATCGGGGGTACGGGGAGGGCTTGAGCCGGAGGGCGTTGGAGGGCTTGGAGGGCTTGGGAGTGACAGTGCTATTGGGGGAGAGAGTGGTAGATGGTGATCACAATTTAACCGGGGAGGTTAGGTTGAAGTCTGGTGGGGTGGTTAAATGTGATTGCTTGGTGGGTTGGAATCTTGAATTCATGTGTGGTTTGGTTGCTGATGAGTTCAGGTCAAATGTGTTGGGCAAAGGCCAAACTCGGGATTGGTGGCTAAGGTATCACCTTTGTCAGTCACTGAGTCGGGGCATATCAGGGTACGACCCTCACTGCAATTGGCGGATGAGGCCTGCAGCCGTATCTATGCAGCTGGAGATGTGATTGAGGTGAATACAGTGCAGAATGCGCGTGGAGCACTCCAGCAAGCGGAAGTCGTTGCACGGAATATCGTGCGAGCAATCAAAGGCAAGCGCCTGGTCGTGTATCGGCCGAATTGGTGGGAGAGTGCAACAAAGCTCACGCTCGGCTTGGTGAGTCATTCACAAATATTTTGGGATACAGGGCTAACTATGCACAGAAGAAGAGTGTGATGTATATGAGTGACGGGTCTGCCGAGTTGATCGTTTCCACCAAGAGCAAAGAAGAGCTGGACAGTGCTCGTGTCTGGAAATACTTTGGATTGAAGCCCTTCAATGATACTAGCAAGGAGAAGACGATTTGACATAGACTAGATGATATGCAGTAGGGAACTTGGCCTATCGAAACACCGGTTTCAGGTTCTTCATTCGATTTGTTATTGGTAGCGGACGTATCGTATCAAGATACCAAATACTTGCCTGGTGTTCTTGCCAACTAGATCTCCTGAACACATCAACCAGTCCATTAGACGTCTGTCACTGCAACTTTCGCACTTGAAAAATATGTAGGCGAGACCTACTGTCGGTCATCTTGACTGAGCAATTTTAAATCTAGTACAATCGTACTTGGGCTGAGGATCTTGATCTACAATCGGTAGATTAGCGACTAATTCGGTTGATGGGACGTTCCCGCTTCTTGGCTTTTTGGTGGGGTTACCAGCCGGGCGCGCCCGGGTTCTAACCATTAAGCCGAATCCCAGGAGTGCTCTTCTTCATTCATGTTGTGCAGTCCAGAGCTGCAAATCTCTTTGTGATGGAGTACTAGTCATGTACAGTACTTGCCGCTGAGAATGCTTGCATAGTTCAGAGCCCTATAGAAACATAACTTAAGATCTTTTCTCGCTGTTTTATGGCTTAGTTATAAGACAATATTATTACCCGACGACGATCACAGTCGACAACATCCATGATGCAATGAGCCTCGCTTCGTCCCTTCGGGTCTCGTATGGCATATTTTAGTGAGATCATTTCTCGGCCCCTGAGTTGTGAGGCAATTGAGGCGCAGGGTATCAGACGATGGAGCTGTGGCTTATGATTCGTGAATGGCCGGCTACGGCAGCCTAGCTACGGATCCTGGGGGCTCAGCCTTTGTTGAATCCTTCTCGTATAAGAAGTAAATGGTGGTCTCGCGTCCCTACCAGGCAGCCTCAATTCATTATTCCCTCATCCTCGGGACAATTCCCTAGATGACATTAGTCTACCGCACCACTCATGGCAACCAATACAGAATTAGCCGAGTTCACGGCGCAGAAACGCTTCCACCAGCGATTCGTCTTGCCTGCAACGGCGGATCATGGCCCTCTGATTGTGACGTATGCAGATGTCGGACCGCGTCAGACGGCAGACGAAGCACCGGTACCTACCATTCTGGCAGTACCTGGTATGGCAGGTAATCGACTCTGGCTTTACCATAAAGATCATCTAGCGAATGTCATCGGGGTTAGGATCATCTCGATCGATCGGTGGGTTGCCTGTGCCCCATTCGTCCTCATTGCACTGTGAGACCAATTGCTAAAAAGCTTAGTCCCGGGTTGGGCGGGTCGACGCCTGTTCCCATCGAGCAAAGGGTCACTATCTGGCTGGAAACCGTAACAGCACTGCTGGACTACTTGTCAATCCCGCATGTCGTGCCCATCTCGCACAGCGCGGGCACTATTTACTTGCTAAATCTGCTTGTACGCAGAAGAAACTTGCTATGGCCACAGAAGCCGGTTGCAATGCTTCTTGGTGAGCTGCATTATCCATCGCAGTGGCTTGATCCTTGAATGCCGCTGACAAACTAGCCCCATGGGTCGAACCCAAGCATTCCGACGTCCTATCCATGCAAATGGCTCAGATGCTCCCCAAAGGAGTATTGAATCATTGGAACAAGCTCATTGCGTTCACCGTGACCAAAGCAGCGCCAGCCTTTGTTGCCAGTGCGGGCCTCCTATCGAATATGTCTTCCAGCTTGCCCAGAATCGGGAAAAGCCTTGACCCAGAAGGGTCGGAAAGATGTCTTGCTACATACGGAATGTCAGTAGAAGCAGTGGAAACCCTCGATAAATTGACCATGGAGTATCTGTTCTCAGAAAACTCCACAGGCATCAATGATGAGGCGGTGGTTTGTCTGAAGAAAGGACCGCAGGGGCTGTGGGGGGCTTGTGAGGATCTCCCGGCTTATATCCGGCAATTGGTGCAGTCGGAACAAGAACATAGACAGCAGCATCCACAGACAGAGGCTTTACAGCTCAAAGCTGTCTTCGCAGACAAGGATAGCATGATTGGACCCAAGGGCCAGAAATACTTTGAGCATTGTTTTACACAGGCTGATCTTGGAGGGGCGATGTCTTTTGAATCAGTGGTGGTGCCGGACACCGACCACGATTCAATCTGGTCAACGCGGACGGGAGTGTTGGAGAAGCTCATGTGGGACATCAAGAAAATCGCGCAGTAACTGACCCAGAAGACCATTAAAAGCTTCTACCTCCAAGGAGATGTTTTCCAAAGTGTCCCTGCGACAGTTAATTAATAATGCATGCGCCCTGACCGCATTTGTCAGCAAATCATCCAACCTTTTCTGACGCCATTCTGTAAAGCTTGCTAGACGCAGATATAAGAATCAATTGACTGCCTGAACCCACCATGATATTTGCTTTACTTGCCAGAATCCCTTACAGTCGCATTTCAGAACCACCATGAGCAGCCCCTCTACTCTCGTGGTCAAGGCCGACCACACCCCTTACTACACCCCCGCCAACAATGCCGGTGCGGCCGTCCAACCCCGCGATGCCGCCACACCGACGCTCTTCCGCCCGCTGACAATCCGCGACGTGACCCTGAAGAACCGTGTCGTGGTTTCGCCCATGTGCATGTACTCCGCTGAACCCGACCCTTCCTCCCCCTTTATTGGCGCTTTAACCGATTACCATATCGCCCACCTCGGCCACTTCGCCCTCAAAGGAGCCGGTCTTGTCTTTGTCGAAGCGAGCGCCGTGCAACCGAACGGTCGCATTTCCCCCAACGATGCTGGATTGTGGGACACTGCCCCGGACTCGGAGCAGTTCAAAGCTCTCCAGCGGGTCGTACGCTTCAGCCACGCCCAGGGTGCCAAAGTGGCATTGCAGTTGGGCCACGCCGGACGCAAGGCTAGTGTGGCCGCTCCCTGGTTGGCAACTAAGGCCGGGAAGCCCAGTCTGAAGGTGGATGAAGACGCATTCGGATGGCCTTCCAATATCGTTGGACCGTCAGGTGGGAAGGAACATATCTGGGATGGCACAGGCGAGGGGCATTGGACGCCACGGGCGCTGAGCACGGAGGAAGTTGAGGAGGTGGTCAAGGCGTTTGCTGCGAGCGCTGAGGTGGCTATCCGAGCTGGAGTCGATGTACTCGAAATTCATGCGGCGCATGGATATCTCCTGCACCAGTTCTTGAGCCCTGTTACCAATAAGCGCACGGACAAGTATGGTGGGAGCTTCGAGAATCGCACCCGACTCGTGCGCGAGGTCGCGGCGGCTATTCGAGCGGTGATACCTAGTGGAACACCGCTGTTCTTGCGAGTGAGTGCGACCGAGTGGTTGGATGGACAGGCCGTGGCAGCCGAGTCTGGCTCCTGGGATCTGGAAAGCACCATTCGTCTGGTTGCAGACCTGCCGGAGCTTGGAATCGATCTGGTAGACGTCAGCTCCGCTGGCAACCACAAGGATCAGAAGATCGTCCTCAATAAGAACTATCAGGTTGACCTGGCGGGTCATGTGCGCAAGGCGATCCGAGAAGCCGGAGCTCCGACACTCGTGGGCAGCGTTGGATACATCACCGACGCGGAGCAGGCCAAGGAGATCGTGGAAGGAGCTGATGAAGCTCGCGCAGCGGAGGCCACGCTGTCTGGATCATTCCCACGCGCCGATCTGGTGTTTTTGGCACGCCAGTTCCTGCGTGAGCCGGAGTGGGTGATGAACGCTGCGAAAACGCTGGGAGTGCCTGTGGAAAAGCCCGTACAGTTTGGGCGGGCTATCTGACGAGGCGGAGGGGTACTGATGAGGAATGATTGTGTAGATAGACTTGCATATTATGAATAATACACCGATTTAGATTGCTACCAGTTCTTGTCTGTATTTAGTTAAGTAATTGAGTTGATGAATCTCATGCGGGGTGCGGAAATCGCCGAGGTCCTCGCGCTTGACCGCATCGGAATGACGAGCTGCAAACGACTCATCAACAGCCACTGATTCATCGATGCATTCGCGCCCTTATTAAGGCCAACCCCGCACTCTCGAAGCTCTTCTTTCTCTTCCCCTCCTTCATTGACTTTGCCCAACCAACACCAGCCTTCTCCCATCATCGCCATGGCCCTCAAACCCGGAGACTCTTTCCCCGCTGACGTTGTGTTCCAGTATGTGCTCGTACGGATTGGTATCACAATAGTGCCCAATTAACAAACAATCACTAGGTACATCCCCTGGACCGAGGAAAGCGGCGAGATCTCAGCCTGTGGAATTCCCATCGCCTACAACGCTTCAAAAGAATGGGCCGACAGGAAAGTTGTTCTGTTTGCCGTCCCGGGTGCGAGATGATTTACCCCATGTTCTTCTCCGCGCGGAAAGATATATACTAACCAATAGTGGAATCTCATAGGAGCCTTCACCCCCACCTGCTCCATCAACCATGTTCCGGGCTACATCCAGAATCTTCCAAAGCTCAAAGAGAAAGGCGTGGAGGTAGTCGCCGTCATTGCTTCCAACGACCCGTTTGTGATGAGTGCCTGGGGAAAGGCCAACAACATCAAGGGCGATGATATTGTTCGTGCTCCCCGAACCGGATAGGCTGCCCCCAGAGAAGACACTAACAGCTCTAGCTCTTCCTCTCCGACCCTGATGCTAAGTTCGCCAACTCCATCGGCTGGGCGAACAGTGGCCGCACTGGTCGATTCGCGATCATTATCGACCACGGAAAGGTGACCTATGCACAGATTGAGACCGAGCAGGGCGTCAAGGTAACAATGCGAACCAAGATTCTCCGGGACAAACTCGGGTTGATACTAACTCTCAGCATAGGTCTCCGGTGCAGATGCTGTGCTGGCTCATCTGTGAGCATGAGGGCAGTAGTAAAGAGAGTAAAGCAATCTATAGAATACAACTTCTCATACTTTATTTTCTGCCTTAGGTGGCATTGCTCGAGCGTCTGATTTACAGTACTACATATCATCTCGTCGGCCACGCGGTCTCTGATGTAGTGCAACGACGATAACAGTCATGACTGTTACCACACTATAAGCATAATATATAGTGCTTTTTGAATAGATTAGGTGTAGAGAATGGCTAACATGGCTAGTTATGACTGCGAGCTAGCCAAGCAGCAGGGTACAAGAGTACTTTACAGACGCAGGATTAATGGACCAAATTAAGTATATTAATATAGAATTTGCTCCATGTTTCAACAAAGTCCGATGTGGTGTAATGGTCAACATCGCTGTCTCTCACACAGCAGCTCGGGGTTCGATTCCCCGCATCGGAATTACTTTTTTTTTCCCCACACTACTTTTGTGGCTATATGCATTTTCTTGTCTCTTGATGATGAACTTGAGTAAGGGTTAGATAGAGCCGAGCGGGTTGTCGTAATGATGTGCTTACTCTGGGAAGGTACGTGATGGCACTTACAACAGGACGGTGCAAGGACGACGTCTTCCTCATTTGGAATCCGTGATAATGTATCGTCTTGGACTACAGACTATTTATCACATTACCACTCTGTCGTCGAGCAGTTGAGACGGCCATCGATCAATTCAGTCAATACCCCTCTGAATGATAGGTAGTTTCGATATTTGTTTTAAGGCTCATTACCAGCTATCGCCCAGTGTATATCAATTTTGTTGGAGACGGCCCTCGAATCAGATCGATTCTAGTCTTCATGCGAGATTGCCCATACTCTATGCCTTGGGAAAGTCCTAATGATGACGGGAAACTTTACTCAATTGCTGTCTTACGGTCAATCCAAGCGAGCCCATGTCAAGTGCCTGTCCACAATAGCCAGAGGGTGTAGTTTTGTCATGTTAAGACATTTTGCTTGCCCGAAAATTTGTCTTCAAGGTTTTCGACTGCTTATCCTGGGATTGGTGGACCAACCCATGCGGTGTCAGCAGCTTGCATGAACCCCGGATTTAAGACATTATTCGGAAATACTAGAAAAGCTATAGCCAATCACTTCGCTCAATGTTCTCTGGAAACTGAACGAACGCAGTGGCACGTTTCGAATCGGAGGATGAAAAAAGGTGAGGGAATCCACACGGGCCAAAATCGATCCGATGCCCAAGCCCGACTAATCGATTTTGAGGAAAGTCTCCTGTGCCCCGCCCGGTTCCCGCTCCTCCTCCTGCTGAATAATCTCTCTTAAGCTCTTGATGTCATCCATTTTTGCACCAGCTCTATCTATATAAGTCTCAAGAGAGCCAAATTACGGTCACTCACGCTATAAACTAGTCACAGATTCGATATACATCTTCTACCATGGCTCCCAAGGTTCTCGTTGTCCTCACTTCCCAGGACCACTTCCCTGCTAACAACCACCCCACCGGTTGGTATCTGGTGAGTACCCCGCCATCCACAACATGATCGACTTCAATGTAACCAACCTAGCAATAGCCCGAATTCGCTCATCCCTGGGATGTTCTCCACGAGAAAACCGAGCTGGTCATTGCCTCTCCCAAGGGCGGCAAGGCCCCTCTCGACCCCAGCTCCGTGAAGATGTTCGAGAACGATGCCGTCTCGACCAAGTTCCTGAAGGAGCAGGAGGCCCTCTGGACCAACACTGTGAAGCTGTCCGATGTTGCCTCCAAGGTCTCCGAGTTTGATGCCATCTTTTACGTCGGTGGTCACGGACGTAAGTCACCTGTCCTGCCACTGTGTAGATTGACAATTTACTGATTGCAACCAGCGATGTACGACCTCCACAGCGACGCCACCTCCCTGGCTCTGATCCAGGAGTTCGCTGCTGCTAAGAAGCCCGTCGCCGCCGTCTGCCACGGTCCTGCTGTTCTTGTCAACGCTACCACTCCCTCTGGTGAGCCCCTGCTTGCCGGTGCGGACGTCACCGGTTTCTCCAACACCGAGGAGGACCAGGTTGGCCTTAGCCCCATCATGCCTTTCATGCTGGAGGACGAGCTCAACCGCGTCTCCGGTGGCAAGTATGTCAAAGCCGAGCAGCCCTGGGGAGAGAAGGTTGTCGTCTCCAATGTTGCTGGTCTTGGTGGTATCGTGATTACTGGCCAGAACCCGGCTAGTGCTACTGGCGTTGGAAAGGCCATCCTCAATGCTCTCGGATTGTAATCGGTGATGTGCGATACTTATGTGTGATGACCTGATAAGTCTAATTAATGATAATATATATTCATTATTGAGAATACTCCGTCGACATTCTTTTGATACTTACACTGTACAAGTAGTTACACGAGGAGAAGCACTTCGATCATAACTTTCCATATTTGCGATCTTAGAAACCACAATCCATGTCTAGATACTTTCAACGGCCCTTAATTGATATGCGCGGCTTGTCGAGTGCATCGCTTTTACTATAGACCGGGTACCACCGATGTTGCAATATCCTTTCTATAACCGGCCGATATCTGCCCGCACAGTCGATGCTCAGGCAGCAGAAGCCGATCGAGTTCTTTAAGGTCAATGTTTCAGCTACATCATTTGTGGTACGCTGGGAACCCAGCGGTGGGAAGTTCATATCGAGTAGCTACGAATCTTTCCGACGTCGCAAGCGATATGCCCCGGTGAAACTAAAGGTCGGCTCAAACTTCCTTCATGACGCTACCTGACGCGGATGATCTAATTTTGACAGCGTAGGAAATCCCATGTAACGCCACCTCTTCAAGCATTGTGAGAGACCTTGCGTATCATTGGCCTCGATCAGACTTCCTGCATCCCGCATCAATTCTTTAGACCTCATCCATTGTGGCAGCCCTCGATATAATGTCCATACTCCTAGACACCACCCTCCATGACCTCTATATGCTCGACACCGATGGCGCCCATCACGGCGTCATAACCACGTACCCATACCCATGCCAGGCCGAACGGGAGACGCCCAACCCCTTCTCATCCGAGCACTTCCTCTACGGCATCACTTTCCCTAACACCACCGTATCGAACAACATGCAGATTATCCTGGAGTGCGGCATCGCCCAGCGCTACTCCTTCATCACCGGCCACGCGCCTGTCATCCTCTTCGACTCCCTCCCACCGATTACCCCTCCCTCCGCCCAGGAATCCTTCCAATCGTCACCCATCATCGACATCCTCACTCTCTACTCCCAACTCCACCCCTCCCAACGACCGCAAGTCCACTTCCCCCGCAACGCCTCCGAGATCCACCTCCCGCCCAACACGCGCATCGCCATCATCGTCCCCCAAGTCGAGCTCGCCCACCTCCCGCACATCGTCGCCCCGGAAACCCAGTACCACCGCCGCAGCAAACGCTGGCTCGCGCTCTCCAACCTCCCAACCCCACCCTCTACCATAATCGACCCGGCCCTCCCCTATCAAACCCCGAAGACGCCACAGCCATCAAAGAAGAAATCAAGCGCATGCTCAACACAATTGAAAGCGGTCACCCCCTCCCCTTCGTTGTAAAAGTCTCCATCGCCGTTTCTGGCCGGGGGACCTTCCTGATCCGCACCGAACCGGACCGACGCGCCGCCTGCACCCGCCTCCGCGCCATCTTCACACCTCCCTCCCGCACGTCACCCATAGCTAAAACGCCCACCTCTTCCCCGTCAGCCTGGTCCTGCAGCCGCTCCTCCCTCCCCGGCGAAGCCTACGGGCTGACCTTCTTCGTCACCCAGACCGGACGGGCGGTGTTCCTCGCGGCATCACGCCAGCAATTCAACGCCGAGGGTCAGTGGCGGGGCGGGTGGGTGTCGTTTCCAGCGCAGCGGGCGCTGAGAGAGCGCTACTGGAGCACGATCACGGCTATAGCGGATGAGCTGCATGCGTGTGGGTATTACGGGACGGTCGGGGCAGATGTCATGGTCGATGAGACAGGGCGGCAGCTCGTTGTCGACGTGAATCTCCGCGTGACCGGGTCGTATCATTTGGGTCTGCTGCGCGGCCATTTTGTGCGCAGGGGTTTGGTGGTCGTTGCCGTTTTGTCGCCTTTGTTTGTTATGGGGGAGAGGCGGGTGTTCGAGGAGAGGGTTGCGGAGGAGGTTGCGGAGGGGAGGCTCATTGTTACCGCGTGGGTGCATGGGTTGCGTGGGGGGAAGGGATATGCTGCTGTCACGTTGCCCGGGGAGGATGAGGCGCGGTAGGCGGCGTTGGTGAGCTTGGTGGAGGGTTATGTTGAGAGGGCGGACAAGATGGTGCGTGCGGTGCTGTAGAGTAAAAGCTTGATTGTAGTCGAAGGGATGCATTGAGTGTCTCATCGTTCTATTCTATTTTCGTTCCATCCTGCCTCAACCTGGTTCGTGTCTCGAAGGATGCCCGTCCCTACTAGATTAGATCCCACAGCAGAACATAGCCTTCAAACGGTCCCAGGGCCTCTGACTAGCCATCCACTGCGCATCCTGTCTCCGCATCTCGCCCTGGTTCCACTTCTCGTTAAACTCCTCTTCATCGTCGACACACGTAGTAGAGCTCGACACATCATCCTTATACCTCATCTCCTCCCTCCCGCAATACCCGCGAATCGACTCGATGACCATCTCAAACTCTCCCTCTTGATCTCCGAAAAAGCTATACATCCAATGGTCAGCAAACTCCTACCCCTCAAATTCCTCGAACAGAGACCGAAAGACTTCAAGAGAAACTCACCTCCGAACCATAATCCCCACCCTCCGAACCCTCGCCAGATCCAACGGCTCCACCCCCTCAACCTCCCTCCCCCGATACGTTGGCCGGAACTCCTTCCAGGGGAACCGCAACACACCCCCACCCTTCGGCACCGTGAAGTCCACCTCCCACGACAGCGAGCTGCGCTCCCGGCCGTCGGGCCGGCTCGGCAGGATCTCGTCCTTCAGGTTCAGGGTATAGCGCTTATCGTCGCCGCGGGGGATGTGGACCTCCAGGCCCGAGAAGGGGGAGAGGTCCCATTCCTTGGTTGTGGTTGTCGTGCGCTGGGAGGCGAAGCCGGCGCCGCCGAGGGTCTTGATGTCGAGGGTGCCGTGGAAGCGGGCGGTGGTTTGGTCGTTGGAGGATGAGGTGATGGTTAGGTAGGAGTGGGAGGCGCCGCCGCGGACGCGGTCGTCGGAGGAGGTCCAGTCGGTTGGGATCCAGGGGCTGTTGGGATGTTGTGGTTAGTGGGGGGGCGGATCTTGAAAGGGGCGAGAGTGAGTTGACGTACTTGGAGCCTCCGAAGAGGTAACTTGATGTTGTGCTTGCCATTTTGTTGATGAAAGGTGTAGTCTGGAGGAATTGACCGGGGGAAGGACACAAGAAGAATGAGTTGGTGTGGAGGAATTTTCTGGATGTTTGGTTCGAAAACCACCGCGATCGATCGGCGAGTGGCCGGAGACGATGACGTTGGAATTGCGGAGTTCCGATGCGGAGCTCGGCTGGGTTTAGCTTCGCCGGGCGGGATTGTCAATGCTGCTTTTTTCCACAATGAAAGTGGCCAAGGTTAAGAGTTTGGTTATGATGGGGAAATAGCTTTGTCGTGAGTCGCTATCTCGTGGGGTTGGAGTTGTGGAGGGTTCGATCTGGCCCAGTCCAGACCCCGCTGCTCAAATTGTCTCGGCTGTGTTCACTGTGTGTTTAGATTTGCTTCAAGACACTCCTCACAGGTACACTATACATACAGAATGCACTTTGCTGCAGATGACATCTGCAGCAGGCAAATAGCTGATAAATGAGTGAGTTCGTTTTCATAACGAAGAACTAAAAAGTCGACGCAATTGGCATCTTTTTCCAAGCGGAGAGTCCTCACTTGTGGCCATGGCTCTCATCAAACCTGTTGAGGATAAAAATGTGAACTCGAGAGCATGGCTGATATACACATCAACTTTCTATGTCGGTTTACAAGGCATAGAACACGGTGTATCGGACTTGACCTTATCTGTTCCAGCCTATCCAACATACTTTCCGGGATAAGTGCCGAAGGGAATCATTTCAGGTTTGGACTGCAACCGTCAACCCCGCGCTCGCCACTTGTATCAAAATACTCAGGGTGAGACAAACCACGCAGGGTTAATGGCAACGTCGTCCTGACGCAAAGCTCGCATCCCACGGTAGTCAGATCCGTTCTGTATGCCATCCGGCGGAACGAAACTGCTCCCGACGGACAATCTTGACGTCATGTGTATGTAGTCTTGGCCATAACATATAACATCAACTGGCTCTCCCCATTGATTCTTTTGTTTTTAGTAATTGAATACTGATCACCAAGTTACGTGAACAATCGCTCTCATCAAAATTTGAACTATCAAGCCAGCTCTACATCAAGTCTCATCATGGTAGCACAGTCTGGACCTCTCACGAACGGGCATCCCGGCTCAGTTCGGTAGGCGACTTTGATGAATTATGGTTGATGGTGTGCGTATAAGCATTGATGCTAATTGTTAAACTGCGCAGATCTCGCAACATCGCCCTGCTCAGTATCGTTGGGGTGATTGCTGGCGCCGCCCTCGTCTTCCGAGCCCAGTCACCCAGCAAGGATGAGAAGATATACTCGCTGAAAGAAGCTCAGACTATGAGTGGAGGACAAACTGGCGATGATAGAGTCGGTCGGGCACCGAGCCATCAACCCAAGAATTGAGTCTTGGAGAATAAATATGACTGTTATGACACCACAATTTATCTGTATATTAGGCGAATGGTTGGGCTTTGTTGATTGAATATTGAGACAAGCACATGAGATGCTTCATTATCCGCTGCATAAAGAATCATTCCATGCTATCGAATGCTATGCAACGCTATCTAGCCAAGCCTTCGTATCATCACTTCCGTAAACCTCCTCAGTGCCAATACTTGGGTGCGACCCCCTTGATAGTCAACCAAACCTCCTCGACCACCTTCACAACCTCTTCCGGTAAAGGCTCCTTCTCCAGGTCGGCCAGGTTCTCCTCCAAGTGCCTAACACTACTCGCCCCGACAATAATCGCATCGCCCAATTCCCTCCTCAATTCCGAGTGATACTTCAACCACCGCAGCGCCACCTCCGCAACCGTCAACCCAAACCTCCCACTCACCTCCTGGATCCGCTCCAACGCATCAAAATACGTATCATTCCAGTACCGACCCCGTGACACTACCCCTTGCACAATCTTGGGATCAAACCGCGACCCGGCCTCAAACTCCGTCTGCTGGCGCGTATACCGGCCGGTCAGGAATCCGCCCGCCAGCGGCTGGAACGCATACAGCGCGATGCCGTACTTGCGCAGACACGGGACCAGCTCCGCCTCGACGCTGCGCTGCAGCGCATGATACACCCCCTGGTACACCGTCGGCCGGACCCAGTTGTTCCGCACGCAGATCTCGCAGATCTGCGCCACCTCCCACGCCATGAAGTTGCTCAGGCCAAACCGCATGAAGTGGCCTTCCTCGTGGAGCTGGTTGACCTCCCGGAGGGTGTCCTCGTAGGGAACGCTACGGTCCGGGCCGTGCAGGTAGAACAGGTCGATCTTCGTGGTGTTAAGGGCTCGGAGGCTGTCTACGAGCCCCCGTCGGACGTCTTCGGGCTTATGGGTATAGCTGTTCACGTTTGCCACGTGGCTGCTGATGTTGGGATAGAGCTTGGTGGCCATGATCAGGTCGCGGGTTTGCCAGTCAAGGGCGGCGAGCATCTCCTCCGAGGAGCCGTGGCCGTAGAGGCGCGCGGTGTCGATCTCGCGGTGGCCGTGGCGCTGGAAGACGTCGAGGATAGTGGCTGCGGTGGCCGTGTCAAAGACGCGCGCGCCGAGGGTATCTGGTCATCTTGTTAGTTACTTGCTGGGGTCTTTGTGGAATAGGGATGGTGTTGGTGGGTGGATCTGCGTACCAGGCTTGCCAAAGGTCATGGCGCCGAAGACGATCTTGAGATCTGCGCTGTTGGCCATTGCTGTTGTCGGTGGCGTTTATTATGCTGAGGTTCCAATTTTTGAAGACGAGGCATGATTTGAGAGGGAACCTTCAAATTTATATACACTGTCATGCATAATGTTCTTCACCTTTCTGGTTGGCCTTGTATGGTTATATGGTTATTTCCGCAGGAGATAAGTGAGATGTCACCTAACTCCGGATGACAAACCCCACTCGGAAACCGCTAAACAATATCATAAGGGAGAACATTAATATGAATACAATCTCGAATACGGATCGTGGCTGAGACTTAATACATCATGAATAGTCTATGTAAGCCCTTATTGTTGCCCTGTCCGTGTTCATCTTGCTTGCAGGCATCGACATTTCCGCGGACTAGACACAAGCCGCCAAGAATAAAGTCGGACAGCCAAGCAACCAACAGATGCTTGAATCGATTCAAGGAGGTGAGCAAGGATCCGTCAATTTCTACATAATATGCAGGCTCGCCACTGAAGGATCCTGGATTCTAGTTCTAGTACAACTCGAATTCCGTGCAAGCGAACCGCAAATTCCAGATCTTCAGCCGACGCCCGCGGCGGCATCCCCACTGCGCTACTTTCACCCCCGAGATTATCTCCGTAGATCAGATGAAGAAGAACAACCCGAGCATATTCTTCTAAAAGGCTGTCAACGGTCGGCACTCTTGTTTTTGAAAGTTACCTCTGTAGTAGGAGACCCTGCAGCCTCATATCCCGAAAAGGTACTGGGTCTTTTTGTGAGCTCAAGACGCTACTGCCGGTTCCGTGCTTTATTCCACGCATATCGTTGCGGACTAGCCCGCATGCATGCTCTCTTGTCACCCACGGGAGGCCGTCTGTCATATACGAGAGCGCTGCGAGCCAATTTCTTTTGCCAACGAAGGAGATAAATTCTTTGGCCCGAGTCAGAAAGAGCCTGGTAAAAAATCGAAGTATTGGATCCCTCATAATGGAACGACTATTCTTGTTCGACCCTGATGCACATCATTACTAACCCCTCACTGTCCACATAACCCAGACATAACATCATATACATAATGCACATACAAACGATTTACTGTTCTGGTATAGTCGATATGCTCTGTGCTAAAGCCACAGACTATGATTGTGTCATCGATTGGATGCAGATTTTGTCAGCCCTGTCATTATCAACTTGAAGTCAATGCTTTTGAAATGATATGAGACAGCCCAAGCTCATCGAAACTGGACCACAGCTCTCTTCTAGAAACGGCATTTCCAGACGACACCTGGCACACTAGGTACTAGGTATAGCTTGACGAGTACTCCTTCCTAGCCGGGACCAACGCCAGAAGAAGCAAATATTCCTGGCATATATAAACAAACCCCGCAGGATGAGCCTTCACGCTATTTTATCGAGAAGACGGGCTTGAATGGTCGACCTTACCCACGTTCGGTGGGGCCTTCAAGCGAAATGTGTTGACCATGTCTACTGGACGATGGAGAGGCCGATAACGGAAACATAATCTCTGATCTACGGCTAGGCGCCAGCGTGACTTTGTCAAGCTGGCTCTCTGCCAGTTGTAGAAGGCTGATAGCGTCCTGTCACTCAAAGACAGCTTTTAGAGTTGAACAAAGCAGACAGTATTATATGGCTTGTTAGTATGGGGTGGTCCGGAGGTTCTGGCCCAAGCCATGGGCCTGGCTCGCTGATTGGTCCTTCTCGCCGACCCGGTCGAACCTTTGATTTAGCTTCGTCTTGGAGGCACGAATCAGTCTAGTGACTCTTCACCCTCATATCCCTAGCACGCCATTTGGAGACGTGCAAAATAATCAGCAACATCTCATCCAGATCCCATGGGGCAGAATAACTATCTTACGCAACAAAGGCCCCCAATGACGTTTGACACCCTGTAAGCATCGAGAATACCCTTCTCTTTCCTCGATGGCCATCTGACATGCGTGAACTACTATCATCCAGCTGAGGTTCCTATCGCTCACCCCTCAGACTCGGTGGTTTCTGAGCGGGGTATGAAAAACCGTGCATCGCGAGTTGGCTACAGGCTTATCTGTTGCCACGACGGCTGGCGACGCTACATCCGCTGGGCTGTAGTTCTTCTCTTGGCAAGCGGAAAGTCTCGATGTCGACGCATGCCTCCTCCTCCTTCTGGGGGTAGATAATTGATGGCTGCATGGTGGTCTGATGGCAACTGGCATAGTTCACTCCGCTTCGATAGTGTGCGACTCTCGTGGTTCGTCGTGCTATCAGCGCAGCGCTTGAAGTTGGAACGAACTAAAAAAAGCCTGAAATGTCATTCAACTAACGATTGCATGCACAGCTCTACCCACTTGGTGTCAGCTGTGCTACCTTGCTCCACTGGACCAATCACGATGGGGGCGATATCAAACATTCTATATCCTAAACTTGGCTCGAGAGACAGATAAGCCCGTTGGGCTTAGAATCTGTGCAAATTTCTCTTCATTCTGGCTTTACGGATCGGAAAATGCCCCGAAGCACGAAGTAAGGGTCACACCGGCCAGACGCTGTGTTGCGGCAGGGAATGACTAGGGCGGATGGTGTGCTTTTGGCGTTGTTGCCATATTGGGTGGGTCTATCGCAAGCAGTGCAGACGCCTCCCACCCATCGCTCCCTGCTACCCTCCTTACTGTATCGCTGCACGATAGACATGCGCGGTGTGCGCTTGGTGGCGAATAGATATCGGGTGCACCTTCTCTCCTATAAATGGCTGGCGGCCGGCTCGGCCGCATATCGACACACCTCGGTTCGTCGCCGTGACACACTCCGTTACTACCATGGCTTCGGATCCTGTGGTCGGCAGCAAGTCTAAGGATGAAATTGAGACACACCTGGCAGGGGTAGATGGCGATGGGAGTAGCCTGGAGCGCAATGAGGAGAAGAAAGAGCTGAACGTGGCGGAGGTCAGAGAAGTCACTGCCGTCGAGGCCTTCACATGGAATGTCGATGGAGATCAATCACCATGTAAGTCACTTTGACGAGTGCGACCAGTACAATTGAGTCTAAGCATGCAAGACTGACGGACAAATGTCGCGCAGTTCCAGAAGTGGCTGCTTGCGTTCCCAACACGGACGATCCTAGCACGCCATGCAACAGTTAGTAGAGCAAAGCTCTCGGGCTTTCATTGAACACTGACTGAAACTCTACAGCGGTGCGTGCCTGGATACTGACAACAGTGTTTGTCATGGTCTTTGCGGCCGTCAATCAATTCTTCAGTCTGCGTTATGTGAGTCAGGCTTTCCCCATTCTGTGCCTGGGGGGAAACTAACAACAATAGCCATCGCTCACTCTCCAATATGTCGTGGCCCAGCTCCTGGTCTACCCAATTGGTAGAGCATGGGAGAAGCTGCCCCGATGGAGGGTTCCACTGGGTAGACTGTCGTTCGACATCAACCCCGGAAGGTTTAGCATAAAAGAGCATGCTTTAATCACTATTGTGGGTGACAATGCAACCATTTAGTCGCTTCAAAGGATATGATTGTGCTAAGTTCAACAGTGTGTCAATATCAGTGCCAGCACGGCATATGCTTCTGGTTCCCTTGTTGCTATCACGATGCCACAGTACTGGAATCGTGATTTTGGAGCAGGCTTTTCGTTCATCTACCTTCTGACATCGCAGATGCTAGGGTAAGAGCTGCTTTCACCGCTCAATGGGGATTCTGTCTGAAACGAACAGGTTTGGGCTTGCTGGGCTTGCACGTCGCTGGCTCGTCTACCCAGCTGCCCTCATTTGGCCGTCTTCATTGTCATCGACAGTGTTGTTCCGGGCGCTTCATGAGCCGGAAAGTCGTGCAACGGTCAATGGCTGGAAAATGAGCCGCTATCGTTTCTTCGCTTATTTTACTGCAATCGGATTTGTGATCTTCTGGTTTCCAGATTACATCTGGACCAGTCTGAGCACATTCGCCTTTGCGACCTGGATTGCCCCTAAGAACCAGAAGGTGAACACCATTTTTGGAGTAAGCATTCTATTCTTTCTGTGAACGGGGTTAGACACTGACATAATCAGATGAACTCTGGACTGGGATTGCTTCCGATCAGTTTCGACTGGACTCAAATCAATTACGCAGGGTATCCGCTCATGACTCCATTCTATATCACCTGCAATGCCTTTGCAGTCGTGGTATTCTTTTATCTCTTCTTGTCGCCCATTCTTTACTATACCAACGTCTGGAATAGCGCATAGTAAGGAAAGCCATCGCCCCTTGAGACTATAGTGCTCTCTAATTCTCCTCACAGCCTTCCCCTGCTTTCGTCCTCAACCTTCGACAACACTGGAAAGTCCTACAATGTTTCTCGAGTTGTCAACGAGAACCTGGACTTTGTGCTTAGCAAGTACGAGTCATATTCGCCAATGTATATTTCCATGTCCTACTCGCTCACATATGGTCTCTCTTTTGCCGCTGTCACGGCCGTCGTTGTGCATACCTATCTGTATAATGGCTCCGAAATCTGGGCCAAATTCAAGAACTCCCGCCATGGCGGTGAGGATATTCATCGACGTCTAATGCACGCGTATCGTGAAGTCCCCGACATTTGGTATGGAGTACTGTTCCTCGTTACGGCCGGGTTGGGGATCTTCACCGTGCGATACTGGGAAACCGGTCTTCCTGTGTGGGGATTCATTGTTGTGTGCTGCGGCATGTGCGTCTTCTTAATTGTCCCCGAGGGAATCCTGGAAGGGACCACTAATCAACGTGTCTTTCTCAACATCATTACTGAATTAATTGCGGGGTATGCCTGGCCCGGGAAGCCGATCGCAAACATGATGGTTAAGTGTTATGGGTATAATTCGGTCAAGCATGGGATGGACTTCGCTCAAGACCTGAAGCTGGGACAGTACATGGTGAGTACACTCAAGGAAGGCCGAAGCGTGATTGCTAACCTGATTAGAAAATCCCTCCACGAGTTCTCTTTTTCGCTCAAATTTACTCCAGCATCTTAGCCACCATGACCCAAACCGGCGGTATGTGCCAGTGCCACTCCATACATGAAAGCAAGCTAATGTCTCGCTAGTGTTCCGGTGGATGATGGGGAATATCCCTGAACTGTGCGACCCGAACAACAAGCAGAGATTCACCTGTGCAGGCGCCAAGGTCATGTACAATGCATCGCTGATCTGGGGTACAATTGGCCCGCAGCGGATGTTCCAGGCTGGGCAGGTGTATAGCTCGCTTACGTACTTTTTCTTCATCGGAGTAAGTGAGCGGAGCACTCGAGGATCGACACGGCTAACCTCCATATCCAGCCTGTGACGACTGTGATCGTATGGCTCATTTACCGTCGCTACCCTAACAGCTGGGTCAAGTACATCAATGTGCCTATCTTCTTCAACGGTGCGGGAAATATCCCGCCTGCCAACACCAGTTCGTCACCTCTGCTTGGATAAGATCAGGCATGAAAGACTGACTTGTACAGCTCAATACTCTCTGTGGTTCATCTTCGGATACCTATTCAACCACCTCATCCGCAAACGGGCCTTCCTTTGGTGGAAGAAGTACAATTGTGAGAGAAATCCAGATTACGTCGGATATGGAGCTAACCGTGTAACATATAGATCTTCTGCAGGCGGCTATGGACACGGGCACTGCTCTAGCGACCATCATTATCTTCTTTGCGCTTACTTATAATAAAATCACCCTGAACTGGTGGGGAAACACGGTTGGCTCCGACACGGACGATGCCAACTCCGTGCCGTGGTTGAAGGTGTCGACCGGGAGCCACTTCGGCAAGGGCCCAGGCGAGTTCTAGGGCATTTCCGAGGCTTGTCTTGGCTCGGGCTTTTAGCATCAGGATCACTATATACCCGAGAGCGAGTCAAGAATGTGGCAGTAGCGAGTGTATGAAATGGTCATAGGTGGCCGGAAAAATGTGGCATGATGCCCGTTTGCTAGTGACTTCGTTTCTATTGTATGTTCTACATTGTGTCAACAACACATAGCAAACATGTATGACACAACCTCACAATCTTGCGAAGTCGCATTTCTATTCTCAATCTCGAAAGATCTAGACAGGACAGCTTGCAGGCTTCCTTCGCGTGGCTGACAGACGTAATAGCGAGGGTAACCGCGCCTGCAGTACCTTGTGGCCCTGAATCCTCCGAGGTTCCGCTGCCCGACGGGGGCAACGTGCTCTTATCTCGCGTACAATCAGATTTTGATGAGCGGACCACCGTTATAGATCAAAATTTTTACAGACTAGTGTCGCGGATATTGTCGGTTGCCGTCGGTTATAGCCACACTGCCGCGCAGCTGTGCCTAGCTCCAGCCACACTGCCGAAAGTATCCGTGCTTCCGCTCCGGGAGCGGACAGCCTGATTGGGCAATGGCTAAACAAGCTCCCCTCGGAGATGTGGCTGGAGTAAGACATATCAGGGCAGCGGAAAGAGATGGAGCAGTGAAGTAAGAGCAAGTCTCGGCCAGGACGAACAACCGGGTGTGATAAAACATGTTAGCACACTCGGATATCATGGCACCACGGCGGAGCACTGAAAATTCATCACAGTAGTCCAGATATGATGGAAAAAAGTGGAAACACTGCTGGGGGTGGTGGAGTAGAAGACTTGGTAGATATATCAGGACCTACCTAAGCTGCCCTGGTCCTTTCTATCCTTCTGGTCGTCAGCGTCGAAGGTACCATAGTACTACATTCAACACTCCGGGGGCACAATGGAGCATTCACACACCATGGATCACCACGATCATGAAAAATACTACTCCGAAACGACACCAGTGGACAGCACCAGCGATGATTACTCGTCTTCCTTCGATGAACAAAACCCGGACGATGAGCATCACCCCGACTCGTTAGAGTTAGCCCGCATCAACACATATAGACTACAGCAGAAGGCTACTGTAGGGTCGACGAGACCTCCGGTCCCTCGTGAAGAATGGCTTCCCATGGGTGCTGGGAAGGAGTATCCGCCTCTGTTACCAGATCCAGAGACGTATGTGGTCGAGTTTGACGGTGCGAAGGATCCAATGCATCCGTATAACTGGACCATCTTGCGGAGGTATGCACCCCAAGCAGCAAGCCTTACCCTGGAAGCTCTCATACTGACCAGAACAAAAGATCCATCCTTGTTGCCATCCTCTGCTATTCCACCTTCGCCGCCTCCTTCGCCAGTGCCATCTTCTCCGCCGCCTCGACAGGCGTGAGCAGCGAGTTCCACATCAGCACCGAAGTCAGCACGCTGGGCGTCACCTTATATGTCTTAGGATTCGCCGCCGGGCCGACCATCTGGGCGCCGGCCTCGGAGCTCATCGGCCGCCGCTGGCCTCTATCAGTCGGCCTCTTCGGCTGTGGTATCTTCACTATCGCCTCGGCCACCGGCAAGGACGTACAAACTTTGATGCTCGGCCGCTTCTTCGGGGGCCTGTTCGCAGCCAGCCCGATCTCGATTGTACCGGCCGTGTTCGCCGACCTCTTCAACAACGCGCAGCGGGGTATCGTGATGTCCATCTTCTGCATGGCTGTCTTCATCGGGCCGTTCGCGTCGCCATTTATCGGCGGCTTCATTGCCATCAGCGACCTCGGCTGGCGCTGGACCCTCTATCTGCCGTCCATTATGGTCTTCTTCGGCTTCGCCCTGGTGGTTTTGTTTCTTGACGAGACCTATGCCCCCGTCATCCTCGTCCGCAAAGCCGCGCTCCTCCGCCGCCAGACCCGCAACTGGGGCATCCACGCCAAGCAGGACGAAGTCGAGGTCGACATGGCGGAGATGGTCCGCAACAACTTCACGCGGCCGCTGACCATGCTGGCCACCGAGCCCATCCTGCTGTTGATCTCACTGTACATTAGCTTCATTTACGGGCTCATCTACGCGCTCCTCGGCGCGTATCCCGTCATCTTCCAGGGCGTCTACGGCATGAACGCTGGCGTCGGCGGGCTGGCGTTTGTCGGGTTGATCCTGGGCGAGCTTATGGGCGGCGTGTTCGTCCTCTTCCTGCAGGGTGACTATAAACGCAAGCTGGCGGCGAATGGGGATGTCCCAGTCCCGGAGTGGAGGTTGCCCGCGGCGATTGTCGGGGCTGTTGCGTTTGCCGGGGGAATGTTCTGGTATGATGCCTCCCTACATAATATACTTATTATCTTGCCGGATATCTCATTCCTTATACTGAATCGATTGATACTGACTGACTGATTGATAAAACAGGCTCGGCTGGACCGGCTACACCCCGAAGATCCACTACCTCGTTCCCATGGCCTCCGGCGTCCTCACCGGCTTCGGCATCTTCTGCATCTTCCTGCAGTGCTTCAACTACATCGTCGATTGTTATCCGACTTTGTATGTCTCCCCCCCCTCCCCTCCCCTTTTACTTCCTCATATTCATGGTTTGGTCATCTGTGCATATGCTAACGAGAGCCACAGAGCGGCTTCCACCATCGCAGCCAACACCATCCTCCGCTCGGCCGTCGGATGCGCCTTCCCGCTCTTCTCCCGGCAGCTCATGCAGAACCTCGGCGTGCAGTGGGCAGGGACCCTGCTAGGGTGCATCGCCACGGTGCTGATTCCGATCCCCGTGGTGTTCAAGATGTATGGGCCGTGGCTGCGGGCGCGGAGTAAGTTGGCGGCGTCGCCTGTGGTAGTAGGGAACAGGGGCGAGGAGGAGACGAAGGGGGTGATGGAGGTTTGATCTGATGGTATATGGTGAATGTTGAACGTTCAATGTGTGTTATGAGATACCCTCGTTGTGATTAGCGTTATGCATATGTGTTCTTGTTCAACGATCATCTATTCTATCGTAGAGTATGACGTAAACAGTAGGGCCAGCTATCATGATTGATGGCATATAGAAGCCAAAAGCAGCGCGCCCAACCTATCAAGTCTAGCATCTATAATGTAATCCGTTATGCAAACCTCCGATCTAGACACCGGTCTAAAACACCTTCACCGGGCCGATGAACCCGTCGCCCCCAAGTCCAAACCCCTGCTTCCATCCCGAGCCGGACAGCCGTTCCTCGCGGACCTTCCAGAACAGCGACCCCTACAGAACGAATCATCAGCATATGTCACTCCTTCCCTCCCACCTCCATCATGTAAAAGATCGGATGAAGGAAAAGGGAAGAACATACATCATAGACGCCCCTCAAATCCTCCTTCTCTATGCGCCCCTCCCGCTGGATCAACAACCACGTCGTCCCCCACTCGAACAACGCCGCGAACCACTATAAACAGCACAGCACATTAGCCCACCATCTCACCACACCATTCTCCTCCCTCCCTACGCCGACAACTCCATGCCATGTCAAGTCAAACCAAACAAAGAATAGGAGGGAAGAAAGGAACATACCCCAAACGGATCCACCGCACACCGATGCCCATGCATCAACCGCCCAACCTCCCAGAACGTCAACGCCCCATCCCCATCCCGATCATACATAGCGAACAGATTCTCAAAGCTCTGCGGAACGAACCGCCCTTCCGAGTCATAGGTACCGCTGTCGGAGCCATGCTATTCCCTTCCTTTAGCCGAGTAATCCTCCAAATTCCAGAAATGGAGCTCAAGGGGCTCATACCTTCGCTTTGTAGATACTATCCACATACACCCGGAAGAACGGGTCCGGGATGAACGAGTGAGCCAGCCGCGTCGGGTACGAGAAGTTGAGGTTGATGATTAGCATGGCGAGGATCGAGAATAGGATGTTGAAGCCTAGTTCGCGGAATCCCCTGTATGTGTCCCACGGGTAGATCTGGCCGTCGTGGTCGCGGTCCCAGAAGAGGATGTGTTGTTGGAGCGGGGTCTTTTGGGGTGATTGGTTAGTAGTTGGTTTTGGGTATGGATGAGGTGGGTTCCCTCTGGGCGGGGTTGTGGGGGAGGTATGGGGTGGGTTGCCTGTGTACTTTGGGTATAGAATGATGGCTTGGAGGCATACATACATATTCACCATAGCGTTTGAGCCAGTCGGCATCGCCGTGCGGTTTGTCGGCGGAGATGGCTGCGTTCCCGCGTGGTAGGCCCGGGTTGTCGATGGTGGAGATGGAGGTCGCGGGGGGTCGTTGGATAGTGACACGGCATTTGGGCGCTGTGGTCTTAATGGAGGTGGCCTTGGTTGGTCCGTTCATTTGCTCGGATTGCGGTTTGGTGGGTTCCGAGAACGAGACACGACGGGGCATGGTGGAAAGCACGATGAATTCGGAAATCTGTCTAAGTCGGTTGCAGCAGCTGATAGATGTTTGGAGTAAACTGTTACTCAATTCATCACCGAGGGGTAATTGGGGATCAAAAGGGTTAAGGGTAAATAAGATCAGCACTATGAAGTGTATGAGGCTATTGCAAATGGCGTCACGACTGATTGGTGAAGCTCGTCACTGTGATGTCATTTTTCCCGTCCGGCCATGAGCCTATCGCAGCCCTCCATTATCAATCTTTCCTTGCAAGACGAAGCAGTCCGATGGAGAACGATGGTTTCAAATGAACCTTGATACCAATGTCTATTTTCTTGGATGGTGAATGGCTAGTACGGGTTCCGGTTTCTTGCTTTGATCTGAGGGCACATCCACCCAACAGAGCTGCGCCTCGTAAGGACCAACTCGCAGTCCTGGAGGCCAAGGGACAATAGGTGTATAGCAGCAGACTCTCCTCCAACCAAGATGCACTCACAGACAGCTAACTCTAAGTTCGATAAGATCTTACTCCACATGGGTCTGGCCAGCATAACCCTGTTCTGCGGAGATGAGGGCAATCCAGCTGCTTGCTCACTCGTTTCCGGGTAATGTAATGTTTCCCAGCAATCAGCGGTCAGAACCTAAGACTTTCACAGCTGTCATGTTTGTGTCACCCACTCCAGTGTCTGGGTTGTACCCCAGCCTATAGATTGGTTGATTCTGTCTTTAGGTCATCATGATGCGATCGAGCATAGTGTCAAGCTTATATACTCTTTCTGCTGACCCGACCATTCAATAGGACCGTTGAGCAAATTACATCCATTTCTCTGCATTGCTTCTGGCCATGCTTCAAGCTCTGAACCTCTACAACGTGACATGCCATAGAGCAATTCGGCACAGTGCCTTCAAACGTGTCAATTACCAATTGCTCTTCACCGTCTCCCGATACTCGACCAGTACCACAGCTCCCGTCCATTCACGCAAGCTGGCCACCATGTCGGACCACACGCACCAATTCATGAACACCTCCGGTGAGACGGACCCTGTCTGGGTTCGTCACATGCCTTACTCCAAGTACCCGCACTTCCCTGCCCTCGAGGAGAACGTCGAGACCGACGTCTGCATCGTCGGCGCCGGCATCGCAGGCATCTCCACCGCGTACGAACTGATCAACCGTGGAAAACGGGTCACCATGATCGAAGCGCGCAATGTGCTCTCCGGGGAAAGCGGCAGGACTAGCGGTCACCTGTCGAACGCGCTTGACGACGGGTACATTGAGATCCAGAAGAAGCATGGCTTCGAAGGCGCCAAGGCTGCGGCCGACAGCCACACCTGGGCTATCCAGCGCGTTGGGGAAATATCCAAGAACCTGGGCATCGATTGCGAGTACCGCACATTGCCGGCGTACGAGATTTCGCAATACCCCCGCGGCGATTCCAAACACGACAAAGAGATCTCGGAGTTGAAGGAGGAGGTCGAATTGGTCACAAAGCTGGGACTCAATGCTTCGTACCACGAAGGCCTCGCCGTGAAGGGCTGGGACGGAGCGCCCGATCAGCGCGATGCCGCCGTCTTCAATGGCCAGGCCACTTTCCATCCGACGAAGTACTTCGTCGGCGTGCTGGAGTGGCTGCGCCAGCAGCCGAACTTCCAGTGCTTCACGCGCACCCGCATGATGTCGACCGAGGAGAGTGATCTGGTCCAAGTGAAGACGTTCAACGGCTACACTATCACTGCTACCGACGTGGTCCAGGCCACTTGCGTCCCGCTGCAGAAGCTGAGTGTTATTGCGGAAATGGAATACATGCGCACATACTGCATCGCCATTCGCGTACCGAAGGGGGCGATCGAGGACTGTCTCTTGTATGATGAGGCAGAGGCGTATAAGTATATCCGATTCACGGAATGTGATGAGAAGGACGATTACTTGGTTGTCGGAGGCTGCGATCACAAGGTCGGCCAGGAAAACACGGGAGGCCGTTTTGAGGAGCTCGAGACCTGGGTGCGGGAGCGTTTCACCAAGGCTGGCTCGGTCGACTACCGGTGGAGTGGTCAAATCTACGAGCCTGTTGATTACATGGCATTCATCGGGAAGAACCAGGGCCAGCATCACACCTATGTCGTAACTGGTGACAGCGGAAACGGACTCACTCACGGTGTACTAGCAGGTAAACTGATTGCGGACGAGATCACGGGCGTGGAAAATTCTTGGGCTCAACTGTATAATCCCAACCGTCTCAAGAGTATCGGCAAGTCGATGCCCAGCATGCTCAAGCATGATATCCAGATTAATGCCCAGTACAAGCGGTGGATGCAGTCCGATATCAAGGACATCGAGGATCTCGCGCCTTGCACCGGTGGTGTGATGAAGGAGAACCCGGCCAAACCGATTGCCGTGTATAAAGATGACCAGGGCAAGGCCCATAAATTCAGCGCCATCTGCCCTCACATGAAGGCCGTACTGAGCTGGAATGATACCGAGAAGAGCTGGGATTGCCCAGTCCATGGCAGTCGGTTCAGCTGCGATGGAGTGTGCATCGAGGGGCCGGCCAAGGCCAACCTGACGCCCATGGATGAGTTCGCGAAGCGGGAGCAAAGATCTCAAGAGGCCATGTAAACGATAGCAGAATCTTCTTGTGTCTTTTATAATGTATGTAATTGTTTAAATTTAGTACCACGGGTTTGGTCTGGAGATCTGCGTTGTCAGGAACAATCTGGCTCTTAGAATTAACCCTTTTTGGGCACGGGTACGAAAACGAAATGCGACCGGGGATAAGCTTCGAAGCCTTAGCCGACTCCCAAACCGCTCCTTGCCTATTCGGGAGCGTGCAACGAGATACGAAGCATGCTTTTTTCACACTGCCACAGAGAATTGACCCAGCCATCTGTCTTGCCTCCGTTTTCGCCGCGATGGAGATTGCTTCTGCCTTAAAGATGTCGCGTCCATTGCCATGTTATCTCTGGTACGGCGAAGAGTCGAGAGATAAAAGCAGAGCGAGGTCCTCTCTGCCTACTCTTCTCTTTTGCAATCTAGTCAACATCGTATCTCCCACTTCAGTACTTCCGGTACTAAAGAACCAACACAATGTCAATGGAGTTCACATTCTACTACTATGCGCCGTCTAGCGCAGCGGCGTGCATCTTCGTGGTTCTCTTCGGGCTCAGCACTGTGCTGCACTTCTACCAGCTGATACGAACTCGGTCATGGTTTATGATCCCATTCTTCATTGGAGGAATTCGTAAGTCAACTCTCTCATTTATGCATCTTCTTGGAGAAGCTAACCGTGCCCTCCTATAGTGGAAACGATAGGATACGTAGGCCGCCTGCTGTCAGCCCTGCAGAGTCCCGACTTCACCAAAGGCCCCTACATCATCCAGAGCGCCCTGATCCTAATCGCACCAGCCTTCCTGGCAGCAAGCATCTACATGACCCTTGGTCGAATCATTCGCATGATCCACGCGAAGCAATATGCGGTCATCCGATTGAGCTGGATGACCAAGATCTTCGTGACGGGCGATGTGCTTTCATTCCTCATGCAGGCTTCCGGTATGTTCTCCATGCTCTTCGCCTCGCCCCAGTGAAAGCATTAGACAGTGTACTGACATTACCGACGACAAGGTGCCGGACTCATGGTCAGCAACTCGAATGACCCCTCGACTGGAGAACATGTCATCATCGGCGGTCTATTTGTTCAGATCATTTTCTTCGGATTCTTCATCATCACGGCCATTGTCTTCGAGATGCGCATGAGGAAGAACCCGACCAGCACGGCCATGGAGCTGTCCGGTGTATGGCGCCGGCACATGGCTGCCCTCTATATCTCAAGCGTCTTGGTCTTCGTTCGTTCTATCATCAGGGTGGCGGAATACTTGGAGGGGTATGATGGGTACCTCATGAAGCACGAGGCGTTCATCTATGTGTTCGATGCGCTGCTGATGTTCGGTGCGATGGTCGTGCTGCAGTACATTCATCCCAGCCAGATCAACTGCTTCCTCGGGATGGGGGACAAGTACTCGGAGAAAGCCTTCAAGACTCGCAAGTTCGTCCCGCTGACGACGGAGATGGAGGTGTCTTCCGAGGCCTGAGGATGTACAATTAGGGATGCTGTTCTTGATGTTTCTCTCATGATGCGATGACTGCTATTGTCTCTTGTTTGCCGCCCTGAACGGCAATGACCTGTATATAGTGCATTATGTTATATGCCTCCAAGCCTGTCTTCAATCAACCATGTCCATTTTACCTGTTCTTCTTCACGTCGCCAGGCAGCTCACTGACTTCACCACTTATCTTGAAGCCCGGACATGCTTGCTGTGACCGACGGTCTGCTATCGCATTTAGCATGGGGTAAGAGTCCCTTACATGCAATGAGATTCGATCATCTGCTCTTGTGGGTGCTGCCTCTCATTGACATACATTCTGCAGCCTACCTAGCCCAATTAAGACCTTGTTCGTATCCTCAATCTGTGCCATTCTGTTACTGTATGATGGCAGCTGACCAAGATGCTGCTTAGCACGGACAAACACTGAGCTAACAACGAGCTCAGTATGTACCAACAGCTGCATTAGTGCAGGCAGTGGAAATATATAACCACATAAAGCCCACCACTGCTCATCCAGATATGTCTGTTGTAAGTGCCACGAAAATGGCAGACATCAACCCCTGCAACATCCTCCTGAGTCTGCCCTGCGCCTTACCAACAATAGGCATCCCAGAAAACACTGACGCCCGCGAGATCGCCATATCATACTCCGACATATTCAACCAGCCTTCCCCCAAGAGATTTGTCGGAGACGCAGTATGGCGAGAGCAAGTACCGGCCTGAAGGCGGTGCACAACGGCTCATCGGCCATGATTGCAAGGGGAAAGGTAAGTATAATCCTCAAGAATGTCTAGAAAGGTACGAGCCTCGCTGACGATTAGGCAAATCGAGGTCAATTCTGAGAGACTCACTGCATCGTACAAGAAGGCCACGCTTTGCTGATGGGAGCATTCTTTAAGCCGATGCTGTGATCTTTGCGACGCGCTTCACGGCTACTCTTCGTGACTCTGTACGCATGTTCTTCGGAGAAGACGTTTACAATCGCGGTGGGGACTATTGGGGCATTGATGCGGAGGGGAGAGTTGAAGATTGTTTACGTTCCGATAGGCCGTATGTGCAGTTTGTGCTCCGTTGTTCTGGTAAATGGTCTACATGGTTGTTGGGAGCTAACTCAATCGATTTAAATCATGGTCTGTGATATATGGGGGGAGAGGTGGGCCAAGCTGGATTCTATTCGCGATTTGTGGCCCTCCAGATTCGTGCCAGTCTTTATGGGACTCCGTTACCTGTGCACTGAATAATGCGCTCGGAGGTCAACTCGGCGTCAATTGGAAAGCGTCTCATTTCTCCCAAGATATGTTGAGCTTTTGCAGTTTAGATGACAGCCTTGCTCCGGAAGAGAACAACTAGTTAAGGTCATTGTTGCGATCGACAATGCGGGATGCCTTAATGCTCTGCTTTGCAATAGCATGTGGCAACGAGCTCTGTGTTCATTCTCTTTCGATGATGGTAGGCAACATCCTTGCCATCAATAGGGGCCAGAAGGCCCGGTCATCATGATTGGTCCGCCTGCCTTTTTCCATTCAAGCTTCTCGGCCAGCATATCCCAGCTCAACTGACCGTCAACGCGGGCCCCACCTTTCAGACCAGCTATCACAGAAGCGACCAGCCTTTCAAACTGATGTTTGATCTCTTTGATCTGCTCTAGGTAATTTGGCTCATGGAATGAGACATCAATTTCGTCTTCATTGGTGTCCGAGGCAGCGTCCTCGTCTTCGTCGCTTAGATTATCTTCATCATCATGAACGTTTTCACGGGTCTTGCGGTACCCGGTCGAAGAAATTGTATGCTTGAAAGTCGTCCGGAATTGAGACTGTCTGTTTCCGTAACGTGTAGCTTGAACATCTGCAAAGCGGACGCAGAGGTCGAGAATAGCGATAATGGTTCGATGGAGGGGCTCGAAATTTGCCGAGAGTAGGCACTGTTCTTTCAAAGAGAACATGAAGGTGTAGTGAGCCTCTATCATGCTATCGACATCTTTGGCAGCACACAGAGCCTTTCGTAGCGAGGCGATTGATGTTGATATGACAAAGTCTGTCAAGTGACTGTACAGAGCATTGAGAAACCAGAGCATGTTATGTCGCAGCGCATAGCTCAACGTATTATTCCTTGTGTCCTGGATCTTGTCCTGAATATTACTATGCTGTAAGCGCTGCTTCAGTATGGCATACTTCGCTCTGCGGATTTGCATGAGGAATGTAGAGATCCGCCGGTAGTCGTAGATGGCGCTTTTAGGGATGATATTCGCGACAGGCCACGGAAGAATGTAATCAAATGAGATTACATTGAGTATGTTCATTGATCGGCCGCGGTTTCTCTCGCTGATTAGCACATCGGTCGAGGATCGTACGATGAGCCGTGAGGGATCAATGCATGGTACCGACCCAAAGATACTTTGTGCCAACTCAGTGAGGAGGAATCGGTCGCTCCATACCTCTTTTCCTCTATCAATCAGGTCGAATACTTTGCTGTCAATCGGACCAGAGATACTCATGTCTCGACACAGGTAGATGTACTCCAGGGCCTGAAGCGATTCCCACAGACCACACTGCTGGTCCAATTTACTTCTCAATAAAGCGGATGTAGCGGTGCAATTCTCCTCGACCATCCTGTCAAGAGCAGACTCCAGTAAGATAGAAAATGGAAGGTAAAATGAGGGAGAGTCCGGGGGGCACACATCCTCCAGTGTCACATTTGTTCTACTGCGATACTCATCATCCAGAGTCGTGTTCAAGTGACGTAGAAATACCATGCTTTTGCCAGTCTTAAGAACTTTTTCCATGATTGGTTGGATGAATTTCGGCACGGACGAGAGCTGTGAGGGCTCATCGAGCGTATACCAATCATGCCACAGTGTCCTCAGATCACCTTCTTTCTGCTGGTGGTGTATAAAAAATCCATAATCGATCGAATCTTCTAATTTGCCTGTCTCCAGCCATAGACGCATGGGGCGGGCATAGGTCTCGAAACATGAGAAGAATAGCTGAGCAAGGGTCGTAAACCCCTCGTCGTCCCCAGTCGCTTGAGTCAAGCAAACTATATCGTAGAGGAGATTAAGACACCGTACGGAAGCGTCCACTCTCGCCAAATCAAGCCTAGAGACAAGATCTGACACTATCAAGAGAAGCCTGGACTCACGGCGCACATCTTCGAAAAGCTGCAGAAGACTGACAGGAACAGTTGATGATGGAGTCAGATATTGGCGTTGCATATCCGAGAGGATAATGTCAAATTTACTTAGACAACCTTCTAGTCCACGTTGACAAGTTTGCATATGGGGGATAGTCAGCGGCAGCCGGGTGAACGACCTAAGGACATCGATTTGAGCCCCGACCGAGCTTAAGGCTCGTAAGGTGGAAGACAGTGTTCCAGTCGATAAATGGGCGATAGTATAGCTCCGATCTACTTCCACCCTACCATTGAGTCGTCGAAACATAGACGTGGGCAGACCCTGCAGCATGAAAATTGTTTCCCGGATAACCTCAAGTTCTGTCAAGACCAAAGATGACACTACTTCGTGGTTGTCATGTGGAGGAATGCCTTTTCTCCAGTATTGTGCCTTCTTGATCGACTCTAGGAGATCTTCGTCATCGCCCAATGTTAGTAGATCATCCGGGATCACGAAATCCTCGTCTGGTGCTATAGAAGTCTGAGGAAGAGACCGCAGATGATAGCCGTCACTTGACAATGATAGTGATGTGATTTCTTCGTCGGAAGAGTCAGCTCCGTAGTCTACGGCTTCCCAAATATCTTCGTCGCAGAATGCCGAACCCGCCGTATCCAACTCGGTCCAGGTAAGAGGTGCGACCTCCTCTTGAGGCTCTGACTTTGCAATTTGATCCACTCGTGAAAATTGAGCCGGGCGATCCGCAAGCTCTAGTAGCAAAGACAGAAACTCAGGAGCCCATGAGCTCCGACGCTCATCGAGCTCTAGCAATCTGGTACGAAGTGCATCTGCAAGCTCATCCCTGTTGAGGATTTGGAATTTCTCCTGCAGTCCATCGAGCTGCTTGGCAACGGCAAACTGATCTGTACGGCCATGAGCGCCAGCCTTGACTGTTTCTTCCGCACGACGCTTAGTGATTGCAAAGCGCGGTATGTCCTAAAAAGACATGTTAGCACCCACTCTGGGAGTAAAGTGGGTTTGAACCAAATGCCTTTGCGTCAGCCTTTGCGACGGCCGCGATAAGCTGCTCTATTAGCGTGCTCACGTTGGCTGAAACAGCCATGGTAAACAAACCATAGGCAATTCAGCCTAAAGACCTTATTTATGAGTAGCGGTACATTGAATCAGAAAAAAGACGAGAATAAGTCCTCTTCAACGCCCCGACAATTCGATGCCGTTGAGTTGGTTACGCGGCGCTGCTGGTGTGGTGCAGTGTCGGCGGCCAAGCGGCAGAGGTGATTGATCGGAGCAAACCCACGCTAGGCCTATCATGGAATGGCGGCTCGATGGCGGCTTCGCGGCGGAGGCGGCGATAGCGACAAGTCTCCCCTTCGGCTTCACTCTCCCCTGTCGCTCAATTTCCCTCCATTTTACTTCCGTGGGGATTTGCAGACCGGCATAATGGCTGTCGCAAGGCCCATTCGGATGCTGGGTGCCTCGTGCATCATCCTCGTCCTTTTCCTCATCTTTCAGATGAACAAGACACCCACCATGATCAGTAAGGGGTCGTCCTCAGAACAATACGAGGGTATCACCTCCGACCCTCTTAAAGATCGTACGTCCGCGCAAATCTAACGACTTCGCCTCGTCCGCGTGTTCTTTCTCTAACTTTTTCTTCTCTCTGCTAGCAACTGGCGAGCCGGATGGAAAATTGTGGCGTGTGACCGACGGCGACTATAGCCCCGACAATTCCAAGTCACCCCGTACCAACGCAGCCCTCATCTCTCTTGTCCGGAACGAAGAACTCCACGAACTGATTCCGACAATCCGTGACCTTGAGCGTACCTGGAACAGCAAATTCAATTACCCCTGGATCTTCTTCAATGACCAGCCTTTCACGGAAGAATTCAAGAGATTGACACAGGCCGAAACGAAGGCAAAGTGCTACTACGGTATAACAGCCCCGGGGGATTCTGGCTCCTGAACATAGCTTTCTAACTTCCAAATGTAGAGCAAGTACCGAAGGAACACTGGGAGGTTCCCGAATGGATTGACATGGACTTATTCCGCGAGTCCGCGGAGTTGCTGAAGGAGAAGGGAATTCAGTACAGTGACAAGATCTCCTATCACCAGATGTGCCGGTGGAATAGTGGCTTGTTCTACCAACATCCCGCTCTTCAGAAGTATCGGTACTACTGGCGTGTCGAACCCAAGGTCAAGTTCTTCTGCGATGTCGACTATGATGTCTTCCGTTACATGGAGGATCGTAATGTCACCTACGGCTTCACGATCAACCTTTTTGATGCTCCTGAGAGTATCCCGTCCCTTTGGCCCGAGACCAAGAAGTTCCTCGCCGCGAACCCAACCTATCTGAACAAGAACAACATGATGAACTGGCTCACTGATGATCAACTTCGGCCGGAGCACACGGAAGCCGCCAAAGGTTACTCGACATGCCACTTCTGGTCCAACTTCGAAATTGGTGACATGGAATTTTTCAGAGGCGAGCAATACTCTGCTTACTTTGAGCACTTGGATCGGGCCGGTGGCTTCTTCTACGAGCGCTGGGGTGATGCTCCTGTGCATTCCATTGGCTTGGGTCTTTTCGCGGATAAGGCCAAGGTCCATTGGTGAGTTGATGGCCTCCCACCGTGTCCGCAGCATGTATCAGCTCTAACGTTGTCTCTTTAGGTTCCGAGACATCGGATACAACCACATTCCTTACTATAACTGCCCGACCTCCCCCAAGTGTTCTGGCTGCACTCCCGCCAAGTTCTACGCCGGCGAACCCTGGTTGGCCAAAGAAGATTGTCGACCCAGCTATTTCAAGCATGTCGGAATGCACTAGACGTGACGGCGCGATATGATTTATTCCCATTCATAATCTAGTGCGCAAGGAAGCTGTTCCTTCATCTCACTATATATGGATGTCCCGCATATTGTGCAATGAACAGACAGGCATTGCTGGTTTTGACACATAACACCATGCTTACACAACCTACCCAAGGATGTCTGTTCTCCGCACAAGTTCTTTCCGTGTCATCCGAGCATACCGATCAATTATATGTACAGGATCTTAGTGCGCGCGTTTGCCACAACTTACATGTTTCACCTTACAATTACATACCCAGTCTTGATGACGGAGAAATTGTTGCAAAAACATTCGGCGGCGTTTACCAGGGATTGGTTTCTCTTCTAACGCTGTTTCTCGGGGTTCATCGCATCAGGTCTGTGATGCTTTTTCGATATCGCTGGGACGGCCTTTACTGTACCTATAACTTTATTTTGCAAATGCCTCATGCCATTGATGGTGCCTTGGGAAAGTATTCGTTGAATACCTACTTCTGGCTACTGCGCTTAAATGGTTGTTCACCAGCTTCCAGGCGCTCGAATGTAAGCAGTTAACAAGAGACACATGGCCATGTTACCTGCGCAAGACATACAAAGTCAACTCCTGGCTACCCTCTATCCAATTACACTATTAACGCAACACACGAAATAAGAACATCCTCTTTGAATTTCACACTTCTCCCCAATAATACAGAGTACAGGTAAATGCTCACAAGATTTAAAGCAGCACTGGTATAGAAAAGCACGCGTGTACCCTCCAATCAACCCCTTCCCCGACAGCCAGTAAAGTCGGAAGCAGGTAGGGATCTGGTTCGAAGACAAGAAGACCACCCGAGACATTCAGCAACTTGATTCCAACTGCACTCTAGAGTATGTATACAGCTTTCCTATCTTTGAAACTGCCTGACAAAGAAAAACGACGAGATGGGGAATCTGGACACGCAGGCAAGGGGGAGGGAAGGTTGCCTGCGTTTACTGATCCTCGGGGTAGAGCTCCTCGCGGAGAGGGACACCCAGCTCCAGACGGAGAGCCTCAAGAGCCTCGAGGTATTGCTTGTACTGTTCCTTGGTCTCGACCTTGGCCTTGATACCTATTTTGACGGAATGAATAATGAGTTAACTTCTGGGTGTGTCGGAGCGACGGTCATAGGGTCAATTGGGAAGAAGGGGAGGTTAGGGGGAGATAGCGCACCCTCGAAGACACGGACGGCGGTGGGAAAGTCGTTGACACGACGGGCAGCCTTGAGAGCGGCGGTGAGGACCTCAACGGAGGGGACGAGATCGTAGGCGAAGCAGTTGTTCAGGTTGCGCTGCAATGGAAAGATTAAATCATTAGCTCGGCTGATATAGGTTGGGCGAAGGTGCCCCCCCCCCCCCGATCTGCCAATGGCAGCTGGGCTGATTATCATGGCTGGCGGCGGGAGTGGATGACGCGAGCGAGGACATCAGCTTACCTGGAGCTCGAAGACATCCTGAACACCGTCGAATTCCTTCTCGAATCTATCAACAGGCGGGTTAGAGGCGGTTTGCTGACGGTCATAAGTAGGAAGCGAGGAGATGCCATCCCAAAAGGTACCAGAAGGGGCAGCTTTTCGGATACGGCTGGAAGTGCGACCGAGTCCGGACCAGCAGGCTTGCATTATCTCCAATGGCTCGGGACATTATTATTGCGTACCTGGCAGAGAATTCCTCGTAGGTCTCGTCCTCGTGGTGGCCAGAGTAGCGCTGAGCGGAGGTGCTGAAGCTGGGGCGGCTGATAGCCTGAGCGATGGGGAACTGCACGCGGGCCCGGGGCAATTGAGCGGCTCTGATGAAGCCGGAGGGACGGACGGCGCGGGTTGCGACACGGAAGACGGAGACTGGCGACATATTGAGGAGAAGGTGGGTGGTGGAGGTGGACGAATTGAGTGGGTGAGGGGAGAGCAAGACGGGCGAGGTGTTGACGAAGTCGAAGTCAAGAGGTTAAGCCGGGCTGCACTAGGATTTTGCGGGTGGTGTGAGGTTGTTGATGCCTTAGGCCTCAACTCCCGCCTGTGCAGTCGTCGTCCGTCATTGATAATCGCCTGCTTTTCCTTTGCGGCTCCCGTCGAACCCGAGGCTCGTTGATGCCTCAGGCCACGATGCTGTCATTCAATGGGCACCCAAAGCCCGAGTCTGCTTTCTATCTGCCGGCTATGATTGGAGCATAGGCGGTAGGCGGGCTTTAGTGTCTAATTGGCTATTTGACCAGATCCCGTGGGCGGCATCCAGATCCGCGCCCGGGCTTGCCCCGGAGATTACCAGTACCACCTCAGGCAGAGATTGTGCAAGCCAGATCTGTCTGATATGAGACTGCAAAACTGTGGTGATGGATGCAGCCAGTCCAGATCCAATATCCCATCTATGGATCTCCTGGCACGGCTGGAGTCCTGACAATTTGATCGACATTCAGTCAGCTCAATTTTGAGCCTAAGCTCAAATCCGTCATTGTTAATCGTGCCCTCAGCGTTCGAGATGATTTCTCCTTAATATATACTCTGACGGGACACTCCCATGTCTCAGCCCCTCCACAGGAGTCAATCAAGGTACCCCGCTGAATGATGTGTTTGAGAAGCAAATGCAAACATTAGATCGAGGATCGGAGAATTACCTATGGATCTTGAAGTCTAGCGCTGGGGTCATGGCACTGACCAGGACATGTTTCATGAGCGATACACAGGTCGCCAGATTCCGAATCAGAGGTATATGGTAACCCCAGGATCCTTGGCACAACCCTGATGAGCTTGCATTGAGATTATGTTTCATGAAGCTGCCAGGATTATCCGACGGAGGTCGTATCGATTGAGACATTTTACTTTGTTAGAATAGTAATCATAATTTAATATCTGCCTACACCAGTCTGATCAATGGTCAGCATACCTAGTAGCATGTGAAGATGGCCCGTGGTCCATGGTCGCTTCCCCATGTAAATATGACGACCAATTAGCCAATGGATTATTTTGGTGACCAAGAAGTGACATACGACCGGCGGAAATGCTCTCTCAAATTTTGAACCTCAGTCACCCTCCAACCTCTCCTGCTACGAAGCCTGCCAGCACGACCAGCCGCAAACAGCACGACAAGAACACAAACATCAGTGCTAGGAACCAGTAGTTGGCGAACCCGGAACACGGAAGGCACATGATCGTCGGGCCCTAAGCGGACGCCCCTTTTTTTTTTACCAGTGGCCGAGGTTGCGCTAGTCCCCTTTAAGCCGCAGCGGACGCGCCGGAGTCCAAAAAAGAAGACACGCGGATGGATTCTCCTTGCGAACAGGCAGTCAAAAGAGAGACCAAGTCCTGCTCCACCTCGTCCGCTTCGACCTCTTCCTTCACGGCCCCGTCTCTTCTTCTTCCGTACCTCTCTTCCCTTCTTTTTCCTTCTTCCTATTTTTTTAAATCGCTGCGCTCCCTCTCCCCTTCCCTCATTCTCCGTGACCCTTATTCCTCCTCTGCTTGCACCCCCCTCAACCGGCCTGTCAGCAGTTTTTGGGAGCGGAAGAAGAAGAAATTCTTCAAGGGCCTTGACATTCAGGACCTCCAGTCAATTCGCCCGCACAATTGAGTGATTAGGACGTTGTTCATTCGCTCACCATGGCCGCCGAACTTCTCCAGAGCCTACCCAGGCCAACCATTGACCGGCCGTTTGGCATTCACCTATGGCCTATCTTCGACAAGGCCTTCGAGCTTGTTGTCGGATATCCTGCTAGCGAGTTCCGTTTTGTCGAGGGCGTCACTCCGATGTCTACATTCAAGGAAACCGCCGTGATGCTCGTGGCTTACTATGTCATCATCTTCGGTGGTCGCGCATTCATGAAGGACCGCCCTGCTTTCAAGCTCAACACGCTATTCATGATCCACAACTTCTACCTCACTGCGATTAGCGCAACGCTCTTGGCCTTGTTCATTGAACAACTTCTGCCTACCCTCTGGAGACACGGTATTTTCTATACTATCTGCACGCACGAGGGTGGATTCACACAACCCCTGGTCGTACTGTACTACGTGAGTCTCGCAACAGCTTTCGACCCGGTAGCCAAAACTAACCCTTCTATTTGCGCTAGCTCAACTACCTGACCAAGTACCTTGAGCTTCTTGACACGGTCTTCCTGTTCCTCAAGAAGAAGCCATTGACCTTCCTTCACACCTACCACCACGGTGCCACCGCTCTCCTTTGCTACACCCAGCTCATTGGCTTGACTGCTGTTCAGTGGGTGGTCATTGACATCAATCTCTTGGTTCACGTTGTTATGTACTGGTACTACTTTCAGAGCGCTCGGGGTATTCGCATCTGGTGGAAGGAATGGATCACTCGTCTCCAGATTATTCAGTTCGTCATCGATCTTGGTAAGTTGTCGTCTCGTGTTTGTCGCCTGAGACTCGAACTGACAATCGCGCAGGATTCGTTTACTTTGCTTCCTACACCTATTTCTCCTCGACCTACTTCCCTTGGGCTCCCAACATGGGACAGTGCGCTGGAGAGGAATTCGCCGCTTTCTCCGGAATGGCCGTCATCACTTCTTATCTGTTCTTGTTTATCTCGTTCTACGTCGCTACCTACAACAAGGCCGCCAAGACTGGTCGTCCTCGTCGCAACACCGGCAGACAGGCTGTTATCGACATGGCTAAGTTTGAGGTGTCTGCTCCCGCCACTCCCAACGGACAAGCTAAGTCGAACGGTGCTGCGGTGTCCACTGGTCGCTCCAACGGCCCTGTCACTCGCTCCCGCAAGGCCTAAGCGCTGAAGCGGTGACACCGTCTCGGGAGGCACATGTCTTCACTTGTTGGACAACCCGCTCAGCATATCGGCTTCGAAGCGCAAATCCTGCCTCCCATTCCATTCACAGTCAATTTTCGCGCATCGCCTGTTGTCGGGTCGAGCATGAGCGAGCCAACAACCAACCATTTCTGAAGCCGGGACTCACCCGGTCGCCAAAACTTACAACTATTTAATGAATGACCTTGATGATAATGGTCGTCTTCGCTTCTCGGCCAACCCACGCATGCGTCTTCTCCGCTTTGCAGAGGTGGCGCAGAGCTAATTCAAAGTTATGTTCGTTGGGGAAAGGTTTTCTACCCTTTATCTTCTTGGAATCAGTCGAGCAAAGACAACGGCTTGACTATTTCGGCCTGTATTCTACATGCTTTACTCTGCTTCGTGCTGTCTCTTTTGCTCCGCTGGCTGCGGGATCTCGACATATGTTTCATTTTTTGAATTGTCTATAAACGGGAGGTCAACGTAAATGTAATCATGGTTATGTGTGTTTTCTTATCATTGATCCTTCCTTACCTGTATATACTTGAATACCTTTCGGACTTCACTAATTTTGAAATGTGCAATTGGTTTTCATGACATTTCCCCCCCCCCCCTCCCCCTCTTTGCCCATGGGAGGACTGCTTAGTGGGAGGAGACAAGTGAGTGGCTACTGAGGAGTGAAGGCTCGATCTCAAACTGACAACCGTGACGGCCATAATTGTGTCGTCTCTCATCTCATCTCGTCCCATCTCTCGTCAAGGGCGAACAAGCGGGTAAAGGACGACTCCGTCAGTTGGACGAAATACAAAGTGGTTGTCCACTTTAAGCTGGGATGAGATTAGGGATGCTAATATCAGTATGTAAGCAGGATCCATCCGCGCTGCGTATTTGTGCTACAGTGGACGGAAGTCCTGGGGGTGGCCCGAAGACATCAGCGATCATTGCTTTTTGCAGTTGCTATTGACCTGTGCGCAAATACTGAAGTTACTCCGAGCCGGTAACCACGAGCGACACCGAAGCATGATAGAGACGAAAGGTCGAAACTCTAGGCTCACTATAATGAGAGCACTCCTCGGGAATATTCATCAGCCTCGAAACTTGTTTTGCTGTTTTCACCATATCGTCCTACTCTGATAGCAGATTCACCCAGAAAGAGGCTTGCTCTGAAAGAGGATAGACATTCTACTATTGCCTTGCACCATCGCTCTACTGCCATTTCTGAAGGATGGATGGTGACGAGGTTCTAAGGCCACCCATAATCTTCCTTTTTCTGCTCTCTATAGAGGATGATCGTCAGCAGTATCGATAGTTTATGCAATGTGATAATGACCTGGCAGACGCTAACAAGCATAAATCCCGAACACATGGCTGACCCTACGCTCCCATATCTGACCCGTGTCAAGAATTGTGCCTTGTTAGCGGCGAGAAGAAGAATTGAATTTTACCGATGATCATCGTGCCTACGCGTCCTGCTGGTTGAAGGTGTCTTGATTGGGGTTATGACTCCAACGAGGACACCATTCGTCTAGTACAGACTCATATCAAATTTCTTCTCAATGCCGTCAGCACTAATTATACAACTAAAAGCAAAGGTTCTCAAGATCATTGAAGCCGATCCTCTATAGCGTATTTACGCCGGACATGGGATGAAGTCATAATTCTGATTCCCCCCTCCAAAGCCCGTAGGATCACTTCAGGCACCGCTCAAGTCGGCCACAGAAGGGTCTCAGGAAAGACATAAAAGGCCCTTTCATCCTCGAGTTGATTCCTCCCAAGATTGAAAACCGGCAACTTCATCAATTTCACGATCTCCTATCCCATACGCTACCTAGTTCGGCAGTCTTCAGAATCCTATCGTCACAATGCGATTTCTATCTTGCTTCTATGTTCTTTTCGCTGCGCTTCTCACCTGGATCACACATGCCGCTCCTACCAACGGTGGCGTCAATTGCACTCAACTCGAGCAGCAGATTGCTACCCTACAACAGGGGATCAGCAAGGCCAATAGCACCAATCCCGAGAGGGTTCAGGCTGCTCAACAGCTTCTGGACGGTGCGAGGATCTTGCAAGCCAGCGAATGCAACACTGCTCTGGCCAAGCGCATAAACTACGCTGTGAGTACATCGCATTTTTGTGGATTTCTTCCGCTATGCTAATTACGCCATAGCCTGTAGGTCTCACTGCATTTGATAAAAGATTTACTCAATGCTAACTCTTGACGCCCTTGAAGCCCACTGGCCCGGTAAGTGCTCTACACTCTTCGAGGACCTTGAACGAGACTAATTTTTACAGATTGTGAGTCCAACTTCTGCTGTGATTATCTGCTAACGGTCGAACACTGGATCACTAACAATCAAACAGAATGTAAGTGTGATAACCATCCGGTTCATACTGACCAGAGCTAGAGCTGTTGCTAACGCGGGTGTCGATATGCAGACAACCGTCCCTCTAGGTGCCATCTCTGGATCTAGTGACCTGGGTCGACTCCACTAGCTGGTAAGTCTTGGCTGGCATCGAAATTGCCTTGATCCGAATCCGACATAGAAGAAGAAGGTACGCACTCCTGCATCATTTATGTCAGATTCACTAGTAAGTGGCCGCCGTACTCTGAATCAGATCCCTCAGTCACTAATCCCAGAGACAGATGCGAGGAAGACCAGTCTGTGAACGAAACAAATCCTTGATAATGAACGTTGTGAGAACGCAATGGCGAATGGAATCAACTTGATCTCCTGGTGACGACAAAGGTTCGGCAATCGGATGTGTGCGGGAACAGTGTGTGGCCTTAGTATAGGTTTTTTCTCCCTTCAGGGTTTTCCTGTACTGTGAATGCAAATGCAGAGGCTAGAATGAACTTCTCTTCCGAGTATCAAGAGAAACTGTCAACGTTTAGATGTTTCCTTCTCGTATCGTCGTTAGACCTGTGCCTGCTGAGACCAAAGCCTACTTCGAAACGTCAGTGGGAAGGATGTGTCGTCCGTTTCGATTGGCGACAGAGCGATGCTACGGTCCAGAGGTCCAGATGCTCTTATAATCTTATACTACTTCTGACCAAACAGTGCTATTTCTTCTTGCAGGACGCTATACGCACCTCCACCCCCCGGGCATATTGCGATCGAGCAACGCCGATGCGGGCCGTCGAACGAAGAGATGAGTCTGCACAGCGCGAATTTACTGTCTTCTTCATTCTTTCTCTCCGCGTTCAGCGTTCTGCTGCCAATAATTCCATCGTCAAGAACTTAGCCGGGCGTCGTTCCTTTAAAGAATGCTTTCGTCCGATCTTCCACCAGTGTCCTCAGGTGCACGCCACGCTGCTATAATACCGCTTGCCATTATCTACAAGTCTATGGAAGTGGAGAGCTTCTACCACCATGTAAAGAGATGGAGTGCTCGTAAGCTGTCGGGCCTGAGAGACCGTGGTGTCCTGCCGGCCAGAGCTACGCGGTTGTTGCGACTCGCTTCGTCTTCTGCCCGCGGCCGGCTGCAGTCGCACCTTCTCCATGCGTCAGTGTGTCAGGCACTCTGTCCTCATGGGGAGCGTCCCGATCGAGCAGGAGTGAGCACCAACGTCATGTGACGGCGGAGTATAAACCCCCCCCCTTCGTTTGCCTTCTTCTCCTCCTCACCCCCCCGGACAATCTTTCGAGAAGACGGCGCAGCGCGCACGAATGATGGGCTTCGTAGTGCTTTCGGCGGGCAAACCGGTCAGACCGGTACTATTATTGTTTACTGTAGTGCTCCGTACTGGCACCCCTGGAAGCCATGTAAAGCAACGTTTGATGTAGTTTTAGCGTCAAGTCGCTGGAAGAGAGTATTTGAGAGGCTGTGGTGGGTCATTGTAGAGGCATCCTACGCATGACGACGTTATCGGTCAGAAGAGAAAGTCAATATTGTGGATGAAATATGGCCGTACCGGTATTCACATTCTCTAGGACGCTCTGGTCTCTTGGGGATTATTGACCACGAAGGAGTTCGCTACTCATTGGCCATGATTACTGCAACGAGAGTAACTTGTCGTACCGCAGCGTTGGGGATGGATCACGCTGCGATGATGAAAGCGCGCGTCATGTGTTCATTATAAAGACTGTGGTTGGGATACAATACTACTCGCATCATCATAATAGAGCGACAGCGTATGTTAAGTTGAAAGTTCTACAGAAGTCTAATGTCTGTTGGGAACGTTCTGCTCCATCAGGCGGAGCATGCGCCCGTAGACCTCGAGTGGTGCGACCTCAGCAGTGATGCATATCTGCTGAGTCCGAGAACAAAGAATCTCGCATGATGGTTGTAAACACATTACGGAGCATCCCAGACATGTACGATTCACAGAGCAACAAGACCATAGGAAAGTCGGTTTCTGCTGAAACGAGGATGGAAGACGTTCTGCAGGCATGGGCTGTACTTGGTGAACAGATGAGGGAAATGAGAAGAGCATAAGGTAGCAATGGTAGAGGAGGGGATAGAGGGAGTGGTTTATACTCCGACGGATGCACATACAGCCAGATTAGGAAAGTGTCGAACAGCCGCCCGGGCTCCCACTACGATGCCGAAACCTCACCAGATGCTTCAACAGCACGATCCGAACTAAACACTCGCAAGGGGATCTAGAGTGGATGCATGGCAACATGCTTGCTCACATACTTGCGAATAATCGAAGCCACGCCCATTTCAACAAACTCATCATCCTCAACTCCCGATATTGAAAGAAAGCCATCACCTCGCTTAGCGATCCCATGTCCCAACAACATGAAAACAAACTGACAACCTCATGGCCACCAACTGCCGAAACCCTGAGTCAGTCACCCGTGGAGTCCGCTCCCCTCTTCGAGCCGAGAACATGTGCACCAGCCCCTCATGATTTACCATCACCCAACCCACTTTCCCGTGGATCACGTCCCAACAAAAGATCAAGACTTCCTATCCGTCCCTAATCCATCGCGCTTCATCAAGCGAGATTTGTTATCGGTTCAAGCCAGGCACCTGGCACCTTTCGGCTTGAATTGCCGTGAACAGATCGTGGATCTAAAGATCGCTTCCGCTCCCAGCCAATCACCGACAGGGGAACGAACGGACTGAGCAAAAGTGGCTTGCCGTGCCGCAGCATCCATACTTTCAATAGTCTAAAAAAGTCCTCTCGATAAGCGAAGCCGCAAATGTACCTGAAGGGATCTCGGTTGCATTTTAGCCCGGGCTAGAATGTAAGCAAGTTTCTTCGTCTGCCGTGCTTCTGCAATCTGCTTTCTTGTAATTTGCTGCATGTGAGTGAGTGCCTAATTGCAACAATAAAGATAGATGTGCTGTGCCGCCCTGTTAGATTATTTCTCAATTAGCCTTGATCATAGCACCCGGCATATAGACGGCAGATCCTTCTTCAGGAGTACAGGTGATATCAGCATATTAAATCCAGATTAAAACATTCGGCAGCACAGGAAATTACATCCGGCGACGATCACAATCTGGGCATACTATATCCCGAAACCCAGCAGCGGATCTTCTCAATAGGTACTCCGCAGTCGCCTTATCTCTCAACTCCCTACCAATGGGCTCAAATCTCGCCTGATCCGTTCACTCCCTCTTACTATTGCTGCGGGGTAGCACTGTACAACCGGGACCGTAAATAGACACCAGAGTAACACAAAATTCGCCCACATACAAACGGAATCGAGGGCTGATTTGTCACCGACGATCCCCGAAGCAAACCAGTTAAGATCGAAAGCGGACGCTTAGATTTGAATCAGAGCTACAGATTTAGAAATTCCCGCTCATTCCAAATGGCAGGCCGGTGTCGAATGCCACAAACGAATCAGTTTCTTTTGCTGCCTGTTAGCTGAACCGAGTTTCGTTCCGCCCCATCGACTGACTCGAGTCAGAACCACCGTCCGTCCCCCTGGTGTCTTCTCCATCGTTTGTAGTCTATACTTGCTGAGCTGAAACACTTGAACCCGGCAACCAATCAACTGCTCCCGTTGCGCGGCTTGCACCGCGGAATCTCAGAGATTGAATGTGGACTCCCTTCGATTGCCAGGTGAACACTTGCCGGGATCTCCGATATGCGCGCGGGTGGTGCCCCTTCGAATCTCAGTTTGCGAACGATCGGGTTTGTCATCGCTGCCAAATTTGATCTCTATCCCGGTGGGACGAAAGCTTCTCTTACATCGCGTCTTTGGCGACTTCTACTGGTTATGCGAGAGATTGCGCAGATCAAGCACGATTGGACTGACAATCTTATATTTTTCAGTCACTTTGACATTGTAGTTATGACCCACTCCAGGAAGGCCATCAGGTTGCATTGATTATCATACAACGGTGACCCACGAACAAACAGAAAGAGAGGGTGATGAGAGGGTCGGAATGGGTACAACTCGCACATTCACAAATCACCCAGCGCAAGGCCCACAGAAACAGAAAATGAGAAAACCAAGGAAAATCACCGCACCAGGCAGATTAAGTAACGTACAGACCGAAAATAAAAACAAAAACCAACAAACCCCATAAACCAGCAGACGCTAACCGAAGGACGCCAAAGCAGAGACGCAAAGAACAACCTTTTTAAAAAAAAAAAAAAAGACGTGAGGAAGAAGAAGAAGAAGAAGAAGAAGAAGAAGAAGAAGAAAGGAAAGGTGAAACACTAGGTCGGGAATGTTTTGTTGTAATCAGACGGAGGAATTAGGCATTATTTCTGGATGGTTGACTTTCTCCTGCCTCGTAGCATGAATCCCATGAAACCTGAACTCGAATTCTTGGCGGCTGGTTCCGCACTGTCGGTTTTAGCGCTTCGGCTATACCGAAAACTCTTCTTCCGTCGGGCAGACTTGGCATCCGACGCTGCGGAATCGCGTGGGTCCAAGCTGTAAACGCTCTCCACTTCAGATCGCAGGCTGCTGGCTGAGTAGACACTAGATGCCGTTGAACCGTGCATAAGCGAAGGGGGCATTGGGGGCCGAAACCCTCGAGTGCCCGGCATGCTGGATGTGCTGTACGTGGAACCTGATCGGTGTCGGTTGAAGGTGGGCGATGAATAGTAGGGTACAGGGCTCGAGGTCCGTGAGGAGGGCAGACTGTAATCGGAGCTGGCAAAGGAGTGGGAGAAGGAGACGGATCGGCTGTGAGATTCATCGGTGGCATGGATTGACGCTTGACCCCGGGGTGGGAATGGCGAATAGCCCCCCTGGACACTCTGCATGGAGGGAGGTCGACGGAGTAGACCCCCTTGGGATCCACGATTTATGACGTGTTCGGCGGATGTCTGTGGTCGGTTGAACGCCATGGATTGCGAGCGCATGTTTGCTGGTTGAGGAGCCTCGGGTACATCTGCTAGAGTTCGGGGAGTGATAAAAGGGTCGGTTTCAGCTCGTCGAGGGTTCTGGCTCGATAAGCGACCATGTAACTGCAGGCTACCACGCTTCAAGTGGAAGGCAGGGTTGGGTCGTTTCTCACTCAGTAGTGGTTGCGACTTGACTGCCTGATTGAGAGAGTATAGTCCCTGACCAATTGGATACTGGTCTGGTTCAGTTGTCGCTGAGATGGCCGACATAGGCTCAGGTTCATCTACCACCGGCCCATCGGTGACTGGGCTAATTAGAATTAGATTAGGTCTAGCAATAGGCTCGACGATGGTGATCTGCTCAGCCACACACACATCTGTGTCGTCAACTGAATCTTCGGCCGCATCGTCAGCTGCATCGTCAGCTGCATCGTCGGCCGCATCGTCGACCGCATCGTCGACGGAGTAAATAGAACAAGGTGAAGATGACCGTGAGCAATGCTGAGGTTGCAGTGACTGGGAAGGCTGATATACAGTTGGTTGCAGGAAGATTGGAGGCTGCAGTGGAGAGGTGTCGTCGGGCGAAGGCAGTTCAATGATCACATCGTCATCATCGTCAAACATGTAACTCTCCGGTACAAATGTCGTACCGCTGCTCCGTCTTACGGTGTCCAATGAGACCGGCCTCGAAGTCTTGCCCGTGGATGGGTAGGTGGATAGTAAACGGGCGAAGGCAGTCTTGTCTGAGGGTGATTGCGGGGAGTTGACATTAGACATTTCATCCGCGCTCATGTCTGAATCAAAAGGACCGGAAGTCTTGATGGGCGAGAATGCATGGTCATGGGATCCTAGTTCCGATTCAGACGTCTCCTCTTCCTCGGACTCGTAATGTCGGGGAAGAAGTTGCTGGTTCAAATAGTCCAGATCCAGATCGAGAGGAGCTGCCGTCTGATACATGTTGTTAAGAAGTGGGAAAGTCGAGAAGAGAAAGAATTAAACGGAGAGAACAGTACTAAAGCCCCCAAACCCGGCTGGCACTCAATAATAAGGAAAGATTAGGCAGGTTGACTAGTGGGCCTACCCATGTACACAACAAACAGCGAGTGGGAACGAGAGAATAAAAAAGAACGTGAGAGGGAAGAGTATGAAGATAAGAGAAGGCAAACGAAGCCGACAACCGACAGGAGAAGAGAATGAATGTCAAATATACCAGACAGGGACTGGACAGGGTTAGATGGACCACACGGGTTGGTATGCTCGAAACGGAGTGGAGCTGGTGACCCTCCGTTGAGGTTTGTCTTAACGAAGCCACCGAATGCCATCCGATCACACAACTTCCGGAGTGAACGGACCAAGAGCTCCACCAGGGGGAGGGGAGGGAGGGGAGCAAGTCAGAAGAGGGCATTGGGAATTGCAGGAAAAGCAATGCTGCATGACACGTGCGCCACCAGGGGAAGACCTAGGACGGAGTGAGTTTAGAGACCGAAGTTCTCTTTTTCGTTCCTCCTATCCTGCTTGTTATCCTGCTTGGTTGGCGCTAGTGATCTGTACCTCGGCGTTAGCGGCAGGCAGTACTGTACCTAGCCAGGTACTCAGGCACATTTGACTTAACTTGGGCGAACAAGATGATGAGAATCCAGGATGCGGAAAGAGAATGAAGGTAGTGCTTACGTTTTCATCCTTGCCTGACCCTCCTGCAGCCCCAGGGAGTTGTGAAAGATCAGGGACAGTTCAGCCAACCCTTGCATAGACGGGGTATTGTTCCTCACCACCACCACCACCATTCTGACCCGGAAAAGCAATGATAACCGACGAGATTGAGCCAAAATGTGGAGGAGTCAGGCGCCACGATAGCGACTATTCAATGAGAAAAAAGTATGATTTCTGAATTTGAGTTCACGGAGACCATGAGGAAAGGGAGGGGGGTGGAGGAAAGAGAGGGTGGAGGGTGCAGGGTGGAAGAAACGCTAACAAATTGGACGTATCAACGTGAGCTATCGGGGAGATGGGATGTGCAAGTGTATGCCTGAATGCCTTGGATTTGAGGGGCGAGGAAAGAGGAAAGTGGCGCGCATCGATGGCGGCCACATCTAGATTACTGCAACGGGGAAAACACCAATGATGGGAATCGGCTCATGCCAAGCCCGGTATGGCCATGTGGATTAAAGCTCAGTGAGTGCTTCCATTAGACTACTGATTCCAGTTGCTTCCTCAATGTCCCAGTCTCAATTGTGGGCTTTTCTATCTGATTCGTGAACCATCCTTGGCTGTTCCTGTTCGTTCCTCTCTTTCCCTATCCTCCACATTTTCCTAAACTACCGGCAGGATCTCTTTCAACCCTAATTGCTTACTTTCCCAGCACTTCCTCATGCATTGAACATACGTACGCACTGCGTGTTGAATGATAGTGACAAACTCTTCCCTTGTCCCTGGCCTGATCGAGCTTTGGCCCGGGCCCACCGTAACTAAAGACCTCTAGTGGGGTTCGTGGTTTCTAGTTTTGTTTAGCCTCGAGGCAGCGGCATCGATTAGGGGGACATCAGTCAATTTTGGCTTTGAATAATGGTCTATCAAATGACACAGTGCACTGACACCACTTGATGGAGAAGACGCATTGCCATCAACCTTGATTCGACTGGAAGTAGATGCATTGATGCGGCTGCCACCACCACCACCACCACCAGAGATTTGAGATTCTTCAGATCATCTTCAACCGCTTTGTCCCGTTCGTGCCGTTGAGGAACCCTGCGTTGTCAACGCCGCTGCTCCAGGACAGTGGAGCATGTTTAATTCAAACACACCAGACCCCAAAGAAGGCGAAGCCTCTTCCCGCCCGGAGTTCCTCACCGACTCGCCTTGTCCATTTTCCCATTCGAACTTGTTCGTGCTCAGAATTTTTCAACTATAACAGGAAAATGATTTTTTGCATGGTCACCCCCTATTCCACTGCCACCAAGCTCAACCCACTTTTTGGGACCATGCGGCGCCAAGTCCGACTGACCCGACCGGCGAATGGGAGATTTTTCAACACTCTTTCCCCAGCAATATCGACTGGAGACTGTGGATAGACGCAAAGCTCCCTGCAGCGACGGAGCCTATCCTTGCAGCAAGCCATGCATTGCCACCACTTGCTTCAATTGCCGGGAGCAGATGAATGTCGTACAGACAATAAGATAGAGAATGGCCGCAACTCAACTATTCTGCTGAAAGAGACGATTATCAATAAGGAAATCGCAACCCGTTGCCAGCTATCATCCAAGGAACCACCAACGCTGCAGGCCGGGAGGATCATCAAGACAGTATACAGAGTAGTTTATTCAGAACGGACGGGAAAATCCTCGCTCGAATCATCGACGATCCCCCGTCAAACTTGTGGTAGGTTGGAGGATAATCTTCGGTATAAACCGCCCGTCGAATAACGATCGCCCGAAAATAGGCATGATAGACCCTGATCTGATGCGACGCTCCGACCTGTCTCCATCATAGGCTGCGAACCAGAGAAAGACGCAGAGGTACTCGTAAGATGATCCAGGAACTCCCTCCCCATTCCCCTCAATCCGTCAACGGCTGAACCGTATCCAACATGCAGGAACACATCCAAACGGCGGTTGCAGTATGAAACAACCGAATGGCATGGAGGAGGGGCCAGGGGCAAATTACTTTGCCTCTTGGTTTGCTCGTCTGACTAAGCAAACTACGGATCAGCCCCAAGAAAAAAGCAACGAGTTCGTGCAGTAGTAGCTGTTTGTTTACTAGGAAGGGGAAAATTTTTGGGAGGTAAACAGGTACGAGAGATTTCAATTCTAAATGATACTGTTGCAGATGGCTGGTCTAAGAGGAAAATGACTGCCCGCAAGCACGGAGGACTTGCTTATCGCAGTATGGAGGGAGTGACGACCGTGCTTCGGCAGACTAACTATATTTTTAGCTCTGGGTTTCTCTCTTCTCCCTCTTCCCCCTGCTGGCCTCGCCATCCTTCATCCTACTGCAACACAAACTTAATGCAGCCCCAGCGCTTCTGCGCGCGAGGTGATCATCATTGAAAGTAAGTTTTGACTCAAAATTTTCCAGTCTGGCTTTCGTGTGGTCCTGTTATAATTAGCAGAAAAATACTGGAATCATTCCGTGCGCTGTGTCCTGCCTGATCTCCCACCTGGTCCTATTGATATACATCATCGTACCTATCACCTGCATATAACCCAGCCACATTCCTTCTCCGGCCAGAACCTGCGACATGACGTCGACAGATGACTATCTTCTGTCTTTACTCAGGAGCGCGATGCCTCCCCAAGACTGAGCTTCGTAGTCTTACCCGTCGACTGACCCTAGACCATAGGGCAATCCATTGGATCCTTCCGGGCGTTGTCGACGACTACAAGGAAGCTTCATTGTTTCAGTAACCGCTGCGACAGTCTCTTCTGCCATAATAAGATCGTGTCGAGGTCAATAATGAACGATTATCGTCCCTGTTCTCCGTCCATCGCCCGGTGTTCCTCGCCCCGGGCGCTGTTTGAATAGAGATACCTCCAGTTGAAACAGGATTCTCTCTCCTCCCCACTCTTTTGCCCAGCTACTCCACGGGTGATTCCCCCACGACAGAATAGTCAAGGCCAAAGCGATAGAGAGCTGTCGGGGAATTATGGACGGGATGAGCCACTGCGCTGCTTGATTTGGGGCAGGTTCGAATACTTTATCTCTGAGCGCCCGGGCAGATTCGGTCTGTAACCGCACGCTATCGACTGGACGTTTCAGCTGTTCTATATATGGGCGCAGCTAACGTCCGTCCTCCTGAAACGCGAACATTGACAAATTCTCTGCAATTATAGGACGCCACCAGTTCCAACTTGAGGTTACCAAGATAACAAGAACCAAGAGTGAGATGAAAGAGGTACCGGGAAGGTACAGAGTACCTTAGAAAGGCCTGTCAGAACACGGACCCGTCTGTGTGTACGCTTTACTGCTGATCTGCTCCACTGTCTTCCAGTCAGGGCGCTGTGACCCATGGAGATCCTTGCCAACCCTTTTCTTCACCGCTTAAGTCGGGCGCGCGCGCACTCTTGTCGTCGAGATATACCTTAAGGGTAAGAGTGGATGACATGCGCCTCTCATCCCTGACAAGCTTTTGAGGCAGAAGAGTGATTTAGGGGGAGGGGCACCATCCCGGCTCTATAGAGCCCCGTTGACATGACGGCCAGGCAAGCAAGCAAGAACCAAAAAAATCTTCACCCAACCTCACTTCTATTTTTTGCTTTCCCCCCCTCCGCCGTGCTATAAAAAGTTTTTTCCACTTTTCACAACGGTGCAATATGATTGCGGAGACCTCCCGAGCGTTTCGGCCGCCAACGGCCTTCCTTTACCCTCTTCCTCCCTAGACTAGACTCTTAATGAAAACCCGTTATGATGGTATAGTCCTAAGTGGGGTCTACCCGCCCGGCTATGACAGCCCGGTTTGCTGGACTTGTTCCTTGACATCTCCGAGATAATCCCTTAGACCAACTGTCTCTTCACTTGTTTCCCTGAGTACGAAAACAAACAAAGGATGGAGATAACTGTCAAGTCTATCCGGGATAGACTTCTCCGTCTCTCCGGGCCAACCCCCTGATCTCTAATAACGTACTGTACACTTGTACAATCTGAGGACGTCAACAACAAGCCCCGTTTCTCTTTCCCCCACTTCGGATCCGATGGCCAAGGCTACTACGTATCAACCTCTCTCCCCTTTCTCTCAAGACCCCTATTCACGTATACTATGTGAAATTCACATAGTATACATAATTTGGTGTGCATCGCACACAGACCGTTGCAAATAACGTCCTTAGCTACGCCTCACTTTGCATCCCACGCAGGAACGTTAATGATGTGGGGATCACCAGTCGGAGATGAAATGACAGCGACGGAAAATGACAGGTGGATTCAGCCCTTTAGTGTCGTCTATCCGACTCCCCTAGTTTAGTCTGTGGATGGTTGATTTTGCCCCAAGCATAATGACTGCAGTAGTCTACGCACTATAAAAATTTTGACCCGAGAGGGAAAATAATCATTGCATGACTGCTACGGTGATGGTTGGTTAAACCCTGCCGAGATCTGAAGAATGACGATATCGCAACTTCCTTCTCCCTCACCTAGAGTTGTGCGCTGTCTAAAAAATAAACCCCACAACTGAATAATCCAATTGTAGAGTTGAGTTGATACAATTCTTCCTCCTGCTTGTGGTTCCAGGAGAGAATGTAGATTCGCGTCATCTTGGAGTCAAGGGGTGGAATTAGTTTCAAGAGGGGGAAGGGAGGAGGGGTTCGCTTTTCCTCTTACCCTTCATGCCGAGCCTTACATATATACACTTCCCTCCCACATACTGATACACATCGACTTCAAAAGGTATCCAGGGAATAAACAGGAGGAGAGAATTCTTGTCGTCATGATGGTGGATGTCGATATCGTATGATGATGTGGAGCGTAATGCAGGCAGGAAAGGGGAGGAAAGTTGATTTTTTTTCTTCCTTTTTTCTTGGCGACGGAGGATTGATGCACTTATTTTTGCTCGGAGCTTTATCGCTATACGGACTCATGGAGTAGACTACAGTACACGGACAAATGAAGATCAACACTGGACATCCGGCAGCGGCCGCTAATGATGGTTTATGGGTGTGGAGTGAGTGTCTTTAGTTGGTTTATCGTTGGCGAAAAGGACGTTGACAGCGCTAAGATGGCCTCAATCTCTTCGGTAGTTGGCCGAGTGATGCGCTCAAAGCACCGTTCCCTTCACCACAACATCTTCATCACTATGTGCGGGCTTTGCTGGGAAGAACTCGATAAAAGAAGACTAGATAATAGCAGTCGATGTAAGTGTAGTCTGTCTAACGTTCAGGTCATGATATTTAGATGAGTGGTATACCCGACTACTCATTATTCAGACGCAAGAAGCCAGGAGGCTGAAAGGTCTTCAACGGTAACCTAATACTCGAGTCTAAACCTGGTAAAACAAAGCTCTGAAGGTAGATTCTACGATATTCATGGGAGGGCGCCACCGGAGGCTGTGCTCTAAGGTCTCAAGAATCGTCCATCTGCGGACCTTTGCAAGCTCACCTTCACGTTGTCAAATTCATGATCACCTTCAGCCGTGTTTCTTTGTCCTCACACATCCGTCTCCAGTCAAAGTCCAGGCATAGCAAGGACATCGTCGAATATAAAGTATAAATTCCGTCAAAGCCTTTGTTAATTGATAGCTTTAACAGAGTTTGTACTAGTATATAATCTGGAAAATCGGACTAGAATAAAGTCTCCCAGATGGGCCCCGTCTTAGAGACGACTATAATATGAACCGCAAGCTCACCAACGAGAAACTCATCTCGTAAGAACAAACAAACAGAACCATCTTTTGGCAACAATGGAGTCCCATGATAAGCAACCGGAGACTGACCCAGACAGGAAACAAGATAGGTGCTCTTCCGACAAGACTCTAGGAACAGAGACGCAAGGCAAGTCCAAGTCCATCGAGCGAGCCTTCCATACCTCCCTGCCGTATTGCCAGACTCTAACAGGGTACGAGCCCGTCACGGCGCCTCCACTCTCCACGCTCGAGGATGGCCATACCTACAAAGTCGTAAGGTGGTGCCCACCGAAACTCCTCCTGAACCTCGGCCGCGCACGCTACGCCGCCGTGACCGGCTACGACAGCAACTTCGCTGCACGGCAGATGCCCACGTTCGAGATGTTGGATATGGCGACTGATAAGCATGTAAGAATGATGACGGAGCGAAACCTAATCCCAAGTCTGGAGGTGATGCTCTGGGGGGCATGGCCAATGGGCCGGCTGTGCGGCTGCTTCAAGCATGGGTACTGGGGCGAGCCGCTATACGTCTGGACCGTTCACCTCTACAACAAAGTGACCGTCGACGTCGCCGCCCTGGTGTTCAAGCCGCCGAACATGATCCGCGGTGCCGACTTCTTCGGTGCCATCGGCGAGGAGCAGCACTGCGGCTGGTTCAGGCCGAGCGGGCCCGGGTTAACGGCCGACGGCCACGTCCTGACGCAGGGCCTGCGCGACAACGCCGTCCCGTTCACACAGCAGGCCAGGAAGTACGCATCCGAGCTGGGCCTATGTGATGTTGCTCTCTTTGACTACGAGCATCTCTTGCTCCTGGATCTCGAGGACGAAGCGAACCAGTATGAGCGTCGTCTGGGCCCAGGCCGCGACGCGCCGATTCCGGATCTGCTCACGGCGACATTATTTCAGGAGCGCTACAGCGACACGGGAAGTGGTGAGTGTTTCCATATGATATTGCTGGGCTTCGTCCTTCGCGCGTTGGACCGCACCCCCTCACTGCTCCGGAGAAAGCTGGCCGCGCGCAATCGATATGATGATCGGACACCGAGGTCGTGGGATCAAGACTATGATCGGATACCAAGGCCACCAAATCGAGACAACGATAGGACGCCAAGGCCGTTGGATCGAGACGACGATAAGACCCCGAGACCATTGAATAGAGATGAAAGTAGGACACCAAGGCCGCATAGTTAACAAGGTGAGTTCCACCCAGGTACTAAGCTCAATGCTGGGAGCATATCCGATCCACGGTACAGTTGATGAATGCAAACAAACCTTTACCATTTACCACAAGAATATATTCAAAGATGTTGGAGAAATGGCCCTTGCTGTCTGCATACCCGCATGCCGGTTACAGTTCCAATTTCTGTCCTCATTCTGTAATATCCTGTTTGGTAAGTGATTTGCTGAGTCCAGGAGCATCGCATAAGCCGAAGCTTTGTGAGTATCTATACTCTTGTCTTGACCCTGTATGGCATGAAGGCATGTAATGATAAGATGTCAATTGTGGCCCTTATACATTATGCTATATACTCGCAGATGTGGCGAAGCCAATCTTCGAGAACATGACCTGAATCATCTTTTACCTCTGCTGTATGAATTATAGCAAGATCACCCCAACGAATACTCGGACGGACATCCTGTTCATGACGGAATTGGTATGAGTGGCAGGCTCAAAGCTCAAGTAAATCGATATCCATTAGTTCTTGGCAAGATTCCCTACGCTAGGGTCCATCATTATTAATTGTCTGATATGGTCGTCAGAGCAGATGGTACGCAGCCCAAAAGAATGATATAGTCCAAATCAACGCATGTGCAATTTCCAATCCATCGCCAGATCGCATCTATCTACGTGCTTCTATGGCGCTCTTGATAGCTGCGAAGAGTTAGAACAATGCCGAACACAAAGAGCGTGTGCCAATATACTCACCATCGCATGAAGTCTTCGCATCTCCGAAAAGCATCTTAGTACCAGGCATAAAGAACATCGGGTTCGGCACGTCAGCTATTCCAAGTGTTAGTATAATATACGGATTGTGGTGTCATATGATTATGTCCTACCGTATCCGCTGGACATGCCACGTTTCATCACGATCACCTCTTTGCTCTTCCATGCATGCAGCACGGGCATTCCCGAGATAGGAGAGTCGGGCTCTAGAGCAATCGGGTTGACAGTGTCATTTGCGCCGATGACTAGGGTCAAGTCCGTGTCGGCAAAATCGTCGTTGATCTCATCCATTTCAAGTACAACTGTGCAAGTCAGTGGCTGTGAGGATTCGAAGCAAAAAAAGGGGACGTACTGTCGTAAGGTACGGAGGCCTCCGCGAGGAGCACATTGCACTGGCCGGGCATTCTGCCTGCCACAGGATGTATGGCAAATCGCACGGTGACACCTTTAGAGCGTAGCATGTGAACAATCTCAGCAAGAGCATACTGCGCCTTTGCGACAGCCATGCCGTATCCGACCACCTGTTATCGCTGATTAGCAGAGTACAAAGCCAGAAAAAGCCAAACGTACAATAATCACGCTTTCCGCGTTTGAGAGCGCCTCGACAGTATCATCCACCGTCACCTGAGTCACTTGGCCTTCGATTTTCTTTGCTTGCTGGGGAGCGGCAATTCCGCCAAATAACACGTTGGGAAGAGATCGGTTCATTGCAACGCACTAGGAGAGATCAGAAGAGCTCAAATGGTAATTCCAAACTCAGGCACGAACCATGATGTATGACAGAATGGAGCCGCTGACTCCGATCAATGATCCAACGCTGGTAAGAAGTGGATTGTTAAGCATGAAGCCTTCGGCTACCAAGGCAAAACCAGAGTACGCATTTAAGACAGTAATAACCACAGCTGCGACTTATTAGTTCGAAAGCTCACTATATTAGTCGGTAGATTGACTTACGCATATCAGCTCCTCCAATGGCAGCGGTTGTAGTGTATCCCTTCAGGAAACTAAGTACGGTGTTCGCACCCAAACATGTTGCGGCGATGACCGGTGAGGCAGGTGCCATAGTCACGAACGCCCCCATAGTAGCTACATTAGTACCCAGCAGGCTTGCATTTATCAAATGTCTGCCAGGAAGTATTGTGGGTCGTGAAGACATGCGACCGGCAAGTTTCAGAAAAGCGACAATCGAGCCAGTGAAAGTGACACCACCTACGCGGGTTAGCAAGTCGTTCATGAACCTCGACATTTTTACATCCTTACCTATCAATACACCAAGATAAGCTGTCACCATGTGTAGAGTCGAAATATGAGAGACATCAGCCATCACACTTCCAATGCTTGTGAGTACGGCCGCCAATCCAACAACTGAATGCAACGCCGCAACGGTTTGAGGAAGTCCAGTCGGCGTGATGCGACGCCCGATCAATGCACCTAGAAGCTGTCAATACCACTCTTATCTGGTAGTCGACGTATCCACTTACCCACGAGAGAGCCCACGCCTGCCACAACACCAAATTGGGTCAGTACCTCAGAAGAAAAGCCGACAGCAGCAAGAGAAGCAATGATTCCGGCGCCAACTCCCAGGATGCCAAGAATGTTCCCGCGTCTGGCAGTTTGCTGAGAAGCCAGGCCAGAGATAGAAGCTAGTGTGATTAGCGCTAGCCAAATAGATGTATGATAGGTAATACATACCAATGCAAAGAAGACTGCTGACAAGGTACCCTGCTTGTACCAGCCCGGCCATGCCGGTGCTAGCGGCAGCAACGAAGCCGCCACCAAACAATATACCTGGTATAGCATAAAGCCAGGGATACTCCGGTGGATCAGTAGGGCCTAAATATGGTCAGAATTTGTTCTTCAGAGATATTGAGGCACTGACGTTTGAACATGTCCAACATGCGCTTGGTGATGACGAAGCCCCCAGAGATATTCATGAATGCCATTAAGACAGACACAGCTCCTAGGGCCTCTGGTATCGTGCTAGGCACATACCCTCCGCCCATTATGAAGAATCCCCCAATGCCAACCATCCCTAGATTAAAATATTAGCATTATATTCAGGCGAGCAGAAAGCATGACTCACCTGAGATCGCATTGGTAACACTCATCAGGGGCGAATGAAGTGCAGGTGCGACACCCCATACCGCACGATAGCCAACAAGTCCAGCAAGCCCAAACGTCATCAGATTACCCATAAAGACAGGCCCGGTAGCTTTACCTAGTGCAATAGCCGTTCCCATGCCAGCGGTTGTAACGGCAACTTGACGGGTCACCTTCTGCCAGGGTGTTGTTGCTAACTCTGCTTGCTCTTTTGCAGGTACAGCAGCCTCCGGTTTGGGAGCGGGTGGCGGCACTGGACGTGGCGCTGGCGGCAGTACCCTTCCATCCATGGTGACGATTGAGCCGCGAACAACCTCATCTGAGAGATCTATACCGAACGACTTCTCCTGAGGGGTCATGGAGAGAAGGAACTTCGTGATGTTATTGGAATACAGAGTCGATGACTGTGTTGGCAAGCGCGAAGGGAGGTCGGTGTAACCTAAGAAGGTCAATCAAGACGTGCAGGCACTCCAAAGCATCGAGAATCAACAAACCAATGATAGTGACGTCCTTGTACTTGGTCAATTGCCCGGGAACTGTCGCTTCACAGTTACCACCAGCCTCTGCGGCAAGATCCACGATCACTGAACCAGGTTTCATTGCAGCCACCATCTTGAGTCAGGTAAGCAACTCGTTCGATACATGCATAGATTTCGTCCTTACCTCCTTGGTGATCAGTTTAGGCGCAGGCTTCCCAGGAATGAGGGCCGTCGTAATTATGATGTCGACTTCTCGGCACTGTTCCATAAAAAGCTTCATCTCCGCTTCAATGAACTCCTTGGACATTTCTTTGGCATAACCTCCTTGGCCGGAGCCATCCTCTTGTATGTCGACCTCAATGAACTCAGCTCCCAAAGACTGGACTTGCTCGCGGACAGCAGGCCGAGTGTCGAAACCACGAACGATGGCACCTAGTCTTCGAGCCTAATCGATCATCTCTCAGCTAGAGAGATCACTGGTGTGTATGTGTATGGATGTACTTACCGAGGCAATTGCGCTCAGACCAGCCACGCCGGCTCCGATCACCAGCACCTTGCTCGGAGGTATCTGGAAGTCGCTTAGCACATCTTACGGTCAAGTATTATCATGTTGGTATTACCTTGCTATGGCCAATATTGTTAGTACATCAACGCATCATTGTGAATGTCACACTTACCCAGCAGCAGTAACCTGTCCAGTCAAAAATCGACCAAAGTGATTGGAGGCCTCTAGAACAGCTTTGTATCCAGCAATATTGGCCATGGAACTAGTGAAAGATGATCAGTTCACGATAACAGCTTCGAAAACAACCTGACGTACCTCAAAGCGTCAAATGTCTGCGCACGCGAGATTCTTGGTATCATATCCATAGCAAACGAGGTCACACCGCGCGCAGCCAGTTTCTCTACTAGTGACTTGTTCTGTGCTGGATACAAAAACGAGATTACCGTACTTCCTTGGCGCAAGTCTTGGACTTCATTATTGGGGTCATGGAGCTGAGGGCTGCGGACCTTCAGCACTATCTGACTTTGAGACCAAATAGCGCTCCGGTCCACCATAACAGCTCCTGCTTCTTCATAGGCTTTATCAAGGAATTCGGCGTTCGCGCCGGCCCCACGTTCAACCAGGACGCGCGAGAAGCCCTTCTTGAGCAGCAGAGCAACATTTTGCGGGGTGATGGCAACACGTCGTTCGTTTGGAAAGATTTCGCGAGGGATACCGACAGTCAACGAAGAGTAAGGAGTGGTTGGAATAGCCGAGGACGCAGGAGCAACACTCGCGTATCTTCTGGAAGCCTTCTGTAGATTTCCGACAAATAGCGATCCGAAGTGATGACATCCTAGCGCGTGCGATGGGACTCGGATCGATGAAACCACTATCGATCTCCGGTCATTAGCAAGCCTCTCACAAAGCTCAGATAAGACAAGAAGAAGTCGGGGGCCACATGCCTGGCTGCTGGAGATGAGGCAGCGATCTCCCTGGATAGGTACTCGCAGCTACCTGGCATGGCCTGAAGGCCACACGCAGGTACACGGGCACACTCATTGTCGTACACGGTAGATTAAGTAGCAAATGACGCAACCGGGAAAAGCTGCATATCCACAAGTAGGCTCAATGACGAGTGCCTCGCGGGAAAAGGCGCCCAGGCAACATAGATGGTGTAACGCTGAGGGATGACGGGAGCCACCGCGGTGAATAAAGGAGCCGCAAGGTTCACTTTGCCAACACAAAGAACTCAAGGAAGATACGAACAAATGTACAAATCAAGAAGTCTGAGTGGCAGAGCGTATGGCTTCGAAGGTTTGAGTGGCCCAAGGAGGTTAAAATAGAAGAAGAGGAGACGGATGGGCATTGCGGGGAGGCCAGCGTCGGCGCGCGCAAGGGATGGGCGGGAAAACCACCGACCATTCTTCCACGAGTGTGCGACTGGCCTGCGGTTCGGATGATCGGTATGGTATGCTATGCTATCAGATCGCCCGATGACACGCTGCCGCGGGGGATGTGACGGTCGAGGTTGTCGGCATAAAATGAGGGGAAGGTCGCGTGGGGAAGAGGAGCCATCATTGGTGATGGAGCTGCTGTCAGCGGCGCTTGGCATCCGGGGAGGTGGACTCGGATGACTTGTTCGTTGTTTGGCATCCAGCCTTGTTTATGCTCCGAAAGTACTCTTCTCAGACTATTTCATGGACTTCAGGACTTCTAAGCAAAGAGAATTCCTTCGCATGCGCTTCTAATGACATTCAATTTAACTGTCAGCCCCTGGATGCCAGAGCATCTACATGCTAAGTGAAGCATAGATGACGTCCATGTTATTGCGCCCAAGGGTATGGAATAAATGACCGACTCCACACGTTTCTTCCTACTACAAATTCCATCCTTCCACAGTCGTTTGTCGAAGAATATCATGCATGCGGACTATGCATGGGCCATGAGCGAGCGAATCGAGGGAGAGAATACTAGAGTCTGGACGGACGGGCGCTCGACCATCCTCTCGATTGGTGCTGCTGGAGTTGCTTCTGTGTCAGCCACAAGTTGCAAGCGTTGCAAGCAAGGTCTAGGATGGATGCCTAGATGCCTGAGGCTCAAAACCCCGCAACTTTGCTTCGAATTTTGCTGAACCTCGTGTTTTCCGAGTACTTGATTTCGCAATAAATGTCCTGCAAATTCTGACAGCAATGAGAAAGCCAATTGCGCAGTCCGGCATAGGAGCAGCTCAGGCTGGACGGTGGTTCCTCGCACGGTTTTTTTTTTCCCAGTGGCTCCACCGATAGTGGATCCCGCTGGGAATTGATCATGGAACTTGGATTGAATGATGTCGTCGTCTCCTTTCCTTGCTTCCTTGCTTATCTGCCTGTGAACGATCATAGTCGGTCAGGAATCCAGACACCATGGCTTGGAACGGAGACTCGAGACCGAAGATGCATGTTTACAGTGCCTGCGCCCACTGCCAGCATCGCGCTGCTAGATGCTGATGGATAAAAAGGAACTATCGAGTAGGTACGGAGCCAACACGATGCTACCAAACCTAGGGCCTGCCTTAAAGTTCCCTCGTTGAGACCCACGGTGGTCTCATCCTGCCACGCACAGTTGCTGATTGGAATCGGGCTGGAAGTGGAGAGTGCACCTTGAGCTTTTAATTCTTTGCTCCCTCACCTGACGGCTCTTGCGGAGCAGACATCTCCGGACTCAAGCCTCAGCGATCGCCTCCGAACCACCAACGAAAAAAATTCAACACTGTGTGGAGGTAGCACGTTCACTGGTCGTAGATTGCTGGATTGCATGAAATCTTATACTAAAATTGTTCGGGACCCTTTCGGAACCTTATAACGTCTGGGCCGCCTGGGCCTGTATCCGCTCAAACTCTTTTGGTCTCTTTTTTTCTATTCGTTGGATCTCGCTGGCGGCTTACATGGTGGGGTTTCCGGTTCCTAGCAATTCTATCAGCAAATTTCACCCGCCTAGAAAAGAAACAGACCATCTCGTTGCACCTCTCCTCTTTCCTCCTCGTTGTTTTGCAGCAGAGGACGTGAGCCAAGCACCCGAAATTCAGTGCTTGTTGGATTAACTGGCCTTGGTTTCATCGCAGCCATGGCTACTTCGGCTCATCAGGACCAGTCGCAGCTGGTAGTTGACCCCAACACCCTTCCAGTCGAAGCGGAACCGGTCAGAAGTCAAGCAGAATCTCAAGAAGATGCAAAGCTCTTGGTATGTCATCTTGCAATACTCTGAATCCTATTGCATGAGCAGGAAGCCAGTTTGCGACCCAAAAGCTAATGGTCTTCAATAGAAGTCAATGGGCTACAAGCCAGTCAGTATTTACCCATGACCCACATGAGAACGGTGACCGCTTATACACATAAACAGGTCCTGCATAGGACATACACTCTCGTTGAGAACTTTTCGACGACCTTTGGTAGGAACTCTACGCTTAATGCCTGCAACATGGTCTGTTTTCTAACCTGGAATGTTCAGCTGCTTTGTACTTTGTCGGAGGTGTGCGGGTCACATTCAGCACAGGCATCGCAGCAGGTGGTAATCTGGCTTATTGGTACAACACCCCCGTGGACTAATTTGACGATAATATGGCTCATGCTTGTGAACAGGACGAGTTACTTGGTTACCATGGTATTCACTTTCATCACTGCCGCGGTAATTGCAGAAGTATGTTCGGCCTCTCCATCGGCCGGATCTATCTACCTCTGGGCTGCAGAGGCTGGGGGCCCTCGATTTGGTAGACTGCTGGGATTTGTTGTCGCTTGGTGGAGTACCACTGCGTGGACCACCTTTTGCGCAAGCAACACGCAGGCTGCAGTGAACTACATGCTTTCCGTATATGCCGCCTGTTTCCAACGTGTCTGATTCCCATGGGCTGACGGAATTCTACAGGAATTAACTGTCTTCGACTGCGACTTTCCTAAAGATACCTCCAGCGTCAAGTTCCGCGCCGTGCAGTGGATCTGCACTGAGGTCTTACTGGCGTTGGCCGCGCTTCTGAACTACTTGCCGCGTATGTCTAACCTCTTGAGTCTGAGGTGTTTTATAGACGGGCTAAGCTGACTCATATTCACTTAGCACGGGTCTATAGATGGGTCTTCTACTCATCCTCCCTTATTGTTCTCTTAGACTTCTTCCTCAATATCATCTGGTTGCCCATCGGAGCCGCCAACACATGGGGATTCCGCACGGCGGAGGAGGCCTTTATGTCGACCTACAACGGCACCGGCGCGCCAGCTGGATGGAACTGGTGTCTGTCCTACCTCGCTACGGCCGGAATCCTGATCGGATTCGATGCATCAGGCCATGTCGCCGAAGAAACCAAGCACGCATCCGTTACCGCAGCCCGCGGCATCTTCTGGAGTACGGTAGTCAGCGGTATCGGAGGACTTGCGACCATCATCCTCTTCCTCTTCTGTGCCGTAAGCTCCCAACCTCCTTGCACCAGCTCAACAACCCACTAACCAGGTCCCAGCCCGACCCCGACACGCTCTTCTCCTTCGGCTCTCCGCAGCCATTCGTGCCCCTGTATGCCGTCGTCCTCGGCAAAGGCGGCCACATCTTCATGAACGTCATCTGCGTCGTCGCTCTCTGGCTGGTAAGACCTTACATCCATCGCCTTCCCCATGACCCTTCCTCAAACCAAACCAAAACAAACCCGACCTAACACTAACAACGCATAGAACACCGCCATCGCGATTCTCGCCGCCTCGCGCCTCGTCTTCGCCGTCGCCCGCGACGGCGTCCTCCCCTTCTCCAACTGGGTCTCGCGAGTTAAGAACGGCCAGCCACGCAACGCGGTGCTCGTCGTCTGGGGCGTCGCCGCCTTGATCACATGTACCCTCCTCCCCTCGGATGTAGCCTTCACCTCGCTCGTCTCCGCCGCAGGCGTGCCCAGCGCTGCGGCCTACGGCCTGATCTGCCTGGGCCGGCTGTTCTGCACGCCGAAGCGCTTCCCTAAGCCCGAATGGAGCCTCGGCCGGCTCAGCAAGCCGTTCCAATTTATCGGCGTCTTCTGGAACGCCTGGGTGGTTGCCATCCTCTTCTCGCCATATGAGTTCCCGGTCACCGGCGCAAACCTTAACTGTACGGTCCCCCTTCCTCTTGAGCCTCAGATCCACAACATCCTTCCCCATCTCCCTTGCAAAAAAAAATTGAACCATCTCGATTATATCTCGGTTTCCCGATCTCTGACAAGATATATAGATGCCCCGATTATCATGGCCGGAGTGACCATCTTCGCCTTGATCTCCTACTGGGTCACCCCGGAAAGCGCCTGGCTGCCGATCGACCGAATCTCGCATTTCATCGACAGCAAGGGTGCAGTGCAGAGTTCCGTCGAGGAGGTTGGGGTGAGCCGTGCGCTTCGTGGTGGTAGTGGTGCTGCTGGTAGTGGTGGCCCTTCCTCCGAGGCCACCGAGGGCGAGACCGGTGGATTGCATTGATGAATAACATCACCGTCTCTCGCGGGGGTGTGGCTACTGTGCTTCCGAGTTTACTATGCTGATTGGTGTGATCACAGCGGGCGCATCTAGATGAGGACGCTCGACGCTTTGTTCCGGAAAGAAAATACAAAAGTTTGGTTTGCTCGATCTAGTTCGAGTGGTTCCGCTGGCATGATGAAAGAAATATGGGTGGATTTCTGTGTCTATGTATGTATGATTAATGTGGCTGTAGATAGAAGGTTATGGGTGAGATGGGTGTCTGTGAGCAGCTTCGCCTTCGCGATATATATTGTGTTTGATGGTATGTGCCTCCGCCTCTGGAAAATGGATGGCCTGAAGAAACCCGTGGATAGAATCTGTTGTGTACGACCGTCGCAGAAAACAGATCATTAGTGTTGACTGTTCTATTATTATTCAGAAGAAGATGGATGGTCAATCATTATCAAGGGCGCAATAGATCTATCCGTCTGATGGATACGTCAAAAACATCATCTATATAGTACCAAAGTCCCGAATGCCGTCTATACTCGGCAGTGTATGGCAAGGCTAATCATATACCCCACTGCGCTTGCCTATCCGGGTCTGAAAGACCCCCGCAAGATTACCTATGTAGCAAACCCAAGGGTCCAGCCCTATCCAACCCGTGCGCCTCTTTAACTCCGACAAACGCCTTCCGTCAAAATCAAGTTCCCCGCTAAATATGTTATAGAAACCAAGAAATGTCACGCGACCGTGGTTCGTGAAGAATGAAGTCGAGATAGTATTCGGGCGTGATAGTGCCCAATTATTATCGACGAGTGGATATATTCATGAATGGTGAGGAGAAAGGCTTCAAGGAAGGAGAATGGATGATCGGATGTCGTTCATTGATTCAACCCATCCTTCTGGGAAAGTCCGCTGCTTGAACCATGCTTGCTCCAACTCTTCAAGGCCTCGGTCAACATTCTGAAGTCGTTGTTAGTAACCCATATAACGTCGTAGCAGGCGAGCCTCGAACGTACCTTGAAACCATAACGCTGGAGTTCAGTCATTGTCTGTCGTACATATTTCTGTTCATGTTCGTTTCGTGTCTCGTGTCCGGCGGTAAACAGAGGCCATAGCACCGCCAGTTGACCCACATCTTTGGCAAGCTTGTTAATTAGTGCTAAGATACGTGAAGCAAGCATATCCAACAGAGGTCTTTGGGCTTGGCGATCAGGTCGGCCTGCAGCTCCCACCCGGTGTAGGAATATATTAGTGGCCTTTTCGTAGGCTTCGATGCATCCTGCGTATTCGAGAACGCACGGGAAAGGGTACTGCTGCAAGCTCGTATCATCCAACTCGCCCAGATTCTGTAGTGCATCTGGGGCATTCAAACGCCACTGAACGAGACGCTGCAGCAGTTCATGGTAGACCAGGTCCTCTTGCTCGAGCGACATCGCGCCTTCATTTTTGGCTTTTCCAAAGGCACTGATTGCCGCCTGGATCTCCATCATCACTGCCCAACATTGGCGAAGCTCCACCAAAAGCTGGTTGTAGGCGGGCGGTTCGGTAGACAGACTAGGGGTGCCGAGGTTATACTCCCAGCCGCCACCATGAGTTCTCCAATAGCTGCCTTCAACTACCGTGCCTTCACTGGTGGCACACGCTCCCGCAACATCGAGGTAAGAGAGGAGGGATACAAGGAATGGTCGGAGTGGATGGTTGATTTCAGCGAGACGCTTGGCTTCTTTCGCAGGGTCGTCATTGGTGGAGAACAGGATACGGTATATCTCGCGAGCGCCCTTGAGATGTATGGCCCAGTTGTGGTTTTGAGAATCCATCATCTGACCGATCAGCATGAAGAACGCGCATGTGCACAGGTCCGGACTGGACTTACCTCGAATAGGGACAGCAATAGACAAGTGGCGAGGTCGGTGAGCCTAACACTTTGATCTGGCTCAGTGTATCGAGTTCTGAACGACTTAACAACCTCGCCGTAATTGCTCATGGCCTGTTGAAAGTGTTTATTTCTTTGTTGTCCTTTGGAGGTATTGGCAAGATGCAGTGCGCCCATGGCTTGCATGGCACTAGCCATGGACGGTGATGACCGGGCGAGGTCAGGGAAGTATCTCCGATATGGGTTGATGTTGATTGGATTGTCGTATATGAGTAGCAAAGTGGCGACTTGGTCAACAAAGTGTGTATAGTAGCGGCCCTCGACGCAATCGAGCGAGGAAGAGATGAATTCGGCTGGGGAGATCGGCTCCTGGAAACGGTACTTGATAGGTTTGAAGTCGGAAACCGTGCTTGGCGACACTACCAATGCCTCAAAAGGCTCCCCATCCTCCTTTGACTCTTGTTTCACCTCTTTTGGTGTCGGCGAAGTCGATTTCTTTTCTCGTTTCTTCGTGGGCGCGGTTGCGGATTCGGTGGAGGTCGGTGGCGGCCCGTAGACCTTGAAGGTCATGCGACCCTGTGTTCCATCACATTCAAGCCCCAGGCGAGTGCAATTTTTGCACGACGGCGACGCTTCATCACACCGCACATGGCGTCGACGACATGTTGAACAACCGGTGAAGCCTCGGTGATGCCATCGCCGGACCCGCTTTCGTTTCTCAGGCGCAGCAGCGGCTGCGGGATGCTGGGGCTGTGCGGGGAGAGGAGGCTTCCCCGGAGCGCACACCAGAGTCTGAACCTCCATATCTAAGAATTGAAGCTGAATCGAATCGAGGATGGTGGAAGAGAGATATCCATTAGACAGACAGAGGGGCGGGAGGGGTCCGACCGAAATTCCAAGCCAGACTGCGGAACGTTCACCAGTGTAGCATTCGGTGGGGAATCGGAATGGCAAGTAGCAAGTAGTGAGTAATAGAGGGACTAAAAAGAGGGGCGTTCAATTAAGAAAAATTGAGAAGCGAGTGTTGGGGTGTCAGATGTTTGCAAATCCGAAGACCGATTGAGCAAAGATGAAGTGGAAGAGCTGCAGAGGGAAAAGATTTAGAATTGAATGATCGTCAGTGTTGAGGAGGGAGTGAAAGAAAGTCGAGACCGGACCCGATTATTATTCCGTCAGTCCATTGAGGGAGTGTCCGGGGGGGCAAAAGGAAAGGCGGCGAAAGATCAATTCAATGGCCGGGGACCGGGTGGGGAAAGGAAAGCAAGTCGGAACCTCAGGTGGGAGAGAAGAGGAGGGAAAGAAATGAACACTGGTCGGGCAAATGAAAGATGATTTTAAATGATGCAGGTGGGAGTGAGACCAACTACCGGCTTGGCCGTATGTCTAATTCTAACAGTGGTATTCTGTTCTTTTCTTTCTTCTGCCTCTGCTCTTCTTGTACTTTTCCTTCTTCTTTTGCTTGCACATTTCCTTTGTGTCATTCTGTTCTGTTCGTTTGGCTCCTAAGTTCATCCCACCGGATTGGGTAGGATAGCAGTCTAAAAGAGATCTGGATGAGCGATTCATGGGACCGTACCAAATCCACTCCCCCCATTGCGCAGATCCTCCATCCAGAGACATGGTCCGATTTAGTTCTTCTCCCTTCTTATCCTCCAATCCTATTACATTCTCGCTTTCCTTTCCATGCAAGCTCCTCCCTCCCCTTTCTTCCCTTCAGCCGAACATCTCTTTCCAATGATTACCCTGAATGACCGGCATCGGGGCCGAAGAATGTACTAAGTAAAATGAAAAGAATTAGCTAGACTGGGATATAGCAGCTCCAGCTAGCTAGAACCACTATACGTACTAACTAAACTACGCCGGCAACGCGACACTGGACGAAACGGGGACTGCAGATCAACCCTAATGGTGGATCGGGTGTGATGATCGGACCTGGCCTCCCTTTCTTCGGAACGCAACTCTGACCCCCCAAAGCTTTCTTTCTTTTTAGGTTCTCTTGCTCGAAAATCACGCATTGAGGACGGTCCAGTCGCTGCTAAAGACCTCCCAAACCTACCGAGAATTTGCAGCCACCGATGACTGGCTTTCCTGTCTTTGCCAGATCTCCACCTCGATCCACTCGTGCCTTGGGTTCAGCGACAGAAGATTGAGGGTGCGGAGGTCGATGAATAGCAGGCTGTGCTGACTGGATGAGCCTGCCCTGCCAGAAATCTCCGTGCTTCTGATAACAACAAAGCTAGTCAAACTAGACCTGCGACCCAAAGGTGGTTTGCTCAATTGTTGTTGGAGTCGTCAGTCACCTCAGAGTCCAAGACCTAAAGGATTTGCGCGAAAAGGTAACTAGTTCCTCCTAGTTCTCGGTTGCCAAGCATTTGTATGGAAACTCTTTTCCTTGGCCACTACATGCTATCCAATTGTCCCCTCGTGCGACCTGATTTGAGTCGCTTGTTAACAAGCTTGTCCCTGCCCACTCTTTGTTCATATTCCAGGCGTCATATAGACTGGAGCATCATCCTTCCCCGATGAAATCGATCATCCCGCAATCGCTCGGACTTGCCCCAACGCGTCACCGCTCCGTCCTCGCTCGGTAGAGTCTTCCTAACCGCGCATGTGTCTCAGGCTTCCAGCTTCACTGAGGCTGCACCTTTCACTGAATATATTCAACACATGCTTTTGACAGCGCTTTGAGTAGGCTTTACGGGCCCCCTTGCGGAAAATCACGACTCCATTCCGATGTGGGACGGGTGGTCCCGCCGTCCCCCGTGCACTGCCGTCAGAGGCCAGCGAGAAAAACTTCGTATTACATAGTCCCATTTCCCAAGATTGTTCGATCAGATGAAGTCAGCTCCTTTCACTGCCGATCATTGGTGTCGCCCAGTGACGGGTCCGTCGATGACAGTAATCCCAGGGTCTTTGCATGATGTGCAAGAAGGCAATCCGAGAGGCAGCGATATCCACCGTTTTCGCGTCCCTACCTACGGTTCTCTCACAACCCGTTCCATGGGCCATGCCGAGATTTTCGGTGCATTAGATGCGAGCAAGACAGCGAGTCTCGTTCATGGTTACTGGTAGCTTTCGGTTCGTCAACTAACCCTTCGTAGCAAAAGTTCGTACCGTGCAACAAATGTTCTTGTCGAGTGCGAAATAGACATCCAGGTCTCCAACGAGGCATCTAGACTAGTACGGTGCATCTCGAACACCATTCTATAGTTACTGGCCTCCTGCGTAGGCAGCCTCGCGTTGTTTCAGGTGCCAGCACGAACTAGAAGTTTAATCCCGGCCCGGTTTGACAAGGAGTGACTGGTTCAATGCTTATTAGAAAGCCAGAGAGCATTAAATCGAGCCCCTCTCCTATCCCCTCCCCTTTAACGGAAGTAAACGGGCATATCGAAGATGCAGCAGTAAACTCAAATCGACATCCCGCTCTCCCCTAGTCAAAATCCAGCGTAATCAATAGCAGATCCTTTCCCTTTCCTTCTCTTACTCTCACTTTTCTTAGAGGCTCCCTCGCAACCAAACCCCTGGCCCATTCTAAACCGTTGCGCCACCAGGTCCTTCGAAAGTTAAGCCTGCATATACTTCCTCTCTAGATTTTTCTTGAACCTTCGAACATGCTTTCACACCAAGTCCAAACCCATATTTTCGACTCAAAGCGCGCACTATCACATCTAGTTGCTCGTGCACTCGAGCAAGAGCACAGTCAAGGCCCCCTCTTTCTCCTATGCTGGAAAATAGCACCAATTCTCCTGCCTCCGAATCCTCTAGTCCATGTCATGTCTCACACTTCACAGGGATCATGGATGTATGCTTGAAGGCCTAGTTCCAGCACTACACTTACGTCAAAACTAGCACAGGGTACATGCGGAATAACCGTAGGTAAACCATATATCATGAACTAATCCTAGGTAGTATGTAGTCGTGTGCTCCCAAGCCAAATCCCAACCCTTTCTCAAACCTTCTGGATTCATCTCTCACCGGTCTCCAACTAATCCCAACTTGCATAACATAGCCGAATAGATTTTCGGACGTTGCCCGACACCAATGCAACATCTCTGCATGTCAACAACAATAACAACAATCCTTTCATTATTATCCTTCTTTACCCGGGCTCCATCCTCGTTCTTCCGTTCTTCCGCTTTTCTTTCATCCTGCATACTAATTTAGCTCCTTATCGGGGTCTCTCCATCTCTCTTTTTGGTTTTTGTTCACGCGGCTGTTCAAATCGATAAGCGGAGGCAGTCCAACGATCGGACCCGAGAGACGAGGGGCTGAAGGATTTCCAGCTGGCCTCCAGAATGGATGTCGATGTGGTTGTTCCGTTCGGGATATTGGATCGGATGGGGATTTTTTTTTTTTTTTTTTTGCTCTTGGCTCAGATCTAGTAGTGGCTTGCATACCGCGCTAAGGGTGGATGGGAGATGTGCTAGACTAGGCTGCGGTTGTGGGTTTGTGTGGGATGATGTTGGTGGGTTGTTCTTTTCATTCAATGTTGTTGCTCGACAGGTACGATCGTGCTATCGCCCCGCCACGCTGAGGGACCACTCCGTATAGTGTGGCGGATTTCCCGAAGGTAAGGTGTCTAAAAGATTCTCTGATCTTTCGCCAGAAAGAAATGTAATAGTACAATGACCGCATGATGCTGGCCCCGGGGACTCCGGAGACGCCTTCGACGGATTAAGGCACGGAATGTCGACTTGAGAGTTTATGTTTGCTAAATCGCTCCATATGTACATACATAGACCCGCTGGCGAATCCGTCTATTTCAAACACCCAAGGCAACCGGCATGTGGACTCGTTGATCGAGGGTTTAGTCCAGACTGGCCTTTTTGCGGCCTTCGTATTAATGGGTCTGCCTTGCACATAATCGGCCGAGCGCCGACGGCAATGGCTCACGACGATCACCCCCACAGTCGGGGACAAGGCAGCCAACGTTATGACTGAAGGAGAAAGAAATATGAAACTAAAATACAAAGAAAGATTGGGTATCTGCTGGCAAACCAGAATTTCAAACTGCCCGCCAGAGCTAGGAAAATGCAAGGATCAGAAATTCGTATGGAGTGAGCACACTTCCACAGAGAGGAAAGTAACGGGGGTCGAAATCGAAACACCAAGATGCTCCGCTATCCTGAAAGAGTCCGAAGGCGTACCATATTCCAACCAAGACAGCAAAAACCGGATTGGGGGAAGAGGAAGGAGGGCCTGTAGCGCCGGAGTGGGCGGGAAAGCATGTGAAGACGACCCTGTGATTTTAGGACGAGCTCAGGCATCAACAGACACGGTCGTCCCGGGGAAAGGGAATGTCGCGGATTCTCGGGGCTCGGGATCTGGCAACTCAGCCGTGTCGCCTTTCCCATTTGTACGGTCGAATTCCAATGTTTCGGCTAGCTCAGCTGCCATGGGATCGAGGTCTTCCTCCTTGAGGCCAGTGGCGAGTGCAACCAGCTTCCTATGGACGTCAAACTTGGTGCTTACTCCCGCATCGGCGGTCTGCTGGGAAAGGTCTTTGACAGCGGCGCGCCGAGCCTTTTGCGCCGAGCATAGTTGTCGTGCCAGCTGATACGTGCGAAGCAGTTTATCGTGATCTGTGGCGGGTGGCGTCGTGCCCTCCTGCGCTGCAGGCACTACTACCGATGAAATGCGCTCTCTCAAGCGCCCCTGCTGAATTTGTTCTAGCAGTGACTCATAACCACTTCGCAGCCGTTCATAGTGTTCAAGCTGAACATCGATTGGTCGCTCACCAGCCTCTTGCGCTTGCAAGATGGCCGTTTCTTTCTGGATCTTCTGTCGGTCCAACTCTAGTTGCTCGTAAAGAGTCTCCGGGTTTGCAACGTCGTCAGAGTCCTGCTGGTTCGCTTTTGAGCTCCCATAGCTAACGGTAAGCTTCTTGTTCGCTTCCGCCATTATCACTCCGATCTTGGTAAGCAACGCAGTGGTGGCAGGAGACGATGACTCCTGTGCAAGTGTGGTGGGCTGAGTGTCAGAATTAGCGAGGCCGAGTGCTTCGCCTTCCAACTGATCATTACCCATGGTGATAGACGAAGGAGGAGGTGGGATCTCGCGCTCGGAAGGGTGAGCTCGTCGGGTAATAATTGCAGCCGTCTCGCCCTTCTTGTTCACCAAGTCCCCAGCCCGTGGGCACCGTGCAAGAAGTAAGTCCACTAGGCGGAAAGCACCGTTTCGAGCAGCAACCAAGGCTGCAGTGTCTCCATTAGAGTCCTGGAATGACAATAACAGATCGACCTCCTCAACTGAACACATGAGACGCAGCTTGTCTAGCAGCACCTCACAGTAGTATCGGGAGCTCTTCCATTTCCCTTTGCTTCGCGTAGTCTCCGCTATGTGATGAAATATGGTGGCACCAAACCAATCCCTGAAAGACACTGTATCCCAGAGTAGTTCCAGAAGCGAAGGGAAAGTCCTTTTCTCGTAGTTATTGGTGAACAAAACAGCTCGCACCAAAGGGGTTTCTTCGTGTATCGATAATGCTTTCACATCGGCTCCTCTTCGGAGAAGATCTTTTACAATCTCTAGATCGCCCATAGCACAGGCCCAGTGAAGGGCTGTGTTACCAGAATCATCGATTGGACGATCCACCTGGAAATTGTTTGGTGGCTGTGGAGGTGGCACACGTGTGGCTTCAGGCGCATCGCCTACTGTCATGAAATAATCCAGAAGCTGGTCGCCATAAAGTATGTGCTCCTGTTCGCTAATAGACATTATTGGTGCCTCGTTGATTCCACGCTTGCGTTTGCGTGAAAAGTTACCGTTCTGTGACATCGTCATCATCTCTTCGTCCGCTATCATGGACGACGACTCGAGGGTCGCTTGTTCGATAGACTCATTGTCATCGAAGCCGGTGCTCATCTCAAACTGTTCGTGTGTGAAAGTGGGCGGCGCCATATTCCGCGCTGGTTTGGCAGCACTGAAGACCTCCTCGTTCACATTCACTACTCTCCGGTTGGCCGTGTTCTTCGGCGCCCTTGGTTTTGAAGCTGCCGTTGTGTGTTTCGGTGCTGGTGGTGGGCTGCGATCTCCGGCGACATAGTCAAAGATTGGTCTTAACTTGTCGATTATGTTGTTGCGCTCAGCGAGAAGACGGCCTTCGGGGAGTGGGATCCATGTCCCTACGGACGGTCAGAACCAGCTCGCTCTGGAAAGGGAAACTGAAAATGAGGGGTTTGGCAGGATGGGGACATGCCTTGGTATTTGCCGTATCCTCCTTGCACTTTCTCATGGACGCCTTTTTGTACTTCACGCTCAAGGATTCTGGTTCTCGCTGGCTTATCGAACCCGGCGACTTTGAGGATATGCGTTGCATTAATCCAATCATCTGACCGTCTTCGCATCACGCTTTCACTATCGATTTTGAATTCGTATACCGGTACCTAGTGAATTGTATCAGCTGAGAACTTATCCCTGCGGTCGGGTGAAGTCGGTCCTGAATGACCCAATTGGAAGAGGCAAGGTCAACTCTAGATATTCATACTTACATTACTGTAGGTAGCAGAGTATACCTTTGAGAAGTCAACCCCCGCCATGATGTGCGTCACTTAGGCTGTCCTGATTCAGTGGGCTTCCCTTCAGCAACAGCGACTAACACCGCCGCTTCACAGTTGGACAACAAGGATTCCCCGAGTATTGATTCAAGTAGTGAGAGACATTAAAATCTCAAGCTCTGTGACTGGCCAGATTTGATTCACATGAGCATGGCTTGAAAATAACGGTATCGGGCTTTGATTCTGCACTATTGATCTCGAAAACGCGAAGGCCTGGCTAAGCAAGACGCGCCCTGGGTACGTCGGACCGCGTAAAGTGGATTTAGCTACGCTAGTCTGCTTGTGGTGGAGGAAGATCATGTGACATCACATGATGCCGACGGAAAGGAAGGAACGGCGACGACTACGGAATAGCTACAAACCTCACGGTCCAGTCGCTTGTCCTCGAAATCCACCCCGACATCACTCTTCTCTTCTCTCAATATGACTGTTGCCGAGTCAGTCAAGAGCGCCGTTGGGCTCTCGAGCAGCACCGGTACGTTTTTCATGCCATTGGCCCCCGCTGCGTGGTGGAACAGTGCGGACACTCTGTTGCTCATTGAATTGATAAACTGACACCTATTCTCAGCCGCCTCCAGCCAGGAAATGTCGGATGCTCGTCTTCCCCTTCAGTACCGCGACTCTTGCGCCGGCCTATTGATCCCTTTGAACCGCTGCCGGCAGCAGGAGTACTACCTCCCTTGGAAGTGCGAGGTACGTTGCTTGAGCTCCACCACTACTTTATTTACCTCCTGGGCGCATAGGTCTGACACTCGTTTCATATATTACAGGATGAGAGACACAGCTACGAGAAGTGTCAGTACGAGGAGTTCAAGAAGCGCGTCGCCAAGATGGAAGAGCTCCGCGCCGCGAAGGGCGGTGCCCGCAGCAATTGATTCCGACATTAACGGCATCTTGTTTTTCGCGACGGACGAAGCAGCATGTTATGTACATAGAGATTGTGAGATTGTTTGTCCATGTACCGACTTTGGCGTTGGGAATCCTTCTGGTCAATCTTGCCGATACCATACTTTCTGAGGGCCAGAACTGGTAGCCCATGGATGGTCTTTTCAGTAGCTGGTCGCCTACTACCTGAAGTGCTGCTGAGAGGAATGCCTGCGCAGCTTGATGTACTGCCAGCAATCCACAACATAAGTAGGACAAGCAGACCTATCCTAGCTGGAAGCAATCTCGAGCAGGTCAGCCTGCTAACATCGAGTCGGAAACGGACCACACTACTTTGTTCTTGCACGAAACCCTAGATCTCATTCTGCAGCCTCCCATCCCCATTGCGTAAAAAGCAAGGGGGGTGAGTCGTATATTCTCACTTGAACGAGGTCAACTACGGGCGAGAGACGTCAAATTGGGACTGTACTTTGAGAGTAGGCAACACTAATTTTGAAATCGCATAAGCAACTTGTTTCATGCAACTGGTCCCTGGACTGGAAGAGTGATGTATATCACAGGAACAGTATACGTCTGTAGATGCCGCGCGTTGATTACGGGATTATCAGCTGACCGGCTCCCTTCCTCCACGCTGCTTAGAAATCGACAGGGTTGACAATCACCGATAATGCTTTTCCTGCCCCGCTATGAATGGAGAGACGCTTTCTCTCCACCAATAGGCGATTGAGCCTGCAACCCCGAAGGTTCGACACGAAATTCAGCATGGAGTTGATAAGAAGCAGCATGATCCGCCTGCTTTCCCCCTCTGACATTCTCCGTTTACGCTTAGGGACTCAGGTTCTCGGTTCATCTCGCCTGTGCCTTGAGTCGGGCCATTGCGTGAGACTGACGTGACTCGATCGGCTCCTAGATCGGAGTCTAATTGTCGAAAGTTTCCCCTCATCTCCGCGGGGCTTTTGTATGAACTGATTTTCCCGTCTTCTCACCCCACCACACCTACCTAGGCAACGACCCAACGGCCAGGTTTCTGCCTCGAAACCAGCGCGCCCGCCTTCCGATCGCCCTAGTAGCGACAAAATGGGATTGCTGTATGTGATGAACGCTGTATAGGAACCCTTTTGTCTGGGCACAGAAACTGACTCGCGTTCCTTAAGCGCGCTTGGGACGGCCCTGGATTGGCCGGAGGCCAAGAAGAGAGCAGACCAGGTCCGCAAATGGGGAATCGAGGTGAGCCAACTGCAATTGGATCTATCTAGAATCTATTGACCAGCAGTAACTGACTAAAGACAGCAATTACTTGCGAACTGGCATAGAGCCAAAGGAAAGGAGCGCAATGCTCTACTATGGGGCGACGAGGTAAGAGTTTATTCCGCATAATCTGTAAAAGTCCACTGCTGAACGTTTTCATCTTGTCAGGTTGAGTATCTCGTTGTGGCTGTTGACGACGAAGCCAAGAAAGCCCGCCTTTCACTCGCGCAGGCTGAGATTCTGAAGTCGCTCGCTGAAGACGAAGCATCATGGAAGCAGGGAACTCGGCCGCAGTCTCCAAACAATGAACAGTGAGAATTGTGTACTGGGAAACATCACGGACACTTCTGATGGGTCATAGTGACGGGGAAGAGCCACCCCACTTCCACCCCGAATTCGGCCGTTTCATGCTTGAAGCTACACCGGGAAAGCCATGGGGAATTGACTTCAAGGACTTGCTGAAAGTAGAGTCAAACATGAAATGGAGGTTAGTACTCAATGGCTGAATCTGGTGCTGTTGCAAGTCTACTAATATCCTTGTCACAGACGAGAGGTTGCCAAAGCCCATATGGCACCGAACGAACACCCGATCACTCTCACCACTTTCCCTCGTTTGGGCACCAAGGATGATTATATCAAACCCTACTACCCACCATCTGGCCCTGCTCTTCGATCTCAGTTTGTGCCTGATGAGATCGCCAATCCACACATCAGGTTTCCAACCCTGGCTGGTAACATCCGATCAAGGAGAGGTCGGAAGGTTGAACTGAACGTTCCAGTATACAAAGACACGAACACACCCGAGCCTTTCAAAGACCCAACTGTGAACTACGACCTCCATATATGGCCGGAAGATGACGATGTTAGAAATGGAGCAGCTAAAGATGGCCATGTCTATATGGATGCCATGGCTTTCGGCATGGGTAGTTGCTGTTTGCAAATCACTTTCCAAGCTAAGAATATGACCGAAGGGAGGAAGCTGTACGATCAATTGAGTCCACTGGGACCTATCTTGCTGGCATTAACCGCCGCTACTCCGATCTACAAGGGCTTCCTTGTCGACACGGATGTGCGCTGGAATCAGATCAGTGGAGCTGTGGATGACCGAACCCGTGAAGAGCTTGGTGAACTTGTGAGATTCCGTGCCTGTTTGCTGATGCCAATCTCTCTAACTCTTTGCAGCCCCTGAAGAATGACAGGTGGAGAATCCCCAAATCCAGATACGCCTCGAACTCGACTTATATTTCACAAGACCCTCGATTGCGGAAGGAGTATCTAGATCCTGACTTGATTATTGACGAGGACATCAAGAAGCGTCTGATGGACGATGGAATGGATGATCTTTTGGCCACGCATTTCGCACATCTCTTCATCCGTGATCCTCTGGTCATCTTCTCGGAAGATCTTGAAGAACTAGACTTGAACAAGGCAGATCATTTTGAGAATCTACAGTCCACCAATTGGCAGCATATGCGTTTCAAACCACCACCTCCGGATAAGGATGATATTGGCTGGCGGGTTGAGTTCCGATCCATGGAAATTCAAATGACCGACTTCGAGAATGCCGCTTTCAGTATCTTCATCGTGCTTGTGACTCGCGCCATCTTGACCTATGATTTGAACTTCTACATTTCCATTCAGCGCACGGCAGAGAATATGGAGACTGCGCATGCACGCAACGCGGTTCACGATCAAAAGTTCTACTTCCGCAAGGATCCCTTCTCTCCTCGCCGGCCGAATCCTCATTCGTCGAGTGGAAGCAACGTCTCTTCCACCACATCATCCGCTGCAAACTCGCCACCTCCATCACCATCTCTTACCCCTGTGGAGTCTGAGTACGAACTCATGACCATCTCAGATATCATCAACGGCTCAGCTGACGGCTCTTTCCCCGGTTTGATCCCACTCGTCGAATCTTATCTCAACAGTGTCAATGTAGACGTTGAAACTCGCTGCTCATTGGCTAGCTACCTTGACTTGATACGCAAGCGTGCAAACGGAACTCTCTGGACGGGCGCCAAGTGGATTCGCGAATTTGTTGCGACACACCCAGACTATAAGCAAGACAGTGTCGTTTCGGAGCGGATTTGCTATGATCTGGTCAAAGCTGTGGACGAAATGAGTGTGAATGAGGGTAGGAACGGTACTGTTGGGTGGGAGCTTCTCAAGGGCAAGAACACCTGAACAGACTTTGTAAATACATTTGCATATAGATGTAGATAGCTTGTCCATTCTTATGCTGTTACTCTTTGTTGATAACTGCATACACTATTCAATATTCCATTGCATAATACTACAGAAATTTCTCGGTTTTCTCTGGTTTACCGGTTCAATTCTATCATCCTTGATTTGACTGTTTACGAAAGAAGATGTTAGATACTTGTTTATGCGACTTTTCTGGTTTAGATTATATTTCGCTCGATGCGATGAATACAGATAGGCGAGGAGCTGAAAGCGGATCTCTCAAACCAAGCAAATATCCAAGAGAACACCCCTCCCCTTCACTGCCGAGCCATTCTCTTCAGCGGGCCGCCTCGGATGCTGTTCAATTGGAATGTCGTGGAACTTTTCCGTCTCGAGCTCCTAGAATCCTCCCAATACACCCACTCATGGCAACCAGATCTTTTCCTCCTCTGTCGGTTCTCGACAAGAATCAGCCACTCCAGTCACCTTCCAGGTGTTGCTGATTTTATGAAGTACGAAAAGCTCGACGCCAACATGATGCACAACACCATTGACCTTCGCTCGAAAAGGGGCCCAGACTGCAGCCATGCTGCCTGAGGGATAGACTTTGACTTCAGGATCCCAGATACGTTCGTCGATCTCATCCTGGATTTTGGTCACCTGTTCCACAAAAGCCCCAATGGTACAAAAGCGAGGGAGAGTTGGCGATGGCGGGCAGAGGGACATTCCTCCCGCTCGCACACAGTATTTCTCGAATTCGAAGGGGCTTTTCGTTCTGAGCGCCGCCAGAAAGCCGTTGATGACGATCAAAATGGATTCAATCTCTTTGGAGTGTTGAGACAGTGTCGATAACACGGTGGACGCGGCGAAAGGATCCCAGCGCATAATTCTCGGTTTTCAATGCCAAAATTCGCGGTTGACATGCTACCTTTTGCAAGGTGCTGCATTGGTATCATCTCTCTCATGGCTGTCAACCAGACATATAGGTGCTTCCTTCACTGTCACGGGCCTTGCGACGTACCGCCCGCTCGATGTTGCTCTGCCAGGAAAGTTACCTTGTCTGTGTCATAGGAAAGGCACCATATGCACTCTCCCGGCTTAGTCGACCCCGGAGCCAGTCGACTTTGAGCTCTCGGCCTACCTCCCTTGTCTCTCGTCAGACGCACCGTCTGGTCTTGGATCGATGGCAATATAGGTAGGTCATCAGAGGGTACAGTTACAAAGCTTCTCCACCAAGCTACAGTTTCGATTGAAAACTTTCAGGGGCCTGACAACTTAATGGGGTTATTGTTGCAGCCATGATGACTCGCTCATTTCAGTCCGGGTCTTCCTTTTTTCCCGCTGAGTCCGCCGGAACACGTCGGAATTGACTGAGCTGCCCTGGGCTCTGTCGGATGCTGGGAAGCGCGCCAAACATGAGTTTGATCACACGTTTCATTGGGCATTTGCCTTGTTTAACCGCTTCTAGGGATCGAGCGCAGTGGCGCTGAATGTGAACTGGAGTCAGACTGGAGCGCTGCGATATGTCGAGAACCACTCATTGCTCGTCGGGGTAGTTGCATATGCTTCGGTGACTATGACGTGCTACGGTGTGTGACTCTTGTCCTTCGAAGAGATCCAATGGTAAGAAGTGGTTGGCCCGCAGTGCAACGGCAGATTCACAGCCAAGCAATCCAACGGGAGGATGTCTCACAAATGGGAGGCACACTGCCTTGCTTTAAGTTGATCCTGGCACTTATTGGCTACTGTTTGGCTCAAGTATTCTCATGCTCCGTCGTAGAGGGCTGCTGATGCGTTGAGACAGCTGAGGGGCTCTAGCGATTCCTCGGAGCACGACCGGCACACGGTTGGTGAACCCTAAGCATGCAAGAATCTGCAGGTTCGTCGGGATGGCGGTCAAGACACCACACTGTTTTTCTCTTTCTTCGTGCAATATCCTGACCACAATCCATATTCTTTTTCGTGTGTCGAGTTTGCGTTGGTTTACCATGACTCTTGCGGATCCTTATCTTCCATGTATGCCCCTTAAGGTCATGAACTCTAGGCGCTATTATAGTGGGACCCCGCTATATGCCCGGATAGCTTAATAGCATCACGCTATTATCCCACGTCCCGGCAAATGCGGAGGGATCAACGGCATATAGCTTTCCCCGCCAAGTTTTCGACCTCGGGAATACTTCGGACCAAGGTATATTCCAATCAAAAGAGGGCATTGTTTACAAATCAGGGTATAGAGACGAGGGATTTTCAGCAGAAGACGCTTGAACCGCTTGAGTGCTCTATCACCATGACCCCAATACTCCGCATTTCGGCCGGCGGTCCAACCAGAATTGGAAACAGTCCCTGATGACGATTAATCTAGAGTACTGCTCCATACCCCGCGACTGCGGATAGCCCGGGGTCGACTGGCTCGACAGTTGCAGTCGATTCCGAGTTGTAGGAGCCGTTTCCTCCTGGCTTGGAGAAGCAGTATAAATATCAACTTGCGGCACTGTTGATGGTCTGTTGTGAAAGATTGCGTGTCATTGATCCTTCAGACTTCTTCTTCAAAATGCGCAGGGTACTCGTCTCTTTGCTCAGTTTTTCTGCCGGGAGCATTGTTGCGTCGGCTGCGCCATCTGAGCCTACAGCGCATGTCCGCAATGGTACATACGTCGGATTAAGAAACAGCCACTATGAGCAGGACTTCTTCCTTGGTATGCCGTATGCGCAACAGCCTGTTGGTGACTTGCGATTCACGGTTCCTAAATCCTTGAATGAAAGCTGGGAGGGCGAGCGCGAGGCGAAGGCGTATTCGGATATTTGTGTGGGATACGGGGTATGCCACCACAATGGCCTCGTCAGTCTCACTTGACACAAGCTGACTCAATATGTTAGACAGATTCCATATGGTATACTCAGTCCGAAGCGTGTCTTACTCTCAATGTCATTCGTCAATCTTCTGTCAACGAAAGCTCCAGTCTTCCAGTGGGCGTTTGGATCCATGGGGGTGGCTTCGCTCAAGGATCAAGTGCGGATCAGCGCTATAACATGTCTTCCGTTGTCGCCAACGCGCATGATATTGGTTTGTTACCCTTTACAGAAGTGTTCTGGCTTTGACTAACGTCTCTTTTCGCGCTTAGGCAAGCCGTTCATTGCAGTGTCTCTCAATTATCGTCTATCAACCTGGGGTTTTCTAAGCTCCAGCCAAGTCAGCGGCACAGGGAACACCAACCTCGGTCTTCGAGATCAAAGACTAGCTCTCCACTGGATCAAAGAGAATATCGCTGCATTTGGTGGTGACCCAACGAAGATCACTATCTGGGGTGAGTCTGCAGGAGCAATGTCCGTTGGGTACCACCTCGCAGCCTACGGGGGCAGGGATGACAAGCTCTTCCGCGCAGCGATCATGGAGTCCGGGGGAACTATCGCTGCTGGTCCAGCCAACTATACCGGCTATCAGGCACTCTACGACGAGCTGGTGGCAAAGGTCAACTGCACGGACGTGGGGGACTCATTGCAATGCCTGCGCGAAGTCCCATTCGAGAAACTGAACAGCGTCCTCAACGGGACCTATGGGTCAGCAGCCTACAGCTTCGCCCCCGTCATTGACGGTGATTTGATTCCAAACTGGGGCAGTCTCCAGCTCGACCGCCATGAATTTGTCCAGGTTCCTATAATCGCCGGAACGAATACAGACGAAGGTACTGCATTCGGGCCCACCGGGGTGAACACGACGCAGCAGTTCTATGCATATCTTACCGGTACGCATGGCTTCCCCTCCATTCTATTGTCTTCGGTCGATTAGAGAAAAAAAAAAATAAGGTATGCCCCATCACTAAGTGTTGCCACAGATGGCCAGTCCGGGTTCCGACTCCCTCCCTCCATCGCCAAGCAGATCCTGCAGCTCTATCCTGATGATCCCTCCTTGGGCATTCCGGAGTTCCTTGGTTCCAGACGAGTTCCTTCCAAAGGGTACCAGTGGCAACGCACCTCCGCGTACGCAGGGGACGTGACGATGCACGCCAACCGACGTCGTCAGTGCGAGGCGTGGGCGGCGACCAACACAACGGCCTACTGCTACCGCTTCAATGTGCGATCCGCGGATGTGGACGCCTTGTCTGGGGCTACCCACTTCGAGGAGGTGGCCTTTGTCTTCAACAACCTCGCCGGTCTTGGGTATCACTACGGACTCCCGTTCGCGGGGATGCCCGAGTCCTACGCGCAACTGAGCCAGCTGATGACCAGCATGTGGGCTTCGTTCATCCACGACCTGGACCCCAATTCGGGCATCAAGAACGACTCGGCGGTCCGGTGGCAGGCATACGGGCAGGATCGGCCGGTCGATCTGGTGTTCAACGCCAATACTACAAGCTATATGGAGCCCGACACGTGGCGGAAAGAGGGGATTGACTATATCAACTCCGTGGCAAGTGCGTACTGGCGATAAGAAAGTTTTCTTTGCACTTTGCCCATAAAGTTGCTTGCTTGCAACAAAGGGTAGATATACATGTGAAAGCGAAAAGAGGGTGGTGAGACATGACTCGGTGGTTTGACTTATACCGCAGATGCAGCTTACGATACGGATCTTGATTGAAAGGCAAACAAACAAAGAAAGACAAAGCTGAGTGCGTGGTTCGAATTAGAGGGCTCTATTTGTCCTGTGTAAAGAGGGAGCGGGGGTCCAGTCACGGTCCTCCGTGCTTCATGCACAATCCCTGACGGTAGTAGATCTGAACACCACCAAGACAACTCCTCTTTGAATTGAAAGCCTGAGCGTAAGCATTACCAAGCAAGATTACCTTCTCATCTCATCTGTGGAATACGCCCCCCTCCTTTCCTTCTCAGAAAAGAGAAATTTGCAGAAAAACAATCCCCTCGTCCCGAACCATCCGACTTACCATGTATGTATGTACGTATGTATGTATGTACGTACGTAAAGAAGCCATACCAAGAACCCTTTCCCAGTTGAGAGACAAACAAGAACAGAGCCCACCCACCACGCACGAAATGAGACGGGGGCAGAAGGGGACCAGACCAGACCGGGGAAAATACGGGTTCCCACCGACTAGCACTCTGGATCTTCTGATTCATCTGGTCCCGATCCAAAACGAACAAAAAGAAAAAGACATCAGAGAAGAAACGGATCTCGATTTCTTCATCTATGCGGACCAAGGGACCTGCCTATTGTAGGTTAGGAACGAACGATAAAGCTTCCACCCGCCTTCGGCTGTATTGTCGCGGATCCCTATCCCACCCTCTCCTCCCATTGTATCCGGTACAATAAGCCAGCCACCAGCCATCAGCCATCAGCCATACTAGTCCTGTGCTAGACATGCCGAGAATCCGGCAAATAAATCATCCCTCCCCGTTCGGACAGAAGGCACGAGGGTCGGGGTGGAACGGTTTCCACAGAAAGGGAATGGCGCAGATCCAAACAATTTTTTGATGTTGAGATGTGAAGGGGGATTTGGGGGGGCGAATGACAGGCGGGGAGTGGGAAAGGGAGGAGTGAGAGGGAGGGTGGTAGAAGGATGGATACAGTCTCCGTGGCTGTCAAAGCTGTCATATCATTTTCCCTTTCTGGACGGGGTTTGTTGTCTATCACTTGTGGATAAGACTTTGCCTCCCCTCCCAGTACGAGAGAAATTCGCCTCTTCTCATACCAGAAAAGTAATCGGTGGAGTAAGTAGCTGGAATCGGTTCTGTTCTATCTTGTTCGCTAAAAGAATTTGAGCATGGTATGGAACTTGGTAGTATCCATTATATACTAAGTTGTTCCATCTCGGCTGTGGGAGCCCCTCTCTGGGACAATCCAGCTATCCAGCTATCCTTCCAATAGTTCGTCAGCCATACTCAGTCAATCAACCAAGTTTACGAGTAAGTAAGTTAAACTAGTCAGTTAGTTTATAGAACAAGCTTGGTCATCTCATCTCCATCTCACGATGAGAGAGATCCGAGGAGATCCAAGCAAGAAAGATCAGGAAACAAACATCATGCTACGCGCACAGCCGCGACCTCAGAACCTTAAATCTCGTTTTTCCTCCATCATTCTCGGTTAACATTACTAGAAAGACGCAACTGAACCATGGAACCTCGATGTAGATTTGTTAGATAGCCGCCGCGTATCGGCAACTTTGTGAGGATTCGAGAACAAATCTCCTTTCGGGGAGGGAAAGAAAGGAACGGGCGGCGAGTGAGCGGAGTTGAAGAGTTGATTCGGGGAGGTTCAACGGGGGGCGGCAAGAAGGGGACTGGGAACATTGACGGGTTACTCTATCTTGGTTCCTTTGATTGGGGAAGTCGCCGATCGCGATCGTTGTTGGCACCTCCCCTTTCCCTAGGCTCCTTCTTCCCCCCCACCCCTCCCCTCCTCCCTCTCTCTCAAGTGGATTGCTGTTAGCATGCCAGTGGGATAGGTTTAGTGCTGCTTTGGTTGACTTTGACGATTTTGACCGCTGGTCCCTTTTCCAACCTAATTAGATTGGTGTGACGATTTTGGTTTCTGGTTGCAGAAATCGATGAAGAGAGCGAAAGAAGAGTAACCATAGGGGAATCCAGTTTATCTTTCTCTTTTGGAACTAGCAAGCCGCATATACACTGCCCGATACGTAAAGATATTATTCATCACATTCTTTTTTTCCCTACTTCTTTTTCCATTCAACATATCTAGCATGTATGGTTCATGTTCATGGTATATAGTGAGTACAAAATTGATCCATGATCAAATCATCTGAGACAATCCGCGGAACAGAGCTTGACAGTTTCCCGAGATGTTCCTGCCGTCGGTGGCGCTGAATGTGTCTCTGTTTTCCAGTTCTCCTAGGTAGATTCCCGTCGCTTCGTTACAATCTTCCCTTTCTTCTTCTTCTATTTCCTCATTGTCTCTCCCCACCTTCTTTTTCCTCGATGGCCCATCCATCATTTCCCCGGCCCCATATCATTGAATCCTCATCTCGGGGACCTCGGTTGCGGGATATGGGAATGATACTTAGTCTACTAGTCCGTCATGTCGAGTGCCAAAGTCCGGGATATGCTATTTCTGTCTCCGGGTCCCCTTCGAGTCTAGCCTACCGTAGCCTAGTCCCTTCCCAAACCAGCCTGGAGCGCACATTGAAATCCCGATTTCTTTCTCAATTCTGCTGCTTCTATTGCGATCGGCTAGCTTAATCGCTGTACTGAACTTTGCAAAAATATTATACTCTCCCGCTGGAGGGGAGGAAGAGGGGAAGGGCGTTTGTTCTTCCGATTCCCATTTTTTTCCTACTAGTATTTTTATACCTTCATTTACTGTGTTAACCACGATCAAGAAGAGAAGCAGTCAAAAGAGGCTGTTGTTGTTGTTGTTGTCATACAAGTATCGGTTTAATCTCTCCCGACTCCACTAGACAGACTACTTGCCCGGAGTGTACCGTTGGTAAGATTAATTGCGCGACGAACCTCTAGAACACTTTGTCCTTTTTTTTTTCCCCCGGTAGAGCAAATATAAATTAATCATTTAATCTATTATGTTTGTTCACTTCCAGTAATCGAGCGGCCCTTCTTCGGATCTCGAATCGCCGCCCACGTTGCTCTTGTCTTGTCCCTGGCCCCATTCATTTCCTTTTCCTCTCGCTCGGAGTTGCTTCGATTTAATCTAAGTTAATCTATCGGGCCTTCCTTTCTCGAATGCAGTTCCTGGCGATTACGTAGGGATGGTCTTGATCTGGTTGATCAAGAACTATCGCATGCTCTTGTCAAGGAGGAAAAGATCCAGATCTCCCGTTTGGCGTGGCATCTCCCCATCCCGGCCGAAAGTGGTACTTGGAGTTAGCGCACTACTCATAGTTCCAAGCCAAAGTCGGTGTGGTGTGTTTGTTTGTGTGTGGTCCAATCCACGTGTGGCTGGGATCCCGACCAGCTGGGATTGGAATCCACCGCCATTATATGGTTCGATTTGCGGCAACCAGAAAAAAGAAGACCCAGTACCTAGGTTCTGACTGGGACCAGGAAACAAGAGAGTTCTTGATGGTTGACGAAGGAAGGTCCTGGCGGGGTTTTGTATTTTTTGGGTCTTTGGTATGCGTGTCGTATATGTAATCATACGCGGTACCATGAGTTACTGGATGAGACCTCAAGAAGTGCGAGAAAACAAGACAGGTCTGCGTGTTTTTTTGTGTCTTTCTCAGTCTCAACGCGATAAAACAAAAAGAGTAAGAGGATGGGTAATTCAAGGGGAGGTATTAGATTTGTCAAATTTAAACTGTTCTACGGTCCCGTCAAACTCGTTTATGCAGTTGGCTCAGAAATTGTGGATAATGTTTGCTGATCATGGATCTCTGTTGGCAATTTTGACAGCACCACTCGCACCGGAAAGGAGCCGGTTGGTTCACGTCCCTTGGACTTCCCTGCAAGTACATGTATGTATGTACCTCACATCATGTGTGCTATCCTAAATTTTAGATAGACTGTCATGCAGGCTGGCATTTATGGGGATCGCTAGGATTCTTGCCTGCATGCTGACGTTTCGCTGGTATCAGAATCTGTAAAGCGTTGAGGTCGCAGTCATGGTTGACTGATACAAGCTATAATAAACGCGATCGATTGGAGGTTCGATGCGTATCAACCAGGTGTTTCGAGGACGGATGCGCGTACTGACCGACAATATCCGTATGTTGCGTGCAGCGAACATACCTGAGTCAAGGTGCGTGTGCGAATAGCAACCGTCATCTCTGCCTATACTCCCATCAATGCAGTCACTATTTTGTTTGACAAGCAACAGATGCCAAATCTTGCCTCTGGCTCATATGTTTATAATTGAGGAAACGTTCGTATGGGAATATCCGAAGAGGAGACTAGGACAGATCGTGTAAGAGCCTAGCATCACATTGGTATCAGCGGCTGATCAGGCGTGCACGAGAACTTAGCAAGAATAAGGGTTGTTGCACACCTCAAGCGCGACTGAGTATCAATTTGGGCGCAGACCCTCCAGGCCGCATCTCTGTCGTTTTCACCCATTGCAAACAAAAGCAGAGCAGGGCGCCTGGGAGTTGGAACTCAGCAGAAGCTTCCGCTCGTCAAAGTATCATGACGTAGAATTGGAGCTTTGGCCTCGGCGGTCTCCTCCCAGTCATCGATTGGCAAGAGACGATAACCTTGTTTAAGAGTTTCGTGATAGAGAATCGCATCATGTAAGATAATTCAGTATTCTCCTCGAGCTCAGGTCGGTGGGGAAAGTGGTTGTCAACGGAGGCATCGGAAGGGTAGCCGGCTCTCGGCCTAGAAGAGAAACCCAAGCATAGGAGTTAGACCAGGTCACACCGTTTGCACAGGTTCAGGGACCAAGAGGCCAGACGCTAGACTTAGGTACTCATGAGTCACATCCTCAAAAGCGTCATCCCTAGATGCCGCGTGTAAATGATTTCCCATGGCAAACAAGGTCATCCCAGCACGGAGGAAAAGCTTGTCTACCTCCCACGCCTAAAGGAGCAAGAGTCCTTGATCGCCCTTCTCTCAAGAAAGATGGAGACAATCATACCAGAAAGCGGACACGACCCAAGGGGCGCCTCAGGTCTGTAACATAATGGGGAGTAACCAACCAGACAGAACCTCAAGGCCTGGAACTCAGAACCACAACGAGTCAAGTAATGAGACAACAAGACATCAGAGAGAGATTCACCAATCAATCCTCCATCGTCTAGGAGCATCGAGGACTTTCCCCAGCGAAAACTTGATTTCGGTTTTCCCTCTTCGGGGTCTGGTCTGTGTGGTGGTCTTTGATCTGTATTTTACTAATATGAATTGGAATGGGACTTCGGTTTGCACTTTCCCCATATACCTCTTACCCGATACGTTCCCTCCCCCTATAGAAGAACACATATAGATCCCCCTCTGGTCTATTCGTGGAAGCAAGGTGATATCACAAGTTGCTAAGTATGTATGCACACATTCTGGGAAGGGGAGTTTGGGGGGGAGGGGAAATCTATGAGCTCATCGGTTGCATGACTGTTAACGGGCTCTTTCTGCTACAGGCTACTCGGTTTTCTCTACACCCAGCACCAAGGTAGAGTAGCAAGCATTAAGTTAGCTGTAGCAGGGTTCAGAGAATGCCACGGACAGGATTGGGCGTGTACCAATGGGACTTGGTCACCTTGGAGACCATAGCTATAGTACACGGACAAAGAGAACAGTCTGTGTGGAACTCTTTCAACCTGACGCTCCCCTGGCCATGAACTATCAAGTCACCGTCCCGAATAGATCTGTACTGACTCATTGACTGATTCGAATCAGGTACCATGCATGGCCCATGACTCGAAAGCTCCGAGCCTCTTCCTACTCCATCTCTCTTCTACAATCTCGTAAATAGCAGGAGTGGCGACATTTGGGGCGTTTCTCGTCGTTGCCCTTTTGCCCTATCTGGGTATCATTCCAATCTTCGGATGCGAAGAGGTCTCGCCCAGGCAGAACAAGGTACTGTAAGCTTGGTGTAATGGATCTTACAAATCGGCACGTACGTAGGGTGTGGGCATACCGTTAGGTCGATATAAGCTACGGAGTAATTCGGCAGCGATCGAGCCTTTTCCAGGGGAGGTAGGTATATCTCAGGTGCCATATGGCTTTTCTGGCATGATCGATCGGGAGTTCAGGTTACATGGTGCCTTGTTTAGTGTGCTTTGCTTTTCCTGGTCAGTGGGGGGGTGGGATGAAGAGAGGGGGTCATGATAATTTATCGGAACTACTATATTCTGACACCCAAGAAGAAGGGTAAAAAAAAAAAAGAAAATAAGAAATAAAGATCGTTGAATTCCTCCATCATATTGCGAATGACAAATATAGACTTGCTGAAATGGCGTGGTGGGTTGAGAGATAGATTGCGATATATTGGCCCAACCCGAGGCTTATAGTTCGAGTGGTCATTGCTTGTACGGGCAAACAAAAACAGAGTTTCTGTTAATTTATTTAGATTGAGGTGTTGGTGATTCGATCGGGAACGCTGTGGGCACCACGGCTGCGAAGGGGAGAAGAAAAAAAGAGAAAAACAAAAACATAAGACAATTGATTAGCAAGTGCCGTCATCATCTCGATAATTCTGGAAAAGGAAGAAGGCTGTTTTACACCCCTCCCGAAGGAAGTTCTACCCATTGTCTTTCTGTTGCCCGTAGATCTACTCAAATGGACGAACAGGTTGTGCCCGGCTCAGTGCCCCTTTCGCCGCGGGTGGATTTGGGTTGTGTTTGTAAGCCCGCCTGACTCGCGCTTAATTCCCGAACGGCAAAAAAGAACTGCTGCTGCCTTGGGGGGAGAGAGGGGATGGGGATCTGGATGGGGAGAAAGACGTGTGTGGATATCTCGCCTTTCTTTTCTGCACTTCCCCGTTGACACTAGAACTTCACCCACCACGTTGTTTCCGGCCGGAACGACAGTACCTTAATAGCGTTCATTATAGGATCCAGAGTGTCATCATTCCGCGGGTTGACTTCGGGGTTGAGAGTTTAGTCTTCCTTCCTCCTGAGCGCCCGTGGAAAAAGCAACGTAGCAAAGCAGAAGATGAAGCAAAAAAAAAAATATGGGGACGGACGGCTAACGGCGATTAATTAAACGCTCCTGGGTACTAACACTCTTCGGGTGGTCATCTCCGTGACTGTTAGCTAGCATGCATCGCTGACTGATAGACTCAGCGACCAACACTTCCACCACCCCCAAGATCCGCTCAGACTCACCCGTCGATGGCGATGGCCGATAGACAGATAGGCGACGCTAGAGTCCGAAATCTAGACACTCTCCCACTTGAAGAGGAGAGGTTGCAGAACGGGAATCGTGCTAGCCACGGCGGGCCGATCGACAACCGTTATGAGGTCAAGAGCTACTGTGCTAATGTCTCCATCCTTGCTAATGGGTGCTTCACCTATCACAGCCAGCTAAAACTTCCGCGATAGACTATCGTCCTTCCCTTTCCCCTCTGCCCTACTGTTCTTCTTCCTTTCGAGTCCACTTTTTGTATCCACCACTCAAGTTGCCAGGTCAATTCAACGGACTGTTCGATTCAGCTCAAGATAGCTTCCAGCTTCACAGACACGGAAAATGGAGCCGAGACGTCATGAGCTTGAAGTTCGAACTCTATCAATAAAATACTCCCTATATCGAAAAGGGGAAACAGAAAGAAGCGCTACCAAGGTATTGACGAGGTTGTACCTAGCAATGAAAGACTTCCCCGATTGTGTACGGTTCCACTTCAGGATGGAAAAGCACACAGAAAGACAGGCAGGCAGATAAGTCGGATAACCCGAAACCGCTCCCTCTTCATGTATGACCCAATCTGTCGTCTATGCATCGGATCAGCCTGCATACCTTTCCTACATCGCGTACTTTTGGATGCCACGCACAAAGTGATGCGCTCTCCCTCGATCCCCCTCAGTCTTGTCCGCGCTAAACAAGGTGGACCCCGACCGTAGCCGGGTCCATGGCAGATGCGGTGGGGAATCCAAACGTTCAACGGCCTGGAAGAGGCAGTATCTGCGTCCCGCAGTCTCCGGGCCCGGACGCCAACTTTGCCCAAATTCACAATTGCCTGAATGGGTGGATGAAGAGGAGGTTTGAGCACATTCACAAAATTCACCAACCTCACAATATACTCCAAGTAGTCGGCAGTCTAGGGCAGGCTTAGTTGCGCTGATGAATCAGTTCGACTCGATTTTTTTTTTTGGTTTTTCTTCTTCTGATTTTTGCCTGATAGGGGAAATGCGCCTAGCGGATCACCACAACCACCATCATGGCGTCGACCACCAGTAGTGACAGTAGATCCGTCCAGAGATTCGGGATTTGCTTGCGACTTGGAACCGGGGATTGATTGCCTGTACCACCAACACGGGACCCGAGGTAGATCCGTCTGGTGATCGAGGTTGCGATGAGGTCGTAGGAAACAAAGGATCTGAATGAATACCTGGAATCAGGCTTGAATATCCGACCCCAGATTTAAAAAAGACAGAGAGAAAGCGCGCGCACGCGCGAGGATATCGTTCCTCGAAATTCCAATCTTACACATTTCTTGGGGGAGGAATGGATGATGATTGCCTGCTTACCTCATCCGGTGTGGTCTGCACAGTCCTCAGTGACGATGATGATCAGCGGATGTCATCCACCCTTCGCCTGAATGGCCTTCCTGTCAACCATGCATACAGTTTACAGCCAGTCAGCCACAGTGGAACAGGAGCAGGCCTGGACAGAGAATTGATCGTGATGATTGACAGGGCATCTGTCGCATTCGTCATTTCTCGGGCAGGGTTTCTCCAGTCAAATCTTGGTACACCAAAGACGGGACAGTTGGACTGGAGCCGATAAAGGTGGCCCACTTCACGTGTCTTCCAAGGGGCTGGTTGGATGAATGCAGTGGGCCGGCTCCTCTGTCTCCCTATTTGGAAGGAGGTGGCCGAGCCGGGCTATCCTTCAGTGCGGTGACACACGTGGTTTCGACCTTGAGTACGGAGTACCTTAGTACTTGATGTTGTTATTTTATGTGGCAGGATATGTACTGGAGAATAAGCATGTTTGTATGTGCTCCATACTCCGTACGTTCACCCTGCCCTCCGCAACTGTCTCCTCATTGTCTCCTGTTTCCCACCCCCTTCCCCTCGGAAGATCGCGGAATCATCCGGGTCCGAAAATCCTCCAGAGAAGACAAGGAGCAAACATGAACCCAATTTACTCGGACGACTTCGAAGTGGTGGTGTATGCTGTCAATCTGGCAGCGTAATCCTGTTACTGCTCAGTGGGTAGAGAAAAAGGCATATAGAGAAAGGAGAAGGTGGCCCATGCGCGCGGAAATCGGTAAAGGTTCCAGGGCGAATTCAGATCGTAGAATATTGCTATCCCGGTTGCTTGCCAATGGCCCATCAGACGCAACGCGAGATGAGAAGAAGAGATCTGATGCTGGCTCGATACGGGGATCTAGGGGTAGTCGGATCAATAATTCCGTACGGGACAGCAGCATGGCTGATGGATATGAGGCCGTTACCGAATTTACAGAACACATTCCTCAAGCGGTCTAGCTGCAGCAAACTTAGGTCTTGCTGAGGCAAGGGAATTGCGGAACAAAAGGTCGAAAGACCCGCTGCGAGGCACGGATTAAGCCGATTGTTTGACGAAACCCCAGCTGTCAGCTTCCTGTTTTGGGGGAAGTCGTCGGAGAGTTTACCGGGATGGATCCACCGTATCGGGCAGATATTTGCCCTTGGATACATTTTTTGTGGCACGGAGAACATCAATTGCGATGATCCTTCTCCCTTTCATCATAGTGATTGATGAATCCAGCAGCCCTCGAGGAGGAAGAGTGCCACTACCCCTGACTTGAACTCTTCTTTTCTATTCTTGTTCTCGTTCTTGTCATGACCAGGTTCCACCCGGCGAATATCGACGCCACTACCTTACCGGCGGTACCAATGGAGAATCCGGGGATCATAGCCAATCGTAGTCTGCCCGGAAGTGGCTTGCCGCCTCTGTCAAAAAAAAGCACTCGACGGCAGGGGTGCATTAGCAGGATTGCTTGACGATGATGCATGAGGATGGGGACGACTACAATCTCGTACAGTCTCATTTTTCCAGCACAACAGTACATGTAAAGAGATCAGATGTCAGTGGCGGTGTCGTTCGCCCAGACGATCAGTAGTCGGAGCAATCACAGCAATACGAATGGTGCCAGGGGTCCAGGAAACTGTCCCCGCTCTAATGGGCAGGCGCTTGTCGCCAAAAACGATCGTCTTCACTTTAGGCTCTTGCCACAAACAGTCGAAGAGCCGTAATTTCCTTTCCCCTTGTGGGTGCAGATGGATTCCTTCGATCAGCGCTGAGCGAGAGAGATCATAGGGACCCCTCCCACCCCCTACGCCTAGATGCCGGTGATACCACCTTGTATTGATCCAGATGCCTATGGGGCTGATTCCGATGGGAGGGCAGCTTGTGTCGCTGTCAGTGAGGGCCACTGGGATGGGACTGAGAACTACTAACGGTCGCAACGGTTCTTTATCCATTTCCCTTTGGCGCTGTCGATCCCGGCTGTTTTCCGGACAGCCAATATTTGTCTCGCTTCGCGAACCATGCTGTGTCACCCTTCTGGCAATGCGCGAAATCTTCGATCGCAGGATTTCCACTCACAAAGATCTCTTTGTTATGGTAGTTGGCCTCGGTAATCAGTCTTTGTCAGGAAACGTTTGTCAGTTGCCTGACACAAGATCCATTCCACCCGACTCCATAACTAGTTGCTCCAGCGAGTCAGGAACGGGGGTATGAATCTGCCATTCTTGACTCGAAATTCGGCAGAAGGTGAAAAGAGGACCGAGAGCACACAAGTCGAGTCAGCATCCTTGTCAGCTGACAACCCAAGATCGCATCTTCGCACACGGCTCCGGGCGATGTGTGAGGGTGCTTCGAAGTGGCTTGCCTCGTTCTATCGCCTGGGAAGGCGCTTTGTATCTTCGTACTTAGTATACACCGATATAACGACGCACCTTTGGCACTTTTTTGAGTTTTGAGACGCTTGAGCATTGTTCTTGACCTCTCAGTTCGATGCGGTAGCACGAACGGCACACTGCATATAGCAACAATGGTATTGTTTGATGTTGTCCTGGCCCTGACGGCTAAACGGTGTTCTTTCCCAACGGTGATCATTTGCTTTCTGTGGGCAAGGAAAACAGATTGTAGATTAGCAGCATGTCGGTGAAAACTGGGTGTGGGACATGTCTCCACTGGCCAGAGAACTGGTACAGAGCCGATGGCTCTCATCACGATATGGGGTTGTTGATCAGGGAACCTCTCCTCGCTACTGCGACTTCCCTGTTCCGCCCACCCCCTTTTGACGACGCGGATCGTCATCATCGCGCAACCTTTTGGAGCGAACAGATCGAAACTTAACCACAGTACTAAATTCTGCTAATGTCCTTAGTGAATTGAGTGGCTGAGGATGTAATCGTGTCGGCTGTGTTCGATATTCACCTAATCTCATGCAGATTGTCACTTGTCTCAAAACGGTCTAAGATCCTGTGAGCTTGTTGGTCAATGCATTGGACAGCGGCCAATCAACACTATGTGAGGGACCCGGTATTGCTGCACAGGATTTTTGCTAGATAACACTAGGCCGAAAATGATGCTCAGCATGCACCTTGAGGGCCTCATTTATCGCGCCGTCCAATATTAAGAGCAGATTCGGCTATCTGAAGTGCGAATTTGACATGAACTTCCAGATCGCAACCACACCGTTGGGGAAAACGTGGTACGAATGTGTATTTCGGTTTATTCACCGAACTGTTAACTATATTTCTCGCCGATGACGGCAGAGCCGACACTCACGGTGAGAGGGAAAAGTCTAGATTGGGGCAATGGCGACCGAGAGTAAGTCAGGTCGTTCGAGGTAGCTTGATCGCAGAATATGGGTTAATAACAAGGTTTGCTATTAGGGGTGTGTAGTTAGGCCAATAACTCCTGGATGAGGTCAAAGTTTCCTCTACTTCCAAGGTGACAGCAATACTCAGTACCTAGTACATGGAGAGGTGAGCGGGAAGAGGTGCGTGTTTGTTACGAGTCCGATTAGATTAGTCGTATTTTAAGGCGACCGTTAGATCCATCCATCCACACCCACCCACTCACCCACTCACCCATCCATCATGGGTCAGCAGCTGCTGCCCGCCTCGTCTGTGCACTGATGGGTGGTAACGGTACGACGGGTGTCTCAAGATTTAGATTCCATAACGTCGGCGTCATAGTCATGAGATATCTTGGGATTTGTTCGAAGCCCTGGCTCAATGTTGCAGGCTCGGAGGGCAGGCGATAATGGCTATCTGTAGCATGAGGTCATAGGTCGATCGAGTATCTTCACATGCTAATCATTAGCATAAGCAATGCTTCTGAACAGGAATCCTCCAGGATGTTATACGATACCACCGACCAAACGGAAGAGATTGCTGTAACCTTACCGGGATTAGTATCGTCCTATTTGATCCCTTGAGAAAACGTACAGCGGCAGCAAGTTACTGAGTCACTGTCAAATTTACAAATCGACGAGTGGATGTAGACTCCCACAGGAATCTAGGTCCATCAGCAACCGAATACCTACACATATAAGAGACAGACGAGGATGCCAAATCGAAGTGCGGAGGAAGAAAATGATTAAGGAGCTCGGTCGGAATTCCCCCAATGGGGAGGAAACTGTGTTGTATGTACCTGGGGTTAGTTTGACGGCTGGATTATCTCGCTACCTCAGCCAAGGAGGAACATGGGTTTGGTGTCATCACCAGCTCCTAATCTCGTTTGACCTTGGGGCGTCCGATGAGATGTTTTTGACTTATGACTGAGTTAAATTTGTTCGAACCAGAATTTCATATGTGCCACACTTGTATCGAGCATGCAGTACAAGGTGTTACAGATCACGGCTCAACCTAGTATCGATCGAGGTTCCAACCCTCTGCGAGATCAAACTCGGGGTCATTCAATGCCCTTATGGAAGGACAATTTGACGGATATAACCACACTCTCTGAGAGACATATCATACAGTAATCTGTGCTGGTGGACCTTAATCATAACCTATCTCCTGCGGAGTTAAATAAACGGCGATAGCAATATAGTCAAAAAGTGAATGCTCGCAGGGACATCTGAGTCCAATATACGGTGTCTAGTAAGGTGATGGGTTGTTGCGCGTGTATATATATGCGGGAAAACATGGGAGACCAACGGAAACAGGGCCAGAGAATAAAGTAGTTTATCAATATAAGCCGATTAATTTCAAGAACGGCTGGCTAGGTTGAAAAAGGGCACTTGACATTTTCCATGTTGAATCAGTAGCAGACGATTTGCCGCCATTAACCGGGATAATCAATATTTGACATTTGTAAATGAACTTAATGCGTCCGCAGACGCTAATCATGTGACCCAAATCTCACAGACTGGCTCCGGCTCCCCCCTAAAGATACAAGTAATATCGCGCCAGTCAGTCGCTACCCTACGAAGAGATAAATTACGGCTTCCATAATTATGGGTGACGAAGATTAATCAACTCCCGAAGTCAAACATATCATAAGAATTAAGTTCACTGGGGGCTAGACTCCGAGAGGCGTACAGGGTTGTCAGACATCTCTACCAGGTTAAGGAACGTGTCTTGATCTGGTGGAAAGGGAAGGCCGTAAGACAATAGAGCACCTTTAACACGAATGTTCTCTTTCGGGGAATTCGTCCGACTTGACGCTACGCTTTGGGTGCAAGACAAGTGGAAGATGTGGTTACAACGAGCAGACTGTGTTGCTCAAATGCCCCTGCTAGTATTGCTTATTGCAGCCAAACATCTGGGTTAGTGATCGATCGATCGGATTTTTGAGTGCAATCGGTACTCTATCGAGCAAGTAACCTCAAAGGCCAAGTATCCGTTAGAATCTTCGAACGCACCATTATACGGGTCTACCCCATCCTCATCGCCCTCAATATACATTTTAGTTCGACCGTCTTCAATAGTTAGTCTATTGCCCTTACTAGTAATATCTGGCTCGCGCCAGGGCTAGTAATCCCTAGAGCAGGATGAGCAACTGAGAATCGTAGGAGGCTGGAAATCCCCATGAAGCTTTAGGTGAGGGCAACAGCAGCCCTTAACAGAGAGTAATATTCAGCACCTACATTATTACCTAAGGTCAAATTGACTTTGCAACGGAGGTAGGAGAACGATGATCAGGAATGTTGATCGAGGTGGTGATGACGATGGTGCCACCCTCAAACGGCTATGCCCGAGATCTCGAGCAAGGGAAAGCGGGGAGCGTTGTACTGTACCATGGTACAAATCACGCAGGCACGGCTATACTTTGTCGCACCTCCTTTTCCCCCTCCTTCTCTCTTCCCCTCTTCAATGTTGCTTCGGCCAACATACTGAGAACATAACCTCCCCCCTTCCCAAACGACTTATGACAAATAGTCTTGGAGACTGCAAGCGAGAGCAAGGGCTTACCGACCTGGAAGATCTGTTGCCTCGCTGCAGGAGGGGAGCTGACCATGGCTCGCGTCAGCTGGAGGTTGCGCACGCTGTGCTTCGGAGTGAATGGCTGGCTTTGCTTTAGCTGCGATCCCAACAGTGTATATCTTTTGGGCTAGCTGCAGCAGGCGAAGTGTGTTTGCAGGTGTTTTGCTGATGCGCGATCCCACTTCCCCACTAAGATCGTTCTCAGATCTCCAGGGTCGGAGACTATCCCTCCTTCTAACGCACCCGGTGCTGGCGCTAATGGTAACCCTCTGTCCAGCGATGTTTACCGTTGGAATTAGTCCCAGTCCTGGGTGGGCATATGCGTTTACGATGATGATTTCCAGTCTGCTCCGGCTCGTCTTGAACCTTGTTTGATCGGGGCGACAATCTGACGAGGAGATTATGCTGGCCGGGAAGGTCAAAGCTCCCTGTATATTACCAGGTGTCAAATCAGCGATCTGGGAAGTAGTCCATTATCGACCCCCAGCATGTTTGGCATACCTTGGGTCCAGTATTGAGCACAGGTAGTATGTTGCTGCCTTATCAAGTCGGTCGCCATGGGTCGCAGAATCGGAGATACAGAGAACAACAGCAAGGCAATAGAGGCGACTTCTGCAGGCCCCTCAACTTGCGGAAGTCATGGTATATGTATAGCGCTATCGATGAGAATTTTATAGCAAATAAATCTTATCGCTTCTATTCAGTGACCCATGATCGCCTTCAGCAATTTATGCGGTCGAACAGCGCAATTCTGCCAATGAATGTACTTTCTTTTTTCCGATAGATGAATCGATGATCATGATTGGGACCTTGTCCTGTTGCACAGTACAATTCCCGCACCACATATAAAGTTGAGCACATCTGCAAAGTCTCCTGCCGATGCTCCTTATTCTCATCCCAGGAGCAAGAATCCTGTCAAAGGCAGGACAAACAATATAAACCGAATGCCCGTATGTTTTTCTATCCTTACTGTTTGCTTTGAGAATCGTAAGGCTTACTTCATTCCGTGCAAATAACTACTCTTGGCCATTCCTTGTTCTTCCCGCACCAAAATTAGATTCACATTTCCTCAGATTGCGTAGCGTGCGATCTCTGGATCTTGATACCCGGACCACTTATCGCTGCCCTGTTAATATCACTGTCTTTTTGTCCCCCTCCCAGACACGGGGCACCACCCCTCTTTTGGTTTTCCACTGCCCCCGTCGGCTCCGAGATCGTTACGTATTGGTACCGACCATCCGTGGTCCCGAAGTTCCATAGTGTCTGGTAATGACATTGAGCCCCAACTATGTGGATGGACTTGACGAGCGTTGAATAGGGTTTCTTGGTTCAGTCAGATGGTCGATTTATGGCATATCAAAACTATGAAGTCGGCTAAGTTTCACACTGGCTATAAGTCAACCATTGCAGGATGTATAGGTCCGGAACTGAACAGCCGGCACACAGATCGTCAGTCCTACTATTATCGAGATGGTACCTTCTGACTTCTGAGACATCAAGACAAGATATCATCGGCGCTTGCTGATGCCGTCATATTCGTCGATTATAAGATGTAGTATCTGTGGATAATACAGTACTGTGACAAGAAAGAGTCTTGTTGTAGCACTAATTCGTACTAGTATGTAAACTTGAAAGCGATGGTATCATAATACACAGAATACGTAACATGTTTAATTCAATCTTCTTTTGCAGAAGCGGAAAAAAAAGATAATAAAAAATAATTTTTACGGCCAGGGACAAGCCCCCTGGTAAGGCTCCATCGCTCCCCACTGAGATATCCGCATAACGCCAATATGATTTCAACCCACTCCACACTTCGTCGAGGGATCCGCAGTTCGCAGCCCGTAAAGCTTCTGTAATTCGCCGTAACTTTAAAGTGGTCACGACCGCCAGCATGATTCGACGATCTCATAGTCCGGTCTGGCTCCTCCGCCTGCCTGTCTTTTTTTCCATTTTCCCAGGTCTGAGCTCATCTGTCTTGGCCCGATGTACCGGCTACTTTGTCCTAGTAGCTCCTGTTTGGATCCTCCCATATCTCGTGTGTGTGCGGGCCTGGGTGTTGAAGTAGGATTTAGTTGGCTGAGTATAATTTTAATTCTGATCTTTATTTTATTTTCCCTTCTTTTTCTTTTTGGGAAAATAATAATCTCCATAATAATAATAATAATAATAATAATAATAATAATAATAATAATAAATATAATCATAATAAATATTCTTAACCAGCTGTTGGTTATTCTAAACTTCTGCGGGTGTAGCTCCTTCGCCATTGTTATTCTTCCTCTTATGTTCCTTCCCACCCTCTACTAATATCTTCTGCGCAACTCTTCCTTTACTTTCTTTCCTTTCTCTGAATTTCGTCTGACATTCCAATCGAGAGGAGATTCTCCTTTCTGTCGCAAGCCATCTTAGACCCCGTTACTAATACGTCCATTTTTGCTGTCCTCTCAACCCCCTTTGACATTTATCAAATCCTGTTCCGCCTTCCTTTCCCTTGGATCTTCCCGGACGCCCTTGTGTCCGACTGTCATCCCACCCTATCTCGTCTTTCTTCTTCCTCCGCGGACAGTGAATCATTATCTCTCTTTCTGTTCTACATCAGCTGCTATTGTTCCTACCCTTTTTGACAGCAATAGTGAGTTCGCGCTCCTATCAGACAGATTAGAAAAATCTTAGGCAGGGAAGAGAACGAGACCAGCCAACGTCTCCCTTTCCACGCGACGCATTCACTTCTATCCCTTGCATCTACTGCGCCCCCCGCCGCTCCCGCGAACTCAAACATTGTCAAATCGATCTTGGAGTGAATCAAGCAAAAATCCTGACTGCAAAACCTCAATCCGGAATCTGAAGTGCAAGGCTTGGCTGGGTGTGCAAGGTCATTCACTTAAAACAGGACGGGCAACTCTGATCCAACCTGTTCGCTGTGCGCTGCGAGTGCGTGTCATATTCTGTTGTCACCGTTCTATAGTTCCGCGTCGTACTTGACAATCACGGCTGCTCCAGTTGCGATCGCATTGCCACTAATCCTCACGGAGTCTATTCCGCACATTGCGCCGACCTCAAGTTGCCCGCCTTTCATCGCCTTCCTCTGAGCCAGTCCGGCGATCCTCCGGGAATCCCTTCGTACGACTCTCGCCCGATACAACCGCTTCCCACCCCCACAACTGCCAGCACCTCCGATAATACCTGGTTGAGCGAGGCGATTTCAGTCATCTCTACGTCGGTTCAATTTCGCAGCCGTTCTACCGAAATCAACTGTCGCGGACCCCTAGCTCATCCAAGGAGCATTCATTATTACAACCCGCTTACATCTCGTTGCCTTTGTTCCTTCCGCCTTCGCTGCGCAGCTCTCGTCGTCAAAGCGCTTTCGGCCCACTCGCGCGACACGTCACAATATCTATATATCCCCCACCCGGCACGATCTCTACACGCGCGGTGGATGAGACTTACGCAGACATTTGATCCTCATTACCCTGTTATTATCTACTGGCGCGATGGGGTCGATAGAAGCTGAGCATAGACACAGGTATGCCTCTCTTTGGACAATGGCTCCCTGGGCATCGGCCTATCCCGTGACACGACCATTACGGAGAGCCAAAACTCATCGGATGATATACTGACAAGTCAATGTCGCATTCTAGAGAGCATCTTCCAGTCCTGGGATTCTTTGGCAAAGACGGACCTAATTACACTGCGAAGCATCCTTCTGCCGCGATAGGCCCGACATCTTCACCCACACCACTTTTAAGTCCAACAGCCATGTACCCTTCGCAATCCTTACCCTACTCCTTCTCCACGTCCGCCAGCACGGTTTCTCTGCAGGGTGGATATATATCACCACCAGATTCGCGACGCGCACTCGAGGAGGAGAAGGAAAAGCCTCCGCAGAGACAGTCGCTCCCTTCAATCCATGAGGCTCTGGGAAATGATAACCCCTTGCCCTACCCTGCGCCAACCTCTGCCCCTCCGCAACAGGCTCACCATGCACCTCACCCCCATCCCCTGTCGTCCAATGTCGTCGGGCGACCGGGCACAGAAGGACCCCCCGGGCCGCCCAATCCGTTCTCGAACGGCGCTTCGACTGGCACATTCATGCGCGAGTCGACATTCCCCCATCAACCTCAGTTGCAAGCAGAAGTGTCGCGGTCGAGCTTGGCCTCAATAAATACCCAGGACTCTAGACCTACATCGCTGCAGTCGTTAAGCTCCGGCAAATCACCTACCCAAAGTGCTAAAACTGGTCTCACTTCGATCTCCGGCTCTCAAACCGGTTCTGGTTATGAGTACAGCGCACCGCCTTCCGCCGGTAGTGTAACTTCTCCCCACGGCTATGGTACTTTCTCGCAGTCTTTCCAGTTCCAGTCGCAGGCTCCCCTTAATGCGCCGTCGTATCCTTCAACTCCGTACGATACCCGACCTTACGTTGGGCCAGGCTGGAAACCAGGAATGCCTGAGGCTGCTCGCGCCGATGAGATGAAAGGTGTACTTTCCGCCCGCCCTCCGTTGGCTGGACAACACCATGGCGATCACGTCAAGCGCCATCTGGATATTTACGATGTGGAGACCTCACTGAATGAAATAGCTGAGATCAGCACTCGAAGTCTGGATTTCTCGCGTCACTATGCAGCCAGAGCGCACCAAACGCAGCGCTCCGGCCCAGTGATGGGGTCGCTGCCTTCTTTGCACGAGATTGAGGAGATACTCAATCTACAGCGCCGTAACCAGGACGCTTTGATTCGCATACGAACTGCAGTGTTGAATCAAGAGCATGCTTTGGCTGAGCAAATGGCGCAAAGAAAAGCTTTCAAAGCCGGAGGCATGCATGGTGATGATCACGTGGCGATGTATCAAGAAGACTATAAGGGCAATGGCGGATTCGCGGGCGCTGATTCAAAAAAGAGACGAGGGGTAGGTTCATTTCTTCAATTAGCATTCCTTTCATCATATATTTTGCCACCTATATTGCATAACTTGCTAACTGACGTCTGCAGAAAGCTGCTCCTCCTGGTCGTTGCCATAGCTGCAATCGTGCCGAAACGCCTGAATGGCGCCGTGGTCCGGATGGAGCGCGGACTTTGTGTAATGCCTGCGGGTTGCACTATGCCAAATTGACGCGCAAGATGGGCGCCAACAAGGCTGCGTCCATGGGTTCAAATCTGAGACCCAAGACCGCACTCGATACCTCGTCACCAAGTAGCCATTAAGATTATCAGCAACTCGGCGTTGGGACTGGCTTTGGGTTTAGAAGCATCAGGCGTTCCGAGTCCCGTTTGCTTTTATTCATCAACACATCCTCTTGTGGGATTTTTTTTGTGGGTTTCATGCGATTCGCTTCCAGGTTGGCTGGTTCCCAAAACGTCCCAGGCACAGGGACTTGATTTGATTTTCTCCGAATGTTACGCGGCATTCTTCTAATACCCCTTGCACGATGAGCTAAAAGGCATTTGGGATAGACTTCTCGCTTTTTCTGGTTGCTTGTGTTCTATATCCTTTGTTTTATGGCTGGCTCTTACTTTGATGCGACTGACCATGTTTGCGCTTCGCTTTTGCTCTAACTCTGTCCCACTTGTTTGGCCGTCCGGATCGTTCTGTTATACTCTTGTTCTGATTTACAATTATACCCCCGGTTCGAACAGTCTCTGGTTCCCAATTTGGCAAATGTTTTGGTTGCTAGAATGTGCCAATACGATGTTATTTTTACGCAGTCATGTTGATTTAGGGGCTTCAGAAGCGTGTGTGTCTCCCTAGTATGACTTCCTCAGTAACCTTCTTTGTAGTACTCCAGGCTTTTATCACTTGCATACCTGAGATAGAGTCATGGCGAACACTACCACTTATACCAATGTTACGGATGCTATTACCTGACTCCGAGACGATCGGTCCATCCAGCCATGCAGCTAAGTCACCGTTGCTTCGATGAGGACCAGTGGAGGGTGCATTGGGTTCTGGCGCTCAGGTTCTGGACATCAGCACGGAGTAGAATTTGCGCTGTTTGGATCAGGCTGCCGCGACGCACTAGACTTACTTAAACTAACTGACTATCGATGATAATAACAATAATTGGTCGAGCAGGTACACGCATCTCCTTTGCTGAGAAGCTAGTAAGTACCTAGTAGGCGTGCCTCGTGCCCCGATAGACAAAAATCGCTCCGACGGTTCCAGGCGGCATGGGACCATGGGCGGCCGACCAGTATGGACTATGGAGACTGGGGAGACGCTAGAACCGACCAGAACCCTCGCGGAACCCGAGCTCGCACATCCAGGCTTGATCATTCTATGGCGTCTGCACGGTCGATGGCGGAACTAGTGCGGTGGGGATGTCTGCTGTCCGCCCCAATTGGGCTATGCAGCCATTCATTATAATTAGTATAATTATTATGGTCGGATGTGAAGCGAAATCTCTGCTGTTTATTCCTAAGTTGGCGGCATCATGTTCAAACCAATTGCTTCATCATGCAAGGCAAGCTATTAACACATAGTATGAAATCTCAGGACTAGGAGGCAGCCCCGAGACATTCCGCTGGGGAATCTGACTCAGTTGAGTTTGACCTTCCCGTAAATGAAAGTCAGAATCGAGGGAACCGCCGATCGGATCTTATCGTGTTTGCATCCGATCTTACTTCATCTTGCAGCCGTGATCCGTCCAACAAAGATAGTCAGTGTACTAACAGTACTAACAGAACAAGGATTACACAGTACAACCACAGTCACCGAAGGGAACGCCGATGCACCTAATCCATCTTGCCCCATCCCATCGTCGCCAGTAAGAACTACCGTACCGCCTTGTCCATCTCTCACTCCACCATGAATGTCATCACCGTCGATATTAGACGGACGGGTGGATGGGTGGTGGTGATTGAGAGATGTGAGATCTGACTCAGATGACGGTGGGTCCTCCGTTCATGCCTTCTTCTTCTCCCTCACCGCTAATTCAATTGAATACATTCACTTCCCTCCACCTGCTTCTCCCTCTAGTTTGAGCTCGATTAGAAAGTCGACATCATAATTTGGTTGCTACTCCCAAGATTCTGTTTGTATATGGTACAGTGGAAATCATCAATCCCCTCCAGGCTGGCTATTCAACCCACTGTTTTGGGGAAGTCCTGGTAGGCTCCAACATTGGATCTTTCCCTTGTGAACGGTTACCATGGGTTCCGATTCCGCCAAGCTCCGATCTATTGCCCATCCAGCGCCACTGTAGTTAGTTTTGCCTACAGCGACAACGACCGACTGTTGCCCATGTCCCTATCTTACAACTCAACCATGCAGCCAATATCCTTGATGCAACTTGCAGCAAATTGGTTAGACTCCGGCCGAAAGACGTCTCGTCTGCCTGGAATTTGGAATCATACAATGTGTCATGGATCCACATCGAACACCTCCATTCGTTCGGCTATACTTATAGATTGGGAATAGATTAACTGATTTAATGACCACTATCATGCCACGTCTGTCTTGTGATTACTTTACTACGTAAGTAATCAAAGGTGCGGCCTCGTTCTGACACCACCTCTCCCGGAGTCCCGGGCATGGGCTGTCTCGATCGTCTCGACGGTCGGTTCCCCCACTTCCCGCTCGATGATAAGCTGATTGGGATAGAATCGATCAACTGGTAGTACCTTAAGGTGACGTGACTAACTATGAGTGATTACCATAAACAGCAGGAGTCTCTCAACGCCCGGAGCTCTCGGCCAAACAGTTATTCTGCCGGTCGAAACCCGGCCGGTCGGGCGATTCTAGAGCATTATCCACCATGATGAGGCCCCGAACCACACCGGCCAGGACAGAGATCTGGTATGGTGCAGTATCTACTAAGTAGGTCGCAAATTGCAGATGTCCTAATAATACGCCCATCTGGACGGTAACCAACTCACTCTGACACTAGGACCCGTCTACTTAGGTGCTTTGACTAGGTGTCGTCCAGTAATGAAGTCGCATACCTGTTCCCAAAACTGTTTGCTAGACGGATGCATGTAACTGGTCTGACTATAGAGCGTCTATCGACCCCACCGACCCAATCTCTCGGTACTTTAAGCGGTGAAACCACTGCGGACCGATCATCGATCTATCTACTTCCCGCATCGGCAAGTCTACCTTCCAGATGAGCCTGCAACGCGAGACTACCTCTTTGATGCGCTGAGAACAGTGGATACACCACTCGTCTGGGACCTGCAACGCTTCCTTTTGTCTAGCAAGGATGGTCACATAGACTGCTCCGGAGTTGCATGTAGGACTTTACCTCTTACCACCCCTTATTGGGAAAATCGGCCACACCTTTTCCCAAGTCACGATGCGCAAGATCTGAAACCACTACCCAAATGTTTGCCCATTATGAGGGTCAGACTACGGAATACCCAGGATCTGAACCAAAGTCTAAATTAACTGCAAGTCGGTGAGATCCAACAGGCGGGTCGATTTTTACGCAATGAACTTCCCCGATTCCCCATCTATAAGATCGTCCGGTATATGGAAATTCAGAACCAAAGAATAGGAACGGTGGATCCTCCTCTCCTCGATCGTCGTCGTTCAGGAATTTTGCTTTCGATTTCCGCGCGGAATTTCGTCCTGCTGGTCTTGGCTTGGGAGCCTTGCAGCCTGGGGGAAGTAAAACTCCCTGCATAGAAAAGTGCCGAGAAGTTTCCCCAAGTGTCAGCAGCGATGGGCGGTTAGGCCGGTTGGCACCGAGAGCAGATCTCAAATCGAGCCAGGGATCGTCATTCTTGAATCAGTCGACGGGAGGCACCGCCGCCGGAAGGGGGCGGGGGTTTGCCAGTTCAAGGTTCCAAACCCCTAGTTATTTTTTTCTTATTTGATTGGCAACAGGGTCCGATAGCTAGCTGATTGACAGATAGATTCGAGAGGGAAACCCCACTTTTCTTTTGGGAATTTGGAGGGTTGGACTGACCTGACCTCTCCATTATTCTTTTCTGGGTGGTCTTTCATAGGATCCGGAACTTCAACGAACGATTTTCCTGCTGTCCACGCGATGAATGATGAAAATGTGTGGCCATAACCTTTTTTCCTTTGTATCAGGCGACACAGGTCCGGACTTTACTACCGGGATCTCTCAAGGAGGGTATGACTCTCTCCTTCTGCGGGGCCTTGGGACCCCAACCTTTAATGTTTCATCCACAAAGGTCAGGTATCGAACCTTAGCTTGTCAACAAGGTTGCAGGCGGATCGACGGGGCTTGGGCATCGGGATCTGATCTGTGAAAAGGGGATAAATGGATCGCAAGCTAAAATGGCGTCGCGTTTCGGAGCAACATTCCTAGTCGAGGGGGGGAGGGGAGGGAAGGCTGGCTGGCTGGCTTTGTTCTTCGCCTTGAATTTGCAATCCTGAGGTAATCGTGCAAACAATACCAAGCGCCGTATTTGCAACAGAAGGATAGGAAATATTACAAGTCCCAATGAGGATAGAAAGAAGATGTATCTCATCGTTCCATCACTATCAGTCGAATATCGCGATTGCTGATGCGGTCTGGTTGATGATGTATGTATGATGTACGCAATTTGCTTGTTGTGTCGACTGTGAGGCTTGATACTTGGTTCGTTTCATACTCGTAATTGTATATCATCAATGCACGCCTGTTCGAGAATGACTTGCTCAGATGTCTAAACTACTTGTATACCTGACTTCGCTTGGCTCTTTACCCGCTACTGGTATATCGATGAACGCGCAATCTTGCATCGAGACCTAGTTCGCTTTGCTATGGAGTGCTGAGTTGAGTAGGGACTGAGAATACCATCAGACAAATGCTGCTCCATTCTGAGGGTGCCAGACCATATATAAGTACAGTGGTCTCATTGTATCTGGCCGTCGCAGCCTTTCCATCAGCGAAAAAGTCAGGATAACCCCTGCATTTTCGTCATGTTCTGTATGCGTACCCCGTTCGTCACCAGATGTATCTGATACATACACCATTGCATTCCTGATACATACATGACTTACAAGGTATATCCCAGTCAGCACCAACTAGCCGTCCCCTGTGCGTGCGTATCTCCCAGATCGGACGATACCAGCTGAAAATACAGCCTCGTGTCGGATCTGTCCCCAGTCGATGGGGGTATGTTATTGGCTACGATGGGCTTTAGGTTTAGGTTCGTTGGCTCGATTTTCGCCCTCAAACAACTTCACCTCTCTCGGAGGGGCCCCCGGGGCAAGCCGACTTGATCCTAACGAAACGCTTGATTCCCATAGATCTCCAAACTAGACAACGACCCCTGTCTGAGAAACATCGTTGCCAACGAGGCTAGACTAGCTTATGCTTTTCTTAGCCCTCAGCTCCTCCTTCAGCTACTCTTGGGATTGCAACGTGAGTCGCGAACACGAGGGGAGGAGAGGATGAAAGATCGGACTAGTCCAAGGACTTAGAGTGGATGGGATCGGAATGCACGGCTGCCCAAATCAAGAATTTTATTCTTGTATGAGAGAGAAAGAGAGAAATAGCCACATGTAAGCATGCATGTACAAAGATTGAAGGTGGGTTCTTTTGACTTCTAGTTTGGATTTCGGATTTGCGATTCGCATTCGCTCCATATACTTACAATTTACGTGCACTTGTACATAGGTTTATATTAAGATATCTCTTCCCTTTTTGTTTTGGGGAGAAAGATTACATCACCAAATCCCGGATCATAGATAGTACTACGATTTGAAATAGTCCCCTTTCCTGATCAGAAAATTTTCTTCTAGTCTCTCGTTGACTAATAGCTTCACTTTTGGTCTTGTAGAGGAGACATGAAAATACGCTTGTGGGATGAGGTGCATTACTATACTGTTACTTAGTACCACCAGATTGCTTGTTGTTCTTTTTTTCCTGCTGTTCGGTGTCTAGCGTTAGTGGGCTAGTCTACGATCTATCGGTCGGCGATGGTGTGCCCGTGGTGCCCTTGATACCCAAAGCGGGTTAGGATTAGCGATCGCACGGGATGGGGAATCATGGGACAGTTCATCTTGGATCGCGCGCCGGCCGCTGGAAGGGGGGCCCGCTCTAAGCCTTTTTGGGTTTGAGCACTTCAGATGGATCTTGACAGCAGTTTACGGGATAGTCGAAGATAGTCTAGTGGAAAGAAAAAGGTACGAAGGGAAACCTTCGATCGGCAGCCTTGGTCGACGGTCGAACCTCAAGGCCTGCCATCTGCCATTCTGCATACGCCGATCCACAACGAATACATCCGCTGAATGGATGGAAGTGAAGACCGACGGGGCCTCCACTTCCTCGGCTTTTACGAAGACGAAAGGGGAAGAGGAAAAGTGAAGTTGAGGTTGAGTTGAAGCGACTACAGAACTCGGCTACAGGAAAACTCTTAACTATTCAGGTTTAGGTGGTTGAGTGAAGAAAAGAGGAACCATCTGACTGTGAAGAAAATCTTTCAAACTTGGGGGAGGCTAACTAGGAGTAGTTTAGAATAGACTGGATTGTCGTCCCTTTTTTTTTTCTTCTTTTTTTTTTTTTTTTTTTTCTATTTTCCCTATTCTCGGACAGTTACATGTAGCAAGGAACTTCTTTCCTTCCATCCACCCCCCATCCTCCTCCTCCTGTGACCTTCCTCTCCTCCTTTCTCCCCCCCTGCTTTGCCCTTCCCGCTGCCCCGTTCTCGGCACGACGGCACCCAGATCGATTGGAATCTGCCGAGTGGCCGAGAAAGCACCAACAAAACATTTCAGTCGATGGGAGGATTTGGAATCGGCGATTGGGCCGCATGTATGTTGCGAAAGTTTCTTGTTTGTTTTGGAGCCTCGAACCGACCCACACCATAAATGGGGCATAGTGAGAAAGGTACAGTGAACCACACGATTCTCTTCTGTGGGGTTGGCTGCGTAACATACAACCGAAATACAAATCCTTTGTTTTGTCTCTTGTTTCCCATCCCTTCCTTTGCAGGCAAACTTCTGGTCTAGATCGACACGCGCGAGAAATCTATAACTGGCAAGCCCAGGGGCGTTTTTCTTCCGCGAAGAAGGGGAGCCGGTCAACCTAAGTCGCTTCCCCGTGGCCAATATGTTTTGGGAGTGGTGAAATACCCTTGAAGCTATTGAACTATCTCCGTACTTGGATAGGTATACGCCCAGACACAATCACTGCGAGCTCGATGGTCCAGTGCCGGTGGATTCATATGTCTCAAGTGTCATGGGGTCACAATTTTATCTCCGAGGGGATGAAGCTTTTGACTTCTACTACGACTAGCGCAAAGGAGTAGTTTACGGACATTACCTAGCTTCTCGAGCTCGTCTTCCATCTGTAAGGAGGTGTTAGTGACAGCCGTCTGACTGTTGACGCAGTCTGCTATCACCTGGAGCCAAGATGTAGAGCAGAGAGCACCTTCTCTCTACTATTTCCAGGTCCTCGAAGAAAGGCAGCGAGGAAGGCAACCGCACTAAACTGCTAGACTCGCATCACTGCAGCATGAGTTCATCATCTAATTTTCCTCGTCTGTTCGTGTTGTGAACCCCGATTGAATCTCACAGTGGCGGATGGACGAGATCGAATCTTTGCTTGGACCCCCTTTCCCCCTTTCATCCGAACAATCCCGTTCAAAAGGTACCCACTTCTTCCTCATTGGGTGTGGTTTCGATGTACTTACTGACAGGGGATTTGGAATGGACATATGCTAGAATGATGTGGCGATGCAGTCTGGGTGCATGATGGAGAAGGGAAAAGCAAAAGCAGAAAATGAGCGAGTACATCATACTAACCGATCATGCGAGCCTCTAATTATCTCCATGGTTGTGACATCATTTGATAAATCACACTGCATCTCCGAACGCAAATACCTAAGTATCTAGATTTCAACTGTCGCGTGCAAAGAAGAAGAAAAAACTTCACGCAGTGTTTGCCCTTGCATTAGCTCGCCCTACCCTCACCTCAGCCAATCATTACTCTTCCCTCACCTGTAAGATGTGGCTCGATTGATTATCTGCTTGAGTTCAATGCACTGTATCCCATAGCTCTATACACTTTACAGATCACTTCCGACTCGATCTATCATATCGAAAAAACAAACAACACAAGAAGCATCTGCATTACATCTGGCATTGCATCAATCAATCAAGTCCACATCGGGCAATACAGGGGGACAATCCCGGAATCTGCCCCCGATCGAACACAAGCGGTGACATCTAACCTTTGATTAAGCTCCCCGATCGTCCTGTCTCCCCTCTCTGGTTTCTCGATCTGGGCACTACCATATGTCGTATTTGAGATATATAGAGAGAGGCTGGGTCACTTCCCATGCGGGGGGTTTTGCTCTGAGCTGTGAGGGAACGGACCTCCAGTTCCTGCAGGGCGCTTGGGTGCTATCCGCGCACAATCGGATTATGGACTGCCTCCCCATTTCCCCCCCTCTTCTTCGGAAAAGACTTCCAATTATTGGCTGGGGCTGATAGGTACTTTGTTGGGTCTGTATAAGAGTCGGTGAGGTGGCGAGTAGGGATCGATCGCGATCGGGTGTAAATTAACCTGATTTCGACATCGTACATCAGATTGCTATAGTTCGTCTTTGGGATGGATTGGATTAGAGTATGGTGGTGACATTCGGTTAGCGGCAGAGCTGCTTTATTGTAGGCTATGAGTAGTTCGGTCTGTTTTGCATTGATATGGGCGTCAATTAACTTCTCTCTTTCACCGATGTCGAGGTCATACCATTTGAGTTGAAGGAGTGCTGCTTCGTGGTTGACAGTAGCGTGACTCGACACTAACATTTGGATCATGAGATGGTAATCATGTCATGCTTGTGGCTGAGAGGATTTGTAGGAGATAATAGAAGGCGCTGAGGCTGTTCTGAGAGCAATTGAGTTCTTCTTTACCATATTGCCGCAAGAGAGGCATGTGATGCTGGCTCTGTAGGTCAAAATCGAGTTCCACCATGACGTTATGCAAACATTCACTTCTTGGTTGACCCCGCGATAAGATAAGAAGGAATCATGTGCCAATCACGTGCGACAAGCTGCTCCTTCCCCTCCATGGCAGCTTCCAGACAAAGAAGATCCTACGAAACACCATCTATTGCATCTCATTTTCACTTGATATCGATTGACTATTCCCTATATCAATCGATATCTGTCTGACTGTACAGGTAACTTCCCAGGTGATCGTTCAACTGCGCTGCAAGTACCCGACTCCACCTCCACGTCAAACGCGGGGAGGTTCATCATCGTTCTACTATAAACAAATTCCCGGATAACAAAACCCGGCCGTCCCCGTCCCTGCTCCCAAGATGGCGGGTCCCCTCATACCTCTCGCGGAGATCCCGACCGTGTCCCTGCTGTACAGACTGAAGCGTTTGATCCCCGCCGCCGCCTCCGCGGCCCAGCCGTCCAAGGCCTTCAACGACACGATCGCATTGATTCGCAATGACATCACCAAGCTGCAGGGCGTCGACTGCATCGTCAACGCCGCCAACGAGAGTCTCCTGGGTGGTGGCGGTGTCGACGGCGTCATCCACCGCGCCGCGGGTCCAGACCTGCTGCGCGAGTGCCGCACGCTGGACGGCTGCGATCCCGGCGACGCCAAGATCACCGCCGCGTACGAACTCCCTTGCAAACGAGTCATCCACACCGTTGGGCCCATCTACAAATCTGAACTGCGCAGGGGAGGGCCCGAGCGTCCCGAGTCGCTGCTCCGGAGCTGCTACCGTCGCAGTTTGGAAGTGGCCGTGGAGAACCACATGAGCAGTATCGCCTTCTCGGCCGTCAGTACGGGTGTGTATGGGTATCCGAGTGAGGCTGCGGCGCGGGCGGTCCTGGATGAGACGCGTCAGTTCTTGGAGAAGCCTGGGAATATCGGCAAGTTGGAGCGGATCATCTTTTGTAACTTTGAGCGGAAGGACGAGGCGGCGTATGAGAAGCTCATCCCGTGAGTTTTTGGCTCTTCTTTTCCCCCCTTCCCATCTCATGGCCTTTGCTTCTGGGTTGCTATCACCGATTCTTGATGTATTATCGAGTTGTGTGATATGGGCACTGACAACGATATGCGCGTGTGCCAGTTTGTTCTTCCCACCCGAGGGTCAGGATGTTCCCAGCACCACAAGCGGCAGCCCCAACGAGCAGACCCAGTCCCAGTCAACAAACACTGACGGTGAGTCCTTACTCTCGTCCGAAACACTCGCAGCCAAGCTCCCCGATGCGCCCACCCTGGAGCCCGGACTAGATGGCCAACCGGAGACCAAGAAACAGAGGGTAAACGTGACTGATACCGAGCAGCGAGGTAAAAGCCACATGGAGGATTTTTCCATCAGGTCGGATGACGATTGGGAGGAGGTGCACAAGTCCGAGGATGGGCGCACGGAGAGATTGGATGACGACCCAGTCGAGGTTGACCGGCCTCCGTCTGCCACGGATGTGCAGAGCGTTCAATCGAGTGGAATCATTGACATGGATGGCTCGCAGTCGTCGGACGGCATTCTCGCAAAGGACAGCCTCATGACGAAGGACTGGTAGTTGATAACGGCATGGGAGGGAAAGGGACGCACACATCCTTACGAACGAATATTTGATGATTAGGCTGGCGTTAGGACTGATCCTTCAGTGGTCTTGTGCGCATGATGCAGAGCGAAAAGCGCACCCATCAACAACCAGATATTCGATTAATGGCAATAGCTAATTTACCTTTCAATGCGTATGTCCTTGCTAGATGCGGAGTACATTTGATAATCATTCCCCTCAGAAGTTTGTTCTAGTGACGGTATCAATTCCATCTACCTGTGTTTACAGTCCACGGTCACAGGACAATGTTCCTAAAGCGGCTAATGCAAACAGGACAAACAAGCTTGCGATAATTATCACAATCATCTCCAACTTCAATCCCGATACCGATTGCGACACGATCTGAGCAATTGACCCGCCAAATCCTGTTTACTCTACTGAATGACAATCTAACAGACCACCGATCCCAATTATCGGATCATCATCCATCACTCAACGCGCCAACTAAACAACCCCATTTCTTCCGCTCCTCCGCTCTCCGCGCCCTCCGCTCCATCCTTCCATCCATACCACCCATCAAACCAGCCAAATAACCCAAATCCCACAAAAGACAAGCGCAAAAATGCCACCCCCAACCCCCAAACCGATCCCCAAACCCAGACCGCGCGTCCTATCCCCCGAACAATCCAAAGCCCTCCGCCGCGCATCCCCAACAACTACACCTACACCGCAAGCCAGCACCACCATTCCCCAGTCGCAGTCGCAGTTCCAGTCGCAACCCCAGTCCCAAACCCAACAGCAACAACCACCCCGCCATCCAAACCGACCCAGCTTCTTCGCCCACCTACGCACCCGCTACGCGACCCTCCCGCTGCCCTTCCGCCGCTCCGTGCGCGTCCTAGGCGCCGCCCTCCCGCTCCTCCCTATCGGCCTCTTCTTCTCCGAGCACGTCCTGCAGGTCATGTGGGTGCGCGGACCCAGCATGACGCCCTACCTGAACGAGGACTACGAGCAGATGCACACCACCAGCGACATGGTACTGGTCAATATGTGGGGGGGCGGGGGGTTCTGGCCGTGGGAGCGCAAGCGGAGGTTGGAGCGTGGGATGTTGGTTACATTTCGGTGAGTTGACCCTTTTTGTAAACTCTCGGGGACTGGGGACCATGGGTGGGGG